TTCTCTTAGGAGAAAGATTGCAAATCAAGGATTGGGTGTTGTCCAAAGAGGTGTCCGAAACAGGAGGCTCCGCGGCACTGTATCTTGTTTTGACCAACTCTATCAGCAGCGTTCCATTGTACTAAAGACGAAACACGAACGGATGTCTTCGTCGGGGAGTTTTTTTTTTTGGTTTGTATGGAACCTGTGTTTATCAGCTCAGCTCATAACGAAAAAAACACCCTTGCAAATGCCATTGGGTTTTGTTCCATGAAGGTCTTAATTCCATGTCCGTCTCAAGTGATCGTATCGAGTGACCCGGTGTAAATTTTACGAAGTGGAGCACAACACGTTTCAGGTGGTGTTGGCCACTGGACTCCTTTTGCAATGAATTCATGAAAAAATCCCACAATCTGGCATAGCAATTGAACAATTTTATTTTTAGCTAATGTTATTTTTCATAAGGTGTATGCCGCAGGTTTCATTATTTACAGTCATACTTGTTTTTGCTCAAGGGAAACTACCTACAATAAATACCTGATTGTCATCTGCAGTACCTTTCGTGCGTGAGAGTCTATCATCACCATCATCATCATCGGGATCAGCCGATTTGTAATCCACTCCTGGATGAAGGCTTTCCCCAAACAAACAACAATTCTCACAGTTTTGCCATACAACAATCCAACTAGCATCAGCACATGCACTTATTGACGCTCCATCTCCACGATGGACATGCTCTCGGGTGTGTTTTCTCCTTTGGCTGCCACTCCATTATTAGTATTGACGGAATGTTGAATTTCTTTCAACATCTTTAAAAGACGCACAAAAATCCCAATTTGACAGCTGTGCTCCTCATCACAGTGAGGATAATTCGTATAATTAATCATGTTGGCGGGGGGGGGGTTAACAATGAAGTTGAGTTATGTAAACAATATAATGCAATCACTGCACGCAACATATCTTCCTGTGTGCTAATTTTCTGGGTATTGTGTGTGTGTGAACCTTGAACTTCTCATACACGTATTGTAACATAAGCAATGCATGGTCCTTCAAGGGGAACCACCTCACATTGTCAAAGGAGTTCCCTTTTTAAACGACGTCCGGTAATCCAGCAGCATTTGTTTAACAAGCGTGACTCTGCTGATGAGATCCAGAAGGTTGAAACTGGTCCTCAGTTTTCTTGCTTAAAGGAATGTTGCTGCTTGATAATGTTGGTCTGGGAAGCCAATAGGCTTGCATGCATTACGTTCCTATAGGCCGTGGAGACAGAAGAGAGTTCTGATTCTCTATCCTGACGCAGTGATTCTCGAAGTGCAGTGCCCAGGTCAGCAGTGGTCCGCGACGGTCCTCCAGGTGGGCCGTGAGGCTGTGATGCACGTGCAGGTTAATCCAGAAATAATGACAATGTTTATACCTTTTGTTTCAGACATTCATTCATATTTTACTCAAATTTTATTTAAAATTAAGTTAGGTAAAACACCTTGATTAAACTACCCTAACCCTAAGATCTAAATTCCCCCCCATAAAAAAACCCGTATAGCTGCGTTAAAGAAATAATGCTTTTATGTTCGGGTAATATAAATAATTGTATATGACTGGTATTTTGAGAGTAGTGGAATGTGTTTTGCCATCAGTGGTGTGGGGGACTGGCTGGGTGGTCTGTGGAAATGATTGCATCGGCTGAGCGGTCTGCGGGCCAACACAAGTGTAGTGTCAACAATTCGTAGACAGATTTTCTAGGTGGCACTTTCTTTATTAACAACTTTCACAGTCTCGTCCGCACACTCGCCACAGTAGCTCAGCCTAGCCTGTACACAACACTAGCCGTCTAACACTGACGGCGCTGACTGAGATAGCCAACTGCTCTCCTTCGTAGCGCAATATCTAGCGGAGACGTTCAGCGGCGACGGCGACGAGACAACAGCGACGACGGGACGAGTCAACTCCCAGAACCGGCAGCCCTGAGCTCCCGCTCTCGGCTCCTTTTATGCTCCCGGCGCGGCCTGGCTCCGCTCAGACCACACCTCACCTTCTCGAACTCGCTAGCAGGTTCCAGGGGCCTCCAGATGGGGTTCTCCGTGACCCTTGCCCCAGTTCCTCCGCCCTGCCCACACACACCGTGCACACGCTCACCGGCGTGTGTGCTTTCTGTCCACCCCAGCTGCCGCTGCTGTCCACCAGCCGGCGCTATTACACTACACAAGTGTTGTGGCGGAACGCGCGGGGTTTGCAAAAAGCGGGTACATTTGGGGACAGGCAGGTGCGGGCGTGGGAACACGGGGTAGACGCCGGAGAGGCGGGAGATGGAGATGATGAGAGAGAGAGCGCGTGCAGGAGGCGCCGCTGAGGCACCAGCTTAATGGGGGGTAACTGAGGACCCTTGATGAGGAGGGGGGCATAAGGGTGTGTGTGGAGCAACACGGGGTTGTTGTTGGTTGGAGCTGAAGGAATGAAGAGGGCAAGAGCCGGGGAGAAGAGGCCTGGGACCTCGTCCTCCCCAGCGGTGTTGGCTGATCCCCCACTGGGGGCAAGAACGAGGTGGAGGTGTGAGAGAAGAGTGACAGGCTAGCGGAGTATTAAGTGACAGGCTAGTGGAGTATTAAGTGACAGGCTAGTGGAGTATAGAGAGAGGGAGTTCGGAGCAAGGGTGCGCTGTGTTAGTGTGAGGAGCATCCACACGGGATGCCAAGTAATAAAGTGACACAGGAGAAAAGCTAAGTGTCTGTGTGAATACACCATTATACAAGTATGAGAAACGGCGGCCTAACGCATGGCACTTTGATAACATCATAGAAGCAAATACATTTTAGAAAAAATGTGGGCAAAACTTACCGCAGCATGATTCTCAGTTTGTTTTACGTGACAAGATGACATCTTTAATGTACACGCAGGCAGAAACTTCCATTAGCGCCGTCCCGTAGAATGCTGATTCGTTACGGCACTCTTCGTCCCAGCGAATATTTTCATGGAAAAAAATATAGGGCAGGAAAATCCAAAAATCTAAAAAGCGCTTATGAGTGAGCACACGCAGCGCTGAGGAAACGAACCCGCTCCTCTCTTTGTTTACATTCCACCAGCCAATGAGAGAGACGTAAACTATGAACTCCCCCCCCCCCCACACACACAATTCGATTATTACGATTCGTTGTCACGATTAAAACATTTTCTTCAAGTCGTTAGTTTTGTTTTTACAGTACATTATTTGTTGTTCAATGTCATTACATTGGAGGGCAATGAGTGGAGAATCGATCAGCTAAAACGCAGCGAGTTGGCACATTTGGGACACACCCTTGGAGCATCATGTCAGTCGTCTCAGTCAATGAACCCATGGCACCTGCCGGGTCTGTCCCGCGACCTGTCGGTGAACGTTCAACAGTTCACGTGGCCTCAAAGTGCAGCGAGCCTACCACAGGCGCCGTGGTTGACATAATCGTCATTTAGTGGTGAATTGCGGCTGTTGTTGTTGGAGTAGACTTGAAGCGATTGATTTTTTAATCTAATGGTTCAATCAATTACTGTTGAGAAAATAAGAAAATATTCGGGGGAGTGTCATCTGTGTTCTCACATTGTGCCGCTGGACTGGAGGTGATGGGTGGGAGTCACCAGGATCATCATCAGCCGCATAATGCTGGACGTGGCTTGAAGGGAGTTTCCTGTCTTAATTTTTAATGGTGGCAATTAATAAACCACAAAAAGTCGATGACAAGTTCTAGTCGATCGATCGTCAGTGTTTCTATGTTAAAATGACTTCGCCCACGTGAGACCAAGAGAGGGCATTAGATAACATAGGAGACACATCACTGTTGTTGATGCCATGAGTGGCTGGATGGCTTTTCTTAGATCTGCCCTCTGCTGCTGCACGATGTAACCTGTTGAAGTTTATCGAAGAGTCATCGCTATTTGGGTTATCTTGTCAAGTCATGAAGGGCAGAGGCTTACTTTAGAGGCACACGTTGTGTGCACCACTATGAAGAAATACAACAATTACCCGTTGGTTCTTTCGGTAAAGTCACGTATAGGTAGAAATAAGATGAAAACAAATCACGACGTTCTTCACCGGGTGTAACAAACCAAAAGCAAGAAAATGCTGAAGTTGGCGAGGGAGCTGCCGTGGCAAGAGGTTATATAGGTGAGAGAGGGGGGAGGGGCAAGGGGGGAGAGAGAGAGGGGGGGAAGGGGGGAGGGGCTGCGTGAAAGTTTGGGGGAGAGAGGACGTGAGGCTGGGGGGGGGGGAAGTGGGCGTGGCTAGAAGTGTGGGACACGGGGGGTGGGGGTGTACTAGTAAACGGCAGGTCGGATGGAAACAATCACAACCAGTTAAGGCATTACCTGGTTATATATTCTTGGTTCTTTCGGTAAAGTCACGTAGAAGGGAAACAACTTTACCGAAAGAACCAAGAATATGAATCCCTGCAGTCACGAAAGCTTTAAATCAAAATTAAAACATTACCTGGTTAATAACATCGCTGTATGTTGTTGTATCTTCAAATCTTGTAACTCAATTTTAACCCACTTCCCAACGTGGTATCGACTGCAAACTTGTTATACTTACGTCATAATGATGGAAATACTGTATTCTATCATTAAAAACATATTTTTCAACATTATTTTTTATTTTGATTTAAAGCTTTCGTGACTGCAGGGATTCATATTCTTGGTTCTTTCGGTAAAGTCACGTAGAAGGGAAACAATAAAATAATAAAAAATAAAACAATAATTTTACTGTGACTTTACCGAAAGAGCCAAGAATATTACTTTTTATATGTTATGTTTCGGCTTGGGTCTAGTTGTCCACGCTCAACTCACGTTGGCTGTAAGTCACCACGGGTCCCCTTACGTTGTGGCAAGCTTCGGGACCACTTCCTGGAGTCGTGGTGGAGTTCTTCTACAGTACATTCATGTTCAAAGCGTGTTTAACAAAAAAAAGTTTATTTTAAATATATATATCAAATTTTAGAACAGAACGTGCAGTCTGGCAACAACCCAGGGTGCAGACATAAAGGTGGTGGGTGGGGTGCGTGCGCGTGACATCACGTTGACATCGCTACTGCTTCCTACTCTCAGAGCGCGCAACAACAACAACACCACCACCACCACTACACGCGCTTACGTCTCGCACTCTCGTGTTCCCGCTCCACACTCCACACAGCGCACACGGCCATGGCAGGCGGCTACGTGTGCTCGCTGTCGCCCGAGCTGGTGGAGAGGGCTCGCGTGGAGCTGGGAGAGAACCCCGAGACGAGGGCCCAGGAGGTGCTGCAGCTGCGGGAGGCGCTCGGCCACCGCCCAGAAATCCCGGCTCGGACGGACGACGCCTTCCTGCTGCGGTTCCTGCGAGCCAGGAAGTTTGACCACGAGAGGACCTTCAAGCTCGTGGAGAGCTACTACAAGTAGCGGATATTTGACACTCCGACATACACACACACAGTGCGGCTATTTGACACTCCGACATACACACACAGTGCGGATATTTGACACTCCGACACACACACACAGAGTGCGGCTATTTGACACTCCAACACACACACACAGAGTGCGGCTATTTGACACTTCGACACACACACAGAGTGCGGATATTTGACACTCCGACACACACAGAGTGCGGCTATTTGACACTCCGACATACACACACACAGTGCGGCTATTTGACACTCCGACATACACACACACAGTGCGGCTATTTGACACTCCGACATACACACACACAGTGCGGCTATTTGACACTCCGACATACACACACAGTGCGGCTGTTTGACACTCCGAGACACACACACAGTGCGGCTGTTTGACACTCCGACACACACACACAGTGCGGCTGTTTGACACTCCGACACACACACAGTGCGGCTATTTGACACTCCGACACACAAACACAGAGTGCGGCTATTTGACACTCCGACACACACACAGTGCGGCTGTTTGACACTCCGACATACACACACAGTGCGGATATTTGACACTCCGACACACATACACACACAGTGCGGCTGTTTGACACTCCGACATACACACACAGAGTGCGGCTATTTGACACTCCGACATACACACACACAGTGCTGCTATTTGACACTCCGACACACACACACAGTGCGGCTATTTGACACTTCGACACACACACAGTGCGGCTGTTTGACACTCCGACACACACACACAGAGTGCGGCTATTTGACACTCCGACACACACACAGTGCGGCTGTTTGACACTCCGACATACACACACAGTGCGGATATTTGACACTCCGACATACACACACACAGTGCGGCTATTTGACACTCCGACATACACACACAGTGCGGCTGTTTGACACTCCGAGACACACACACAGTGCGGCTGTTTGACACTCCGACACACACACACAGTGCGGCTGTTTGACACTCCGACACACACACAGTGCGGCTATTTGACACTCCGACACACAAACACAGAGTGCGGCTATTTGACACTCCGACACACACACAGTGCGGCTGTTTGACACTCCGACATACACACACAGTGCGGATATTTGACACTCCGACACACATACACACACAGTGCGGCTGTTTGACACTCCGACATACACACACAGAGTGCGGCTATTTGACACTCCGACATACACACACACAGTGCTGCTATTTGACACTCCGACACACACACACAGTGCGGCTATTTGACACTTCGACACACACACAGTGCGGCTGTTTGACACTCCGACACACACACACAGAGTGCGGCTATTTGACACTCCGACACACACACAGTGCGGCTGTTTGACACTCCGACATACACACACAGTGCGGATATTTGACACTCCGACACACATACACACACAGTGCGGCTGTTTGACACTCCGACATACACACACACAGTGCGGCTGTTTGACACTCCGAGACACACACACAGTGCGGCTATTTGACACTCCGACACACACACAGTGCGGCTGTTTGACACTCCGACATACACACACAGTGCGGCTGTTTGACACTCCGACACACACACACAGTGCGGCTGTTTGACACTCCGACACACACACAGTGCGGCTATTTGACACTCCGACACACACACGCAGAGTGCGGATATTTGACACTCCGACACACACACAGTGCGGCCATTTGACACTCCGACATACACACAGTGCGGCTGTTTGACACTCCGACATACACACAGTGCGGCTATTTGACACTCCGACACACACACAGTGCGGCTATTTGACACTCCGACATACACACAGTGCGGCTATTTGACACTCCGACATACACACACAGTGCGGCTGTTTGACACTCCGACATACACACACAGTGCGGCTGTTTGACACTCCGACACACACACAGTGCGGCTATTTGACACTCCGACATACACACACACAGTGCGGCTGTTTGACACTCCGACATACACACAGTGCGGCTATTTGACACTCCGACATACACACACACACAGTGCGGCTATTTGACACTCCGACATACACACACAGTCCGGCTATTTGCCACTCCGACACACACACAGTGCGGCTATTTGACACTCCGACATACACACATACACAGTCCGGCTTCTTGCTGTGCCATTGTGGTCACAGTGGCAAGAGCCACACACACAAAGACAAAGGCACCCGGGCAGGTTTCAACAACAGACCGTTGGGCGAAAATCAAAGTAATATTTCTGAAGGCCGGTACGGCACGCGAGGGGTGGCCGGCGTCCGGCCGCCTTTGTCTCCCCCGTGCTGATGGGAAGCCCAGGAATCGGTTCAGATAATCGTCACCGATGTTGGCCGTGAGCGGGAATCGAACCGGCTCGCACGCGTGCCCGGGCGTGGCTCGAGACACCGCGGTCACTATATGACGTCACAAAGCTCTGCCCCCCCCTCCCCCAAAACCATATTTCCATTCTGAAAATAAAACATGCTTCAAATCGCTTTAAACTGTTGTTGTCATTGTAGTGCGTATTTAATGTTACGCTGCACTCTGATGTTGTAAGAGAAAACATTTATTTAAAAGTCTTATTTAATTAAGTAAAACGTGTTGTCTATATTTATTTAAAGTTGCGCATTTTGATGTGACGTCACATTTCTCACCCCCCCCCCCCGTCACACATCGTCACAAATGTCTGACCCCCCCCCCCCCCTAGGTGTGTGACGTCATTTATGGACGGCCCCTAAGCATGTCCCGCTTTGCAAAAAATGTGGGAAAACCTTTTTGTTACGGGGTGTGCTTTGAGTCCGGTTTAAAATCGGCAGCCTCTCGTTTGAAGACGGGTCATCGCCCGAAACGTCGCCGAGTACATATTTGGCATGCGTTGTTGCTGAATACAGTTAGTTTCGCAAGTATGAAGTTGTCTTTAAAAAAAAGACCGCTTGCATAAAGAAACCTTGCAACAACGCGTGTGCACAGGAGTTAAAGTGCTGTACGTCGAATTGTTGACAAGCTTAACATTCCGTTGTAATGACTAACGGGGCAATGCATACAGCGTTTTAAACACTACAACTTAAATCACATTTGGTCGCCACTTATTTTCAAAAGTTTGCAAGGAGTGATGGTTTAGGTTGCACTTGCGTGGACATTGCCTGGGTGGTTAGAGGTTGCAGGCGTGTACAGTGATCATGTTTGCCCTTCGGTGTAAGCTGAAGGCTTTGCGAGGATAGTAAACTACGGTCATGAAGTTGTAAAACTGCACGGACTTTGTGTGATCTCGCAATGCAGCGTCGCACCACAAGCAACATTTGTGCAGATTTTTTTTTATCAACTCCCTGCAGTGTTAGGGCAAGGGTTACCAACTCTCACTGAAGCTGTTCCCGGGACGTTTCTATTCCTATCCATTTATTTTCTTATGATACCCTCCTATTAAAAATCTCCCGGATTGCTTTCAATAGTCACTTGGAGATCGATGCCAATTCCGATCGACTCTCTGCCAATCCGGGAGGGTGGCATACCCCAGTTATAGGGCCTCCGCCACGCCGTGCGGGTCACGAGGTTATATTCACTCACCGTGCCGGTGAGTGAAGACAGCGATAATTGATGCGTGGTCATAGTTCAGTCCAACAATGGAATTTGCTGCACTGCCCACAGCTGGCCAAAACTCAGTCCCGTGGTAAAGTACAAACCATGCACAGTACATACCACATCAAATACAGTAATATCACTACAGTGAGGGAAAAAAATATTTGATCCCCTGCTGATCTTGTACGTTTGCCCACTGACAAAGAAATGATCAGTCTATAATTTTAATGGTAGGTTTATTTGAACAGTGAGAGACAGAATAACAACAATAAATCCAGAAAAACGCATGTCAAAAATGTTCTAAATTGATTTGCATTTTAATGAGGGAGATAAGAATTTGACCCCCTCTCAATCAGAAAGATTTCTGACTCCCAGGTGTCTTTTATACAGGTAACGAGCTGAGATTAGGAGCACACTCTTAAAGGGAGTGCTCCTAATCTCAGCTTGTTACCTGTATAAAAGACACCTGTCCACAGAAGCAATCAATCAGATTCCAAACTCTCCACCATGGCCAAGACCAAAGCGCTCTCCAAGGATGTCAGGGACAAGATTGTAGACATACACAAGGCTGGAATGGGCTACAAGACCATTGCCAAGCAGCTTGGTGAGAAGGTGACAACAGTTGTTGCGATTATTCACAAATGGAAGAAACACAAAAGAACTGTCAATCTCCCTCGGCCTGGGGCTCCATGCAAGATCTCACCTCGTGGAGTTGCAATGATCATGCGAACGGTGAGGAATCAGCCCAGAACTACACGGGGGGATCTTGTCAATGATCTCAAGGCAGCTGGGACCATAGTCACCAAGAAAACAATTGGTAACACACTACGCCGTGAAGGACTGAAATCCTGCAGCGCCCGCAAGGTCCCCTTGCTCAAGAAAGCACATATACATGCCCGTCTGAAGTTTTCCAATGAACATCTGAATGATTCAGAGGACAACTGGGTGAAAGTGTTGTGGTCAGATGAGACTAAAATGGAGCTTTTTGGCATCAACTCAACTCGCCGTGTTTGGAGGAGGAGGAATGCTGCCTATGACCCCAAGAACACCATCCCCACCGTCAAACATGGAGGTGGAAACATTATGCTTTGGGGGTGTTTTTCTGCTAAGGGGACAGGACAACTTCACCGCATCAAAGGGACGATGGACGGGGCCATGTACCGTCAAATCTTGGGTGAGAACCTCCTTCCCTCAGCCAGGGCATTGAAAATGGGTCGTGGATGGGTATTCCAGCATGACAATGACCCAAAACACACGGCCAAGGCAACAAAGGAGTGGCTCAAGAAGAAGCACATTAAGGTCCTGGAGTGGCCTAGCCAGTCTCCAGACCTTAATCCCATAGATAATCTGTGGAGGGAGCTGAAGGTTCGAGTTGCCAAACGTCAGCCTCGAAACCTTAATAACTTGGAGAAGATCTGCAAAGAGGAGTGGGACAAAATCCCTCCTGAGATGTGTGCAAACCTGGTGGCCAACTACAAGAAACGTCTGACCTCTGTGATTGCCAACAAGGGTTTTGCCACCAAGTACTAAGTCATGTTTTGCAGAGGGGTCAAATACTTATTTCCCTCATTAAAATTCAAATCAATTTATAACATTTTTGACATGCGTTTTTCCGGATTTTTTGTTGTTATTCTGTCTCTCACTGATCAAAAAAACCTACCATAAAAATTATAGACTGATCATTTCTTCATCAGTGGGCAAACGTACAAAATCAGCAGGGGATCAAATACTTTTTTTCCCTCACTGTATGTACACACTATTCTTGTTCCTGAGTACTAAGTGTTATTTTTTAATTGTTTATGCCTAAAAAGTATAGAAAATGGCCATTATTCCCCACAAACTTATACTTATTTTTTGATACACAGTGCTATTAATGGAGTGGATTATCAACTTTGATTTTTGTGTCCTGGTCACAAAAGCAAAGTTTGTGGGGAATAATAGCTATTTTCTGTACTTTTGAGGCACAAGCAATTAGGAAATAACACTACCCAGGAACAATTTTTTTGTTACGCTGTATTTAATGAACAAGCCCTTGATTAGTTCGTTGTTGGTTCAAGGGCTCACCGTAGAGATTGTTTGACCAGGGGTTCACCATACCTCACCGTGCTGGTGAGTGCAGGTTGGTGAAGCAGGGAGAGGGCAGCACTGGCCGGTTCAGATATCACGCGCCAATAAATGTTACCCGTGGCGAAACATTTAACTTATTTCACTCAGGTCGTTTTGTTCATAGCACCGTGTGCTAACCTCCCTCCGCCAACATTCCACCCTTGCACACATTATTGTACCACGCTTTGAATCGGCGAATAATCTTCACGTCACGAATGTCCGTCGTGCAAATTCGCGAGCTTGCGTTCTGACTCCCCCGTTGACTCCTTTTGTTTGAGGTGCCACGAGACCTGGCCAGACATCTTCCAGGATTTCCGGCCGTCCGCAGTGAAAGAGTTGCTGGACAGCGGCTTCATCCGCGTGTTGCCAGAGCGGGACTCCAAGGGCAGACGCGTCATCATCCAGAGTCCCGGTGAGAGGGGACGCTGGTCAAGCCCTCCATTGCACTCTCAGGCTGTACTGCTTGTTGTTTGGTGTCACGTCTGACATTTGGCTCCATGTGTTGGGAGCTTCTTCAAGTGCTGAGTTTTAATTTCACTTGTCCGACACGCACGCCAAAAACCGTGGAATGGCCCAACTGTTAGGTATATGCATGGCACCTCCGGTTAGCACGGTTGACTACGTACAGTGTGGAAGAAGTTCAACATAGAGTACATAGAGTGGTAGCGGCGTTTGCCATTTGTTGCAGTGGTTTGCGGTTCGAACCCATGGCCGCCAGTTTACTACTACCGGTATATTAACCGTGAAAACACATGCCTGCATTTCACAGTGGGTGTTAAAGATCTCGTGATGTTATTCTAAAATTAGTAGGCTATGTGTGACGGCATCATGGTCCAAATTTGAATACATATTTGCAATTTATTAAAATGGAAAATCCATAGAAATTGCTCTCTGCTTATCAGAACCCTCCTGATAAACAGTCGAGACTCTGTGAGGCTTTCCTCACTACTGTAATAATAATAACAACACACAGCTCTGGCACGAGGTTAATCACGTCCATATCAATTTGAACAGGAAAGTGGAACCCATCGACGACTCCCATCATTGATAATTTCAAAGCGATGTACATGACGCTGGAGCTGCTGATCCAGTCCGAGGAGACGCAGGTGAACGGAATCACCATCCTAGTAGACCACAAGGGCATGGGCCTCGCCCACGTCACCAACTTCACCCCTTCTCTCATGAAGAAAATAACCACAGTGATACAGGTACGTTACAGTGGAAGGTACGCCTAGGTACAACTAACCCTAACGCGCCAAAAGTCGTGTCACGTGGTCTCGTGGACAGCACTGTCATTATCACGGCGAAAGTTTACATTCGGACGTAATGTTAATGATCTAAAAAGGTAAAAAAAATTGTCCTTACAAATCTCAACGTACAGAAACCTCTCATCCAAACCTCATATCTACTATATACAGTCAAACCTTGGATTGCGAGTAACTTGGTCTGCGAGTGTTTTGCAAGACGAGCAAAAAGTTTAAATAAATATTAATTTGATAAACGAGCGAGATCTTGCAATACGAGTAGTACGTGTACGCTTTGTCTGCCGAGCGTCACGTGATCACAACTGATATACGAGTGCTTTGATATACGAGTGCTTTGGATTACAAACACGTTTCCGGAACGAATTATGCTCGCAATCCAAGGTTTTACTGTACTTAAATGAATTTGCAATCACTTACGCATGTTTGCATATTTGGGGACAGCTGTGGTGCAGTGGGTAATGCACTGTGTTATGAATACTCTAAACCGACTTCGATTTCCGGCCACGGCTAACATCAGTGGCAAGTGATAACTGAATGGGACTTTGGCAGCACCTCACCAAACCAGCATTGACCGGTGTGTTGAAGTATGGTCAAATAGCCCTCTTGACTAACATTGCATGTGGAAGGCCATCATCCAGCGGTAAATTGACAAAGGTCTGTAAGTTACTGTTACATTTAAATAACATTTTTATTCACTTGTGTCTGTACATCGGGTTGTGACCATTATAAACACCGAATTTCAATGAGTCTAAAAACACTGTTTTTTTTTCAGTTCATGTTTTTGTTTGATCTTTCTGTGTGTGTGTGTTTTTCCCAGGATGCATTTCCAATACGAATAAAAGGACATCACACAATTAATGAGCCATCGATATTCAAAGCCATGTTCGCCTTGATAAAGCCCTTTTTCAAGGAGAAGATGCAAAAGCGGGTACGCACAATTGAATCACTTTGTTGACACTTATAAATGTGGATATTGAATCAGCATTGAAATACCTTGTACTAATGGTGTAGGTTTTTTGTGATCGCAGCACATGAGAGTTATAAGTGGAATTATTTTTATATATATATAGAAATAAACACTGGTGGTTTGCTGATATCTGCACTGTACACTTAAGTACACCATTCGATGTCTGCTACAGTTGGCACAAATTCTCTGCACTTTTAAATTATCTGACAGAGTGACAGAGTGGCAGAGTGGCAGAGACCTTGATTCACTACCAAAAAGGACGTGAATTCAGATCCCACTTTGGGGGTAAAGTCAACCCATCCTCTTAGTGGTGGATACGATTTTCACTACTTTTTGGAGGGACTGCCTCTCGTCACGGGACCGTTGCTCATGGCAATTGAAATGAGCATCATAATGCTCTTTCGGGCAGATAGTCACTTTGATTTCGTGGTAAAAGACTACGGTAATCATGATGTTTTGATTTATTTTTGCCTTTTCTCTTTACCCGGTTGTATTCCAATTGTGCTTTTTTGCATCACGTAACCGGCCGAAGAAATGTCTCTGATACATCACCTTGTGTCCGATAAATGTCTTGGAAGATGACATAATCGATCTACTGCTGAAGTTACCTGAATCGACCTCTCTATACGAACTAGGGGCACGCCTTTTCTGTGCCCTCATGAGTACAGAATTCATATTAGCATGTCAATCAAGCCTCGTATGTTTTCAAATTCTCAGAATTGAAATCATCCAAACTCAGCGAAACACAAAATGTAACACTACGAGTTTATATGTAGAGTCATCGGTGACTGGGCTGAGATCAATTCACTCCACTGCGCACCTAAATCTCATTTAAACTCAGAGCACCTCAGCAGTGCTGGCTCAGTCTTTCTGAGAAGCTATGACTACAATATTATTTGGGTTCTAAAATGCATTTTTCTTGTGTGACCATATTTGTATAACTGTATTGACACCGGGCACCAGTTTGGAATGTATCTTACTTTCCAGAGCGTTTTAAAAATCATAATTTCAACTTCTAATGTGCCACACCATCTTCGCTCACTCTCGTATAGAGAGAACAACTCAGAGGCCCAAGGAACAACAGATAAGTAGGAAAGGCAGCCATGCAGTGAGCTGGTGCCAAACTCCCATCCAAGTTCTGCGGTCCTCTATTTATTGAGGTGTTATTGGCCAAGTCATGCGTGTTTACACGTGGGAGGATATCGGAGAGCTGGAAGAAAACTCGCGCGTGCAAGGGGGAAACACTATCTGATACAGGTAGAACAGATTGGAGTCCACATTGTTTCTGTAATTCCTTCTGGCAAGCCAGGGTATGGCACCTCCAAGGGCATTTCAGAACATCTGTGCGATCCACCAACTCTCACTGCCTCCACGGTGCTGCAATGCAGGCGCGTGCGTCTCCACCATCACCTGGGTAGAATGTGAATAGTAAAGTTGACTTCCTTGACCCTTCCAGCCGCACCTAAGCGGTCGTTTTTATTTTATTTATTTTGTTGCAGATGATGTTCCACGGCACGGACTTCCTGTCGCTGCACGAGCAAATCTCTCCCGACATCCTGCCAGCGGAGTACGGGGGCACGGCGCCCGGGATCTCCGCCGACACCTGGGCCCAGGAGCTGTTCGCCGCCGAGCCTTACTTCATCGAGGCGTTTGGAGGCATCGTCTTCAAGAAGGATTTGCCCGCGGAGGTCCTCACAGACGAGGATAAGAAGCTGCAGGAAGATTTTAGGCGGGTCATTGAGGAGGTAGAGCCCGAGGAGTGGAACAAGCTAAAGGTCGCCAGCGCTCACGTCCGGCCTGAGGGCCTGGACCTCGAGCCAATCAGAAATAAGTCGAGCTGAGCTACACGATTGTTCAAGGCAGTAGAGGAATGTAGAGGGAGGGAGGAAGAGTTAGAAGAGGGGGCAGATTAAGAGAGAAACATTTGGATACGCAGGTATCCCTCGATTTACGAACGTTCCGTTTACGAAATTTCATAAAACATCCCTAATATTTATTATAAAATGTATGGGAGAAGCCATTCCAATTGACGAAATTTCATTTTACGCTTTTTTTTTTTAAGAATGCATCCCTTTCGCAAATAGAGGGATACAGGTGGAGGGAGACAGGCCTCTACGATTTACAGCTTTGCTGGCTGGGAGGGACAGTCCAAAAGACGTGCGGGTTGATAGTTATTGTCAAAATGGTCTTCACTCCCTCCTAACAAACACTTCTGCCCGTCTAATAAACAAGCTATTGTCTCTTCTCCTGGCCTTTCCTGTTTTCCCAAATACTCCTTCCCGATATGAGCCTTTGTGTTGAATCCCCCTTGTTCATTAAAAGTTCTAGTAATGTGCTTCACCAGAGCCTGATAGAATGAAAAATCATCCAGCCACAGACTCGGAAACACTAATAAAGAATAACGCAAAATAATTGTTGAAAACTACATATTTGTGTGTAAAGACACCAATATACAGTACTTGAGGGTTGGCTTGGCTAACTGTGGTTACACCCACTTATGCTGGTGGGTGGCCATTACATGAGGGCTTTGTCAATCAATACAAATGAAAAAAACATAGGTTGTTTGAGACGCAGGTGGAAGGGTTTGTGGATCACGCAAATGTTGTGCAACTCCCGTGGGCTTCGAGGTCACCCTAACCATGACTTGTCAGAAGGCGGTATGGAAAAAACTGGACATCTCTGTCTCCCAAAAAATATATATTTTAAAACATTTTTTATATGTTGTTTCGGCTTGGGTCTAATTGTCCACGGTCAACTGACGTTGGCTGTAAATTACCACGGTCCCCTTACGTTATGGCAAGCTTCGGGGCCACTTCCTGGAGTCGTGGAGTTCTTCCATTACTAATAGGGTACATTTCATTAAAGCGTGTTTTTAAAAAAAGTTTTTTTTAAGTATTACTTATTATTAACTCACTGTCGTTATATCCTCAAATCTTGTAACTCAATTTTAACCCACTTCGCAGTGTGGTATCGACTGCAAACTTGGTATACTTGTGTCATACTGATGACAATACGATATTGTATCATTAAAAATAAAAAACATGTTTAAACAATCTTCTTTATATGTTATGTTTCGGCTTGGGTCTAATTGTCCACGCTCAACTGACGTCGGCTATAAATGACCACTGCCCCTTACGTTATGGCAAGCCACTTCCTGGAGTGGAGTTATTCAATTACTAGTACATTTCATTGAAGCATGTTTAAAATATATTACTTATTTATTCTCCAGGTGCTCCGGTTTCCTCCCACACGTAGAGACGCCTCTTTAATTGACTGAATGCATCTTAATAAAAGCGCCTCCGTGTTTGCAGATGCGTAAATAACACTATATAAAAAACCTAAATATTATTGTTAGATGTCTTTGTATAGTACCTAACCACTTTATTGTCCAGCGCTCATACTGTGAAGATTATAACGGCACTTAAAAATAAAACTGCACAATAATACATTCTTAAAACTAGTAAATACTTTCAGATAATTGAGAATGCATGCTAAATCATAAGAGCAAGATGCAGTTCACCATACAATCAATAAGCACGTATAGAATCTGCCAATATACAATAACCAAGATACAATTTTTTATCCATACGGTAACAGAAGGGCATGAAATATTTTTCGAAACTCATCGATCTTAAACAATGTGGCTTCTTCCTAGAGTAGCCAGCAAGCGCGAACATTTCTAGATTTGACTGCAAGGATCCATACTCTTTGGTTCTTTCGGTAAAGTCACGTAGGTATAAAGTCTAAAATAAATTAAATCACGACGTTTCGGGCGCAACACAAGCGTCCGTCAACAGGCGGGACAACCACAGCAGGAAACAATTGCTGAAGTAGGCAAAAGAGCTGCTGATAACAAGAGGTGATATAGATTAGGGAGGGGATACACATTGAGCAATCATTGGAAGGATGTTATCAACCAGGTAAAACCTTAGCTGCTTTATAGTTTGCCTTCATATCCGCATCTCTAGTTTCTTACTCCCAGCCCTGCTCATTCCCATCACTGGGAAATTTGCCGTGCATGTTGAGCTTGCTGCACGCCACCTCTCCCCCCACCACCACCCTCTCTATCCCCCCACCACCACCCTCTCTATCCCCCCACCACCACCCTCTCTATCCCCCCACCACCACCCTCTCTATCCCCCCACCACCACCCTCTCTATCCCCCCCACCACCACCCTCTCTATCCCCCCACCACCACCACCCTCTCTATCCCCCCCACCACCACCCTCTCTATCCCCCCCACCACCACCCTCTATATCCCCCCACCACCACCACCCTCTCTATCCCCCCCACCACCACCCTCTCTATCCCCCCCACCACCACCCTCTCTATCCCCCCACCACCACCCTCTCTATCCCCCCACCACCACCCTCTCTATCCCCCCCACCACCACCCTCTCTATCCCCCCACCACCACCACCCTCTCTATCCCCCCCACCACCACCCTCTCTATCCCCCCCACCACCACCCTCTATATCCCCCCACCACCACCACCCTCTCTATCCCCCCCACCACCACCCTCTCTATCCCCCCCCCCACCACCCTCTCTATCCCCCCACCACCACCCTCTCTATCCCCCCACCACCACCCTCTCTATCCCCCCCACCACCACCCTCTCTATCCCCCCACCACCACCACCCTCTCTATCCCCCCACCACCACCCTCTCTATCCCCCCACCACCACCCTCTCTATCCCCCCCACCACCACCCTCTCGATCCTTGGCTCTTCCCCCACCGCTCCCTAATCTATATCACCTCTTGTTATCAGCAGCTCTTTTGCCTACTTCAGCAATTGTTTCCTGCTGTGGTTGTCCCGCCTGATGACAGACGCTTGTGTTGCGTCCGAAACGTCGTGATTTAATTTATTTTAGGCTTTATACCTACGTGACTTTACCGAAAGAACCAAAGATCATGCGAACAAATTTGCGTCACGCGTACGACAATTTTTTTTGTTATTCGCTTGCAGTTACTCGCTAGTTAGGTTATTTCGCAAAATGGACGATTGGTTAAAATATTGACGTTTATTAATCCATACGTGTTATTTCTCAGAACCATGTTGGGTCAGGCAAGGAGCGGGTACTCGGTTGAAACAACATTCAACAAGGGGGGTACATTAGCCAAAAAGAGATTTGAGAACCACTGCTTTGGAAGATGCTCCGGGCTTATCCAACTATGTTAGCGTTATCTGATTAGTCGAGTAATTTAACTCATAATCAGCTATTAATTTAATAATCCGAGAGCCTTTTTCCAATAAATGCTCTTGATTTACAGGTGTTTCACCTCAAATCAGTGCTTCTGAAATGCAAGGTTTACAAATTGATTTCACTTCCCTGAAGAAGGAACAAGTTGGTGCAAAACTTAATTATTCAATAGTCTGTTTCAATATGACACATGACCTAAAATAGCAACTTCCATGAACATTAAACACTTAACCTGTCACTTCTACTATTCTGTTGTGCTGGGAAATAACCCTTTTACATTACAGGTCCATATGACTCAGCTGTTAATAGGTTTATTATTTAAACGCAAATTTTATTGCAAATGAAACATCTTCACCAATTATCCTGCTGTTAAAATGTCATACCATTACCTATAATAGCCATGATGGTGATGATGATAATAATAATAACGTACAGTATATATTCCAGGAAAGCTTCAGAGGGTATCAACCCCGTTTCACGAGAGTACTATACTGACGCAGTGTTTTTGGCAAGAAACCACAACACCTAAACAAAACCTGTCCACACGGACAGGTTTATGAGCCCTCGTTTAGTAGACTCGACCACATCCCGAGGTCATTGGGTTCGGTAATTGCACACGTGTCAAATACCAACATGTACAATTCCCTTTGGTTCACACGGATTTGCATCTACAGGTGAAATATCACTTAAGATATTTGAGTTCAATGGACCTACTTGCTGCAGGCCATGCATCATCTTTCTCGTTTGCATTGGCACATCATCTTCCTCAAGTGAAATATTTGGAGAGATCGATTGAGTTGATTGACCTTGTATGCTGTGTGCATCATCATCATCACCACCACAACCAAAAGCTACACACATCTACGGGAATCAAAATAAACCCCCTTGGGTGTTTATCACAATCAACGGATTCCCCTCTCTCAAATATTACCGGGTTGAGATAGCTGCGTGTAATATGACGATATGCAAGCACATGATTTACCACAAACCAGTTCAGCATGTCCCAGTAGGTTTTTTTGTTGTTTTTTTATGACATAGTTTCTAATATTAACACAGATGACTTCGTAGCTTCTTCCTCTCACACGAAACGTTAGGAAGTACAACTTTACGTAGCTGACAAGTCGGTTTCGACGTCAACACATTTGCATGTTTGCGTATCTTTTATTGAAATCTAAAGTTGAAGCACATTGCATTTGCAAGTCCTGCAATGTGACAACATAGCTTGTGCCAAAATGAGCCATGGGCCAAGGGAATTGGTCAGGGCCTCATCGCAACGGCCTGCATGTACTGCATGTACTGCATATGACGACGCAATGTCAAATCAAATCACAGGTTTATGATATAACGAGGCAAGATCGAACTCTCTGCAATTGAACGTCTCCGTCAAGTGAGACGTGGGTCACGGCAATTATTGGGTCGTCCGAGGGTGTATTCACTGAGGTGGAGATGGCAACGATGAAATATAAAGTTAGTGTCCAGGTGCCGACGTTGATTGCCTACATCGCAATTTTGAGACGTGGCGACGGGGTTGAGGAGGTCTTCATCCACACAGCAGCTTGGCTGATGATAATGAGCAATTGTTCGCGACGGTGGTGATCATGATGATGATGATGCAGGTGATGATACTCTTTGGTTATTTCGGTAAAGTCACGTAGGTAGAAAAATAATAGATGACGACGTTTCGATCGCAACACAAGCAATCGTCGAAACGCCGTGATTTATTATTATTTTTCTACCTACGTGACTTTACCGAAAGAACCAAAGGAGTATGGATTCCTGCAGTCACGAAAGCTTCGAATCGTAGGTGATGGTAATAATAATAAATGGAAGCTGCAGATGATAATGACTGCTGTTGCCTCTAGTATTCATTCTGCTGCTTGTGATACGTTACGGAGATGCTACATTTTCTGTTGCTAGTTACGAATGCTTATGATGAATGTTAATGGATATCGCAATATCATATGCAGTTTCCTTCCCATGGCGGTTCGAACATTGGAAGGAATGGAAGTGCCTTGTGGCTGGAGGGGTCACGTGAACGTTACATGTGCATCTGTGGTGCATACAACAGATGCACATGTAAACTTCGATTGTCACACACACAATTCGAGGCATGTACCATGAGCTAAATAATCAATGTGAATCGATGAGTCCCTGCATCTCTCCACCTTCATTGCCGAGTTTTGCATACAGGATAATGCGTGGTGTCGCTCTTATAAGACGCTCCGGAAAGGGAGACGCACCCTAACCTTGTGCCACGTGTCAATAGTTATACTGATCTGGTCTTACACACGCAAGCCTATCGGGTTATTAAGGCGCACCGGAACATAAGACGCACCCCAAATGTGCGCCCGGAGCCAATGCAGCTATACGAAACTAGCCACGCACACGCAAAGCTATGGCATTATAAGAGGCACTCCCTACGTTGTGTTTGAATATCCAGGAGGAGCGGTGGCGGTGGGAAGAATAGTGCATTTTAAAAATGGGTATTTCCTATTCAGTAGATTCGCTGGTAAGTGGCTCATTACATTGCTTCCTCGTCAGTCCTCAGCGAATCCTGCCAGGAAACGACGTTTTCAGTGTACAAAACATGATGTGAAACTAAAACGCACATGGGGAAACCCCCATCCGTCGTGTGAATCGTCTATAAGTAGCAACGAGCTGCTTGCGTCGGGGAACTAAACCCATTTACCGTAAACCCATTTGCCTCCCAACTACTTGCGAGTCGAGATGAACACCCTTTGTGTCACATGTATCCTGCTCACCACACTACCGGGTGAGTCCTGTTCTGCTGTGCAGTCCCCAGCTGCTGCTGCTGCTGCTGTGTTGTGACACGGAGCCAGCCGGCCACAGCCATCTCGCGGGTCGCTACCGAACCGCTCTGTGCTCCAGCCGCGTGTGCATCATCCGTCGAGTGATGTCTATTGATTGTACGCTGAACCCTCGTCTTGCGTTGGACATTATTTTGTGATTTAGCATGCGCTTTCGAGTATGTTAACGTATTTTGCTGGTTTTTTAAGGGCGTATTACTGTGCAGTTTTATTTTTTTAAGTGCGTATCGTTGGACATCCGATTAACACGCAAAACGTTACTGTTTGGTTCTTTAGGTAAAGTCACGTTGTTAGAAATACAATTTTTAAAAACGCATAACGTTTCGTTATGTTTGTTCACAAATTGTCGATTTCTCCCGTGACACAGTTGTTCTCGCTCTGATTTCTGGGTTGCTCCATTGGCTTTGCCATGTCGGTGACCCAAGCCATAGCCGCAAATGAGACTAAACTCAATCCTGGTCTCTTAAGAGTTCTCGTCTTGTCAAACACATCAACTTGACTGTTGAGCACTGATTGACAACACTAAACCGTGAACGAGGCATTTTAAAAGAAACATATGCATCACATTTGATAAAACGGAAACGGTTTTTGGCACGTGCTCTGTTTATCTTTGTGCTGTGAAGAAGGGCCATCGCCCGAAACGTCACCCGCTACATTTCCCCTCCCTTGTAAGGCAATTGTTGTTGACGAATGTTGCTGGGGTTTTATGGTGCTCGTGCCTGTGCACCCCTGCCAATGCAGTGTCACCGAATACATTGTTTTATGTTTACATACATTAATGGTACCGTAAACAGGCTCTATAGTATTCTGTGTTGGAGCATTGCGTGGCAATGTTGTAGCTGGATGGACTACTGGATGACGTATTTATAGCAATGCTTTCCGTGGGGTTTAAATCAGTATTTGTCACTGGTGTTAATTATTTTAATGTATTTAGCAACGCAGTAAGATTTCTCGTCAATTTGAATCACAGTGTTTCACTTTGAAACCCTTTAAATTCATGTCTATGTCATGCTTATTTTCTCTCCTATGCAATATGGTATTTTTTTTTCGAATACCGTACTGTAGTGCTGAACAATCTATTATCACATCAGCAGACAGGAGAATCTCGGCTCATTTTTAATTGCAGTAATTTTGGCACAGACCTCCCCAGGAGGGCTAGGCTCCTATTCCCTATGTTATACAGTACTGTAGTTTATACTCTTGGGTTCTTTCGGTAAAGTCACGTAGGTAGAAAAATAAAATAAAACAAAAATAAGATAAATAATAAAAATATATTACAATAATATGTGATATATATTTTTTTATTTTATTTTTCTACCTACATGACTTTACCGAAAGAACCACAGAGTATGCATTCCTGCAGTCACGAAAACTTCAAATCAATATTAGTACTGTCGTTTGTCCCAGATGCTCACGGTTCGGAAACCAGAGGCCGCCCTAATTAACACTGCGGCTTGTCTCCCCCCCCCCCCCCGCACCTCCAATTAGCACCGTTAGCTACGTACGGTGCGAAAGAGTGGGGCTTAAATATACCGTGCCATCATTTGCAAGAGTAAGCCATTTTTTGTGCCGGCATCATCCGTCCAAATGTTGCGAAATTTGAAAAGCTACCGGACCTGCAAAACTCCTCAATCGGTATTTGCATAGCAACTATCGCCCCCTAATTGTGCAAAATTGTCCCCTGCTAAAGAAGAGTCGCGGGACTCGGTGAGGCTTTCCTGGGTAAACAAGGAGAAACTAAATGAGGGCACAGTCATGTAGTATCGTCCGTTAATGGATCGATTTTCCTCTTCAGCATTATAACACAGCCCTGTGTAATCGTTTGATTACGGAGATGGGGTTGGTAGATCATCACACAGAAATTAAGCGAACGTGAGACGACCATCCTGTTGGCCACAAAAATTGCCAATTAGAGGCGGCAGAACATGTCGGTTATGACTGTACGTGTACCCAAAGCGTACAGGGCCATTGCCCCAAACGTCAGCTGGTGCATAGTTCTATGTTGACCGAATGTGTTAAGGTTTAATTGCAGTGCGTACAGTATCACATTTAGACCGAGTTAAAGTCACGGCTATATAGCTCGTTGAAACTGCTTTGTGAGAAGTGGCATCGACTCGCACGCAGCATTGCATAACGTGCAAGAAACGATCAACATCAGTAAACGGGAAATGTTCCAGGCTGGCTTTGCACTTACTCAAAGTCACGTGGTGCTGTTTTGTATAACCCAGATTCAAGGATCCAATGATTACTTCTTCTTTTTTAATTTAAAAAAAAATCCCTTCTTAGAACCAGTTATCACGGCGTGGGAAACTTTGCACTGGCAATCATCCGTAAAAAAAAAAACACATCCTTGATATAACACTGCCAAGTCATGTTCACGTGACAATTTAAATCTTGCCAGAACTGTCCACGCGTGTTCAGTAGAATCGCCGTAATGTGCGGCATGAATTTGCGTGTCTGATAGCACTGTAACTCAACACGTCCGTCTGAAACGTGGCCGATTATATTTGACATTTTTTTTTTAAAGACGGCGTTACTGACGAATGAGTTGTCGAGTTGTTATCGTTCAGTTGCAGAAGTCCCACAGGCTCGAATTGACTAAAGTTGCCTCATTATCTCCATTGATTACATCGTGGAATAAACTCGCCTCTCGATAAAATAGTTTATTTATTTACCGGAATCCCCTCCCACAAGAGGGCACAATGTTGGACGTAAGGTATTTGAAATTGAACCGAATAAGAGTACTGTAGCGTACTGAATAGTACAACTCCTGTAATCCGCGTTTACGTGTGTTGTGGGAGAGCTCTGCGCGGTTCATCCAATTGTCCGCGACACTACGCAATAAACACGCCTCTTCTCCTTGCAGAAGACAAATAGAATATCTTTGTAAAGTTCGGTAAGAAGGAAATGAGGGAGGGGGGGGGGGTGTTAGTCATGTGCAAATTTTGGAAATCTTTGGCGAATGTTGAGTCACGCGGCTAAAAAAACACCTACAAATCGCGGAAGCACGGAGGCACCGCTAATTGAATAACTTGCACATTAAAAGAGTGTTACTGGGTTTCTCTAAAGTAGAGTCGATTGGTGATGCGTTTGTTTTTTTTGCTGATGCCACGAACAATATATTTCCGAGTACAATAACAGGCTTATATGAATAGCACAGTGAGTGAACTTCCTTCTTTAAACACACGCCGCATGAAACTCATTAACCATAAACTACGCTGTTTGCCCAGCACAGATATTGCTCAATAAAAGTACCCCCTAAAACGTTGACGTGAGCTCTCAAAAAAAAAACCCCACTTACTGACGAAGTGACGGAAGTACACTTATATGAAATATTTCATCTATCGGGACGTGTCCAAACTCGATATAAATGCACGGTGTTAAATGTCCACACTTTCAAAAGCTTCGGGCTTTAAGCAGGAGATGCTCACTGCCTAAATGTGTTGTGCAGGAAATCACTTGATTTTTTTTTGATCTGTTGGATACATTTGTTTACAATGATGCGCTCTCTGCCGGATGACGATATGTTAGGTCATGGCTCTCGATACCCTGTGGACATGAAAGATCCCGTGACTCGCTTCGAGAAGAGCAGGAGCATGATGCACTGTTACCGGTGATATCCCAACAGAAGGTTACTTCCATCGGTGATGGAGCCAAATTCCCCATCCGTGGATAATTCATACAGTTAGAAATAAATCCCCTGTGAGCATGAGTGGGTATTACTGTAAATGAGCTGTTGGAATAGATTCGCAATGGATGTGTCAAAAAGTGCATTGTCCATCCTGCGGCAGGGAAATTAAAGCATGAGACAGAACAAATGCAAATAGTAATGAGAATTAAAGTGTAATTTTCTGTTTACACAGCAAGCTTCGTAACATATATTCAATAACCAATATTTTCACCTTGTATAATCAGCCTGCATTTTTCATGTTGTGCCATGGATTTGTCCACGCATACTTTTTTTGCTGTGAATTCTGTGTTCATTAAATATATTATTGTTGGCTGAACATATATCATTGGCTTTAATATGCGTTGTTCATTATTTGTTCTATTCTGCACTGACTTTTTTATTTATTTCAAGAAACATGTCTCAGTGGCTTATTACCAGATCATAACGTTGAAACATTAACCTACTGATTGCGTTCACAGGACTGAGTAAATCAATGTCGTGTTTTGTTCCCCTTAATACGTGAGTGATAAACGAAACACTTTCATTTTTCAGGTAAAGCACACTCAGCTATTAGCAATTTTTCAGAGGCGACTTGACCACACATAGTAGTGGCTGATATGATCATCGCATGTGGGAATTTATAGTATCTTCATCGGGCGTCTGGAACTCTCTTTCTTGCGATATTTAGAAGCCACTGGAGCTATGCACTTTTAAATCTTAATTGCAAACTCATTCCTTCAGAACTCCTTTTTGTGTGTAGTTTGTTGTCCTTCCCCCGCACCTCCGATTAGCACGGTTGTCTACGTACGGTGCAAAAGGAGTTCAACATACATACGTACATTAACACGTGCCCAAACGTGTAGGGCAAAACCTGAGAAAATTCCACGGGGAGAGAGAACACGCAAACTCCGAATATACAACAGGCATCGTCAGGGTCTGAATCGAAACCACGACATCCTGGTTATCAGGCGAGGGAGATCAGAACGAATAACCGCGCGGACGTGTGTTTTCCTTTCAGGGGTGATAACCCTCCTTTCCGTGAAAACTCCGACTGAACTCACCGTCATCACGGGCAGTGACTTGGAAATCCCGTGTCAGTGGAATGTCCCTCAAGGAGACGGAAAGTCAAGTGACAGTGACATCATTCTACAGTGGTTCATTGTACGTGACCTGTCACTTTGTAGGATTTCTTTTTTAATGTCTGTCTGTTTCATATCATGTCATTTATTTCGAACTGATTTTTGTGTTTAGTTTGTTGTCCTTCCCCGCACCTCCGATTAGCATTTGTTGGCTAAGTACGGTTTAAAATAAGTTATACGAATATACATACTTTCCTTTTCGATCAAAATGCATGAATCATATTATCGTGGTTTATTTAGCGTGGGGAGGGTCTGAAAACTGACCCAGAACGACTGAGGTCTTGGTACATCTGTAAAAAAAGAGCTTTATAGCTCATCGGATTTCTCCAGTTTAATTAATAATCTGATTCTGGGTTTGGTTAAACTAGGTTCTCAAGTGTAGCAAGTTATATGTCTCAGTCCGGTCATTAATGGCTGCATACAAAAAAAAACACTTGCACACATTAGATTTGTTTTTACTGTATTCTATATATTTTGAGCTCTCGGTATGACAACATTTAGGGTTTAATCACCATGCCACGCAGACCACTACACCAGGGCAAGTGGATAGTGGCAAGAGATTGGATCTCAGAAATAGTGCTATGAGATCTCCTTCCACAGACCGTTCCCTCGACACTGCCGTGCACTGCTTTGCCAACATTTAGAATGAATACACTGTCTTATGAAATGTCGCAGATATAACATTCGCAATGCAATATATTTGCTTTAATGTGTATCTACCATCCATTGGTATATTCATCTATCTGAGCTATCAGATCCGCCCGTGATGATGATTATGATAATAATGATAATGATTTGTTTTCAACAATAGTACCCGTAATGCCCGGGGTGTCTCAGAGAGGGCTTTACTCGCGACAAACAACTTAAGTGGCATCCCGTCCCAACACATTACTACTTAAAAAAACACACACACACACATCTAATCATATTCTTGGTTCTTTCGGTAAAGTCACGTAGGAGGGAAACAATAAAATAATAATTAAAAAATATAAATAAATAACACAAAATATCTCTTTTTATTATTTTATTGCTTCCCTTCCACGTGGTGACTTTACCGAAAGAACCAAGAATATGAATCCGTGCGGTCACGAAAGCTTTCAATCGCAACATCTAATCATGTCGATGTTCACCGATGCAACTCGCACCCGTTGTCGCACGGCCCCAGGAAACGGACAAAGGCGAGAGGCGACGGGTGTTCTACAAGAAAGGCCACCTGCAGGTGCGGGAGAAACCAGAGGGATACGCGCGAGAGATGCTCGTGGGGAAAGACTTCACGATGCTCCTGAAGAACGTCACGCGGCAGGACAGCAGGGGCTACATCTGCCAGGTGACGGCGGGAGCCGGAGGCACCGAGGACAGCACCGCGCGCGTCACGGTGCGAGGTGAGTGATTCGCCCGTGAAGCCAGTAAACACTGCGCCGCCACCGAGGGCGTCTCGGATCTCCTCCTGCTAACATCTGTCGACCTCCTCTCGCCGTGGGGATGGGTCGCTCCTCGAACGAAGGCCCTCCCTCTCGCGGCTCTGGATATTTTTCCCTTACCCCCACCGGCCGTCCACGCGGCCGGATCGAGGCTCACGAAACCTCTTTACCTCTGCCCTTTGTCTATGCAGGTGCGTTCTTTCGCATCCTGCCTTTTTAACAAAAATTGTCTGTGTATAATGAAAAATATAGGAATAGTCTTTTCTGGGGATAAAAGTCATTCTGCAAATAAAACAGATGTTATGGTGTCCAAACACCAAATATATTCCTTTTACAAGGCATCGAGTTTGTTTGCATGAACCACACGTACTTTGTAACACGTAGGCTTTCGCGACCAATATCATCTACAATAAAGGGTTTTTATTTGGGTTAGATCGCGTAAATATGTCATCAATGTGGCGGGTTTTAAAGACACATTTATATATTTAAGTGATCTAACCCCCCCCCCAAAAACAACCCGTATTATACACAAGTACTTTGTTGCAAAACATGCAAACAAACATGCTCCGATGATATTTGCATTGTCTTTGAAACTGTATTGACCTTCACCAGAGACAGACTTACAAAGACAATGCAAGTATCAGAAACATGTATAGCTCGGGTTGAGCAGTTACATCTATTTAGTATCTATTTGGTGTGTGAGCATCTCAACACAACTGTTTTATTTCCAGAAATGGTAAAGCCTATTCTTATATTTTTCATAATTTTGATACTGGCAAAATAAGGTCCCGTGGATATTCTACATACATATGTATGGCTACCTGTTTCAGCGGTTCTGCATGTACAACAAACTTTAATTCGCCAGATAGGGTCCTTGTGTCTGCCCTACATAGAGATGGTCACATCCAGAAGGCGTCCTGTTCGTTCCCAGTGATTCCTACCACACCCTGCTCCTTAACCTACCCAGCCAACCACACACATAGAGGCCCACGGACTCACGCAGAGAGCCACAGACTCGCATAGACCTACAGACTCACACAGAGAGCAGTAACACTCACACAGAGACCTACAGACTCGCACAGAGACCTACAGACTCACACAGAGAGCAGTAACACTCACACAGAGACCTACAGACTCACAGAGAAAGCAGTAACACTCACACAGAGAGCCGTAGACTCACAGAGACCTACAGACTAACAGAGAGAGCAGTAATACTCACACAGAGAGCAGTAACACTCACGCAGAGGGCCACAGACTCACAGAGACCTACAAACTCACAGAGACCTACAGACTCACACAGAGAGCAGTAACACTCACACAGAGAGCCGTAGACTCACAGAGACCTACAGACTAACAGAGAGGGCAGTAATACTCACACAGATAGCAGTAACACTCACGCAGAGGGCCGTAGACTCACAGAGACCTACAGACTCACACAGAGAGCAGTAACACTCACACAGAGACCTACAGACTCACACAGAGAGCAATAACACTCACACAGAGGGCCACAGACTCACAGAGACCTACAGACTCACACAGAGAGCAGTAACACTCACACAGAAAGCCGTAGACTCACAGAGACCTACAGACTCACACAGAGAGCAGTAACACTCACACAGAGACCTACAGACTCACACAGAGAGCAGTAACACTCACACAGAGGGCCACAGACTCACAGAGACCTACAGACTCACACAGAGAGCAGTAACACTCACACAGAGAGCCGTAGACTCGCATAGACCTACAGACTAACAGAGAGGGCAGTAATACTCACACAGAGAGCAGTAACACTCACACAGAGACCTACAGACTCACACAGAGACCTACAGACTCACACAGAGAGCAGTAACACTCACACAGAGACCTACAGACTCACACAGAGAGCAGTAACACTCACGCAGAGGGCCGTAGACTCACAGAGACCTACAGACTCACACAGAGAGCAGTAACACTCACACAGAGACCTACAGACTCACAGAGACCTACAGACTCACACAGAGAGCAGTAACACTCACACAGAGACCTACAGACTCACACAGAGAGCAGTAACACTCACACAGAGAGCAGTAACACTCACACAGAGAGCAGTAACACTCACACAGAGAGCTGCAGACTCACAGAGACCTACAGACTCACACAGAGAGCAGTAACACTCACACAGAGACCTACAGACTCACACAGAGAGCAGTAACACTCACGAAGAGAGCCATGGACTCACAGAGACCTACAGACTCACACAAAGAGCAGTAACACTCACGCAGAAACCTACAGACTCACACAGAGAGCAGTAACACTCACGAAGAGAGCCATGGACTCACAGAGACCTACAGACTCACACAGAGAGCAGTAACACTCACGCAGAGAGCCGTAGACTCGCACAAATATACTGTGGCTAATGGATTCAGAGCTGCAGAGAACGGGGGGGGGCCTGGTTTTGATACATCAGTCATGGGGTGGGGAAGGGGGGGGGGGGCCCATACTTCACCATGCTGGTCATTGCAGGTTGGGGAAGGGAACACGGTTTCTCTCGCATCACCGCTGAGCACGGGTGTCCGTGTCCAGTCAAGTTTCCAGGTCAATAACGCGCCTTTTAATGTATTTGCCCGCATCAAAGCAGTTGATATCCCCGTGATGTACACGTAGACATGGTTTTGTATTGACACTTAACCTGGTAAAAGCTAATGTCAGGAGGTCCATTGTTGTTAGGTTTGCGAAGCTGATGGGGTCAGAGTAAGCGATCAAAAGCATTCCTCCAAGTGTATTGAAGGTAGCAGGCCTTGGCACTGACGTTTAGTGCAAACTCCTGCTGATGTGAGAAATAGCGCTGCACTCTCCCTACCAGTAGCCATAACTCTGTCCCTAATAAACATCAGCCCTCTTTCCCTTGCAAGCCAATTTTGATGGGGATCAGCAGTAATTGTAAGCAGCACGCGCATGCCTGTAGTTTTGCATACATTGATGTCCTTCTCCCACACCTCTGATGAACACGCTTGGGTACGTGTGGTGCGAAATAAATTCTGCGTACATACATAAGAGGCGTCCATAAATGACGTCACGCACCTGGGGGGGGGGGAGGTCAGACATTTGTGACGATGTGACGATGGGGTGGGGGGTTTGAGTTACGTGACGTCACATCAAAATGCGCAATTTTAAATAAATATAGACAACACGTTCTACTTAATTAAATATACGTTTTAAATAAAGGTTTTCTCCTACAACATCAGAGTGCAGAGCCACATTTAAATACGCACTACACTGACAATAGTTTAAAGTGATTTCAAGCATTTTTTTTTGGGGGGGGCAGAGCTTTGTGACGTCATATTTGAGGGGGGGTCTGACTTTTTGTGACGCCGTGTGACGAGGGGGGAGGCGGGGAAGTCAAAAATCCTAAAAAATCGCGTGACGTCATTTATGGACGGCCCCTAATCGTGAAACCTGCAGTGGTAATAACACATGACTGGTTTTCCCGCATTTCCCCCACAAGCAAGAATAATGACGAAGGAATTGGGGAAGTGTGTTATGAAAGCAGAACCGTTTTAAAAGCTGGGAGTCAGGAGACCGGTAGTTTTCTGAGCTAATAAAAACGCATCGGCGACAGAAACAATATCTGAAAGAAACAAAATAAGAAAGTGCGTTTTTGTAAAAAAAAAAAAATTGTTTTAATATTTTGTGTTTTATTTTTATTTAAAGCTTTCGTGACTGCAGTGATTCATATTCTTGGTTCTTTCGGTAAAGTCACCACGTAGAAGGGAAGCAATAAAATAATAAAAATATAAAACGATAAAATTTATCACGACGTTTCGACTGCAACACAAGCAATCATCATCAGGTGTGAAAACCACAGCAAGAAAATTAAAAAAAAATTATTGTTGTGGTTTTCACACCTGATGATGATTGCTTGTGTTGCAGTCGAAACGTGAGAATTTAATTGTTTTATATTTATTTTATTTTATTGTTTTCCTTCTACGTGACTTTACCGAAAAAAACAAGCATATGGTTTATGTTTTGTTTATATGCCATCATTGTTTTGATATGCAAAATAACATGCGGTAAACTCATTGTGTCGTCTTCAAAACAAATGGGTATATTGCTGCATGTGCAAATTAATATAAACAGATGTCACTGCTTCTTCATAAGTATGGCATTGCTAAATGCAGTCTACAGGGCTTCATTACTCAACTTACTCAATCATGATTATTTTTTCAACTTTGTCCCAAAGACGTAATGAAAAAAAAAGTGATTTCCTTCTCAAACGAGCATCGAGGGCGTGCTCATCTCCTGTGTAAAGCCCGGCACCAGTGATGGAAATTCCACATTCCTATGGTGTGGCTGAGTCTCTCCATCGGACAACAACTGATGATTTCCCCATTTATTGTTCATCATCTCACGAACCGCAGAGCGATGATGGACTGAGTCCGCCTACAACCAGGATTTGAATAAAGCAAAACTTCCCATTGCGTGCCCACACTCTACGGCAGAGATAACCTGGGTGGATACAAAATATATATATAATGATGCTGTGCTATAAGATTACTCGTAAAACGATGATGACAATAATGACAGTGCTTTTATTTCTGCTTTAGATGTGGTCCCTCCAGAGACTGAATTTCCCGACAAGTCTGTCGTTATAACACAAGAAACTTATGCGGAGGTAAGTAAACTGGTGGCTCTTCGACAACCCGGACTTATCAGTGCAGGGAGGTACAATGTACAGTGTGGTAAAATAACCCCACCACTCAAGCGGTGCGGTAACGCCCTCATCCAGCAGTGGATTGATCAAGGGGCTGGCGTGGATAAGACGGTGGCTTGTAATTATAACGATGAACTTAACATCGAAATAGTAATAGATTACAGCCAGGAGCCAATGCACTACTGAATAAAAGCGCTACCCATTCTGAGTCAATCATGGGGACTCTCTGACCATAATTCACCAAAGCGGTCAGTATGGGTTGGGGAATGGAGGCAGGGTGGAGGGGGACATGACTATTTTAGAGACTGTATATGGCAAGTAAGACTACCTTGGTCTCATGATTTGCCACCTGATTATGAATAATTAAGGCCTAATGCTCACCACTGATGTTATCCGTGGCTGGGAATTGAACTTAGGTCTTTGTGGTTCATTGCACTCAATGCTAGCAGATATTATTTTCAGTGCGCATCTTTCCGCATGGCATCGCGCATCATAACGCTCTCGTCACTTTCTTTCAGGTCGGCGTGTGCATCGCGAGGAATGGATATCCACAGCCCAAGATCACATGGCACAGAGGCAATGAGTCTGTGGTCACTTCAACCGGTACACTACTCCGTTCACGCGCGCGCTTGTCTTCTGCAATGACGATGTCTTGTGCCCAAAGCGAAGTGATATGTTCCGAAAATGAAACGCTTGTTCCAGTGGTTATTGATCGCTGAATATGCCAATTGGTGATCAAAGGCGGCTCATATTTGTCTAACGAGATACACTACTAAACGTACATATGTACCATATGTATGTATGTGTGTTGGACTTCTTCGGCACTGTACGTAGCCAACCGTGCTAATCGGAGGTGCGGCGGAAAGACGAAAACTAAACACAAAAAGCAGTTCTAAAGAAATAACGTGATAACTATGCACATTTACTCATCGTAACCTATCAGAGCACAGGTTCAATATCGCTGAGGTCCAGAGAGACAGAAATAATTATTCCAATACCATTACCATGTTCAATTCAAATGTTGGTTTTCACTTTAATCAGCATGCCTCCACCTTTACCCCTTCTTCAGACTTCATCGTTCAGGAGACGGTCACCGAGTACGCCGGCGACCTGTACACGGTCACCTCGAGAATGTTGTACCGGCAGCGATGCTTCACGAACGCCACCTTCCACTGCCAGGTTCACCACGGCTCGCCGGCTCGGCCAAGCACCGTCGCCTCGGGCAAAATAACCGCAGTGCACGAGGGTGAGGAGCAGCTCAGCGAGCCGGCTGCGTCGCAGTATGCGGCGTTAAACACACACACACGCACACACGCACACACAAAAACCACCCCCGTCGCGCGCGAATATTCAATTTGCCGCCAGCAAAAAAAATCTCGGAGCACCGCCGGGGTGGGGGTGGCATGAGACACACTGGGCCAGTGAGCACACCAGTTTCGTCTGGCCACGGTTGGCCAATTGAACCTTATGGCGGTACTCCCCGGGGTATTCGTAAGTACCATAGTACCCCAGGCTCTCGCATAATGTCCGTGATGCAGTCATTTTGAGTCTGTTGATGGTCGGCGATGCGGCAATCGACTTCATCTCGACGAGCTGTGCGCGATGCACTATTCAAAGTTGAATTTTTCGAAAACTTCTTTTTATGCTAATGTTTGGCGTTTCGACATCGCGTAGTAGCACTGATTTCGGATTGATTGGTACCCCAGTCGCGGAGTGAAGTAACACCCCTGGGAAAAAATAGTGTCCCAGAAATAAAATATTTAATTGCCTCGGTCAGTTTGTATTATTTGGTACCCCGGAGTACCGCCATAAGGATCACTTATTTTGGCGGTTGAATTACCCACCCACACAAGCCATCTGCTGTATATATATTCTTAAGTGGGTGCATAAATGTATATCCGCTTCGACAAAGCGTCTGTGAATTATCCATTAATGTTTTGGGGGTGGTGGTGGGGGGGTTGCTAAAATGAGTACCACATGAAATGCAGAGACTGCGCCACTTTGGTGGGAAATCAAGAGAGGTTGTTTTTCTACTGTATCCTAGGCATAAGAATATTTACCACTCCTTTGAAACTTGCTTGGACAGAACTGTTTGAAGACGTGGCACTTTGAGTTACCGATCAGATTGCGGACTTTCGGATGCATTATGAATTAGTCAAGTACGGCACTGAAAGGTTTTAGATAACGGAGTGTAGCTTTTGTTTGCACGGGTAAGTGTTGGGGCCACAGGATTCACTAGGGGGCAGTATTTGACAAGATATAAGCACTGCAGCTTGAAGAGACACTGTGGCCTGCAGTATGAGTCACCACTGCGTACGATTAATTGATCACAGTCTGAGGAGCGTCTGCGATGTGGTTTTCCATTGGCATTGTGAAAGACCCAACTTAAGCGATCCCTGCGTTTGATCTTCCACGAAGCTCACGGTCCACCCGAAATCGCATCCGCACAAACCATGGCAGATACGGACACCTGATGCACAAATGGAGAATTAAAAACTCTCCATTGTGCGACTGCGATCATCCAGAACAGACCGTACAACGTGTAACGTCGCGAATGCCCCGATCCACAAACACGAAGGATACATCGCAGCGACGATGGTACATGATACACTACTCCGCTGCTCCTGACGCGGCTGTCTGGCTTGACCACCTGAATGTGACACCTTGGCTGTTGTGCTGCGTCTACATTGGCCATACGAATGAAGAAGGAGGCAGTGATCTGAAAAGTTCACATTCCTATGGCAGGGGCCGGTCTTGCAATTTACAATATTTGTAATAGCCGTGCCAACTCCACACAGACTCTGCGTACGTTTCATATTACATATTTTCATAATAGAGGTGATGATTTGTTTTGAAGCTTGCTGTCACATGCTGTCATTTAGATAATACCCCTAACATGTGTGCCCCTTTTTTCTTGTAGCAAAACCACAGTTTCAGAAGACACTCGTTCAAATATCCATTCCAGACGTGAAAACTGACTATAGTCTTCTGTGCGAGGCCACAGCAAACCCCATGCCTACTATAAGTTGGAATATCACGGGATCTCCTGTAAGTACATGAGTCAAAGTATTTTATTTAAAATACAGTCAAACCTTGGATTGCGAGTAACTTGGTCTGCGAGTGTTTTGCAAGACGAGCAAAAAGTTTAAGTAAATATTAATTTGATAAACGAGCGAGATCTTGCAATACAATTAGCACGTATACGCTTTGTCTGCCGAGCGTCACGTGATCACAACTGATATACGAGTGCTTTGATATGCGAGTGCTTTGGATTACAAACACGTTTCCGGAAGGAATTATGCTCGCAATCCAAGGTTTTACACTGTATATATATTTACCTAAATGTTATCCCTATTGCGCTGTCGGTGTCACGTCAAACCTCCATTCGGTCAGAGAACGGTTCGGTGCAAATGGATATTACAGATCTACCTGAGAGATATACCTACAATAACCACACATCTTAGAGATCTACAGAGGCCACTTGCCTTAAAGCGAACTCTGGTTCACACAGTAGGGGACAAAATGTTCCCAACTTGCTTTGCCACTAAGGGTAATCTTCATCGCTTTCCGGTCAAACCATTTTTTTAAAGTTTGAAATGTAGCCAATTTAGCCAACTTAAGTGTCGAGTAAAAGTCAATGCGATGCCTGTTTGTGCAGTGCTGTTTGTTTAAGCACAGGCAGCTACCTAGATTCGAACTAAGTGGTGGTGCCAGCTCAGTGCTCTGACCTCTGAGCCACCCCGGTCACCTCCTCGCCATAGTCCTGACACATTGCGGGGGGTATACTCACGTTTATTTCCCCCGACATTGTTTTGACGACATGAGATATTCCTGACAGAATTCACTCAAAGAACCCTCATGTACAGCGCACGCATGCAGTTCACGTAAGGCCACATTCTGTGTTCTTAACTCGATATCTTGCGATGCTTTTCTGCTGAAGGGGGATTTTTTTTTACGTAAATGCGCAGCCCTGACATCATTTGTCTCTGCGACCTTTGTGTCAGTCTCAAAACGATGAACAAAAATTAATAAGCAATATTACCAGAGCGTGTTTGTTTCGCACGTTTCGGTGACGGATTGTGCACTCCTTGCAGGTGGAGCACTGGAACAAAGAGCTAAATGTGTTGAGTAGTCAGCTGGAGCTGAATGTGAACGAGCTGGAGAGGGTCACAGTCGTCACGTGCAGTGCGTGGAACAAGCATGGGCGGGGAGAGATGACCTTCGTTGTACAGTACCGCAAAGGTGAATGCAAACGAAGCATGACTCCGTTCTGTCTGCACACATGTATTTAAAATGTACTTTAGTCCATCAATTAAAAATATGTTTTAAATCGCATCTGCACAAAGCGTGGCAGATGCGGATACCCGATGCACAAATGGAAAAATAAAAAAAAACGTCTCCAGTGTGAGGCTGTGGTCATCCAGAACAGGCCGTCCAACGTATGACGACGCAGTGCCCCGATCCACAAAACACGAAGCGGACATCACAGCGACGATGCACTCCGCTGCTCTGGACGCGGTCATGTGGCTTGACCACCTCGATGTGACATCGCAGTCCGTTGCTCTGCATCTACATCAACCAATATTATGAAGCAAAAAGGTCAAGCTGGTTATTGGCACTCCACATTAACCTTTTGACCCTTTTCAAGGCAAAAACGAACACCGTACACGAACTCATTGTGCACTGCTGTGCAGCGTTACAGCTGAATTCATAACAGAATAAAGGAAACTCGAGACTGGCTTCGACTTTCTGGGTCTCATCAGCAGGCATCTAGAGATGACCACCTAGTCTATCGAAGGTAGCAGCTCACTAACCCAGCTATTTACAAGCCGAAGTTCGTGAGCTGGCTGGGTGTGGTGGTGTACGCCTGTCACAAACTGCCTTGCGTGTGGGGTTGATGGATCACACACAGACCACGTGTGTGAAACTCCTAACCTGCAGGGCTTTGACGTGGTCAGGGTTGAGTTGCTGACCTATCTGTTTGGATTTTCAATAAGTTATTCACTCGTGTGCGAAATCTATCTCCAAACACCCCACTTTCATCTCTCAATTCAAAATCATTCAACGAGGAATGGGCGTAGCAACTATCTGTTGGACTCTCCTACAAAAAGGAGCCTGCAGAGTGTGTGCGATTCTCCTATAGATACGACTATTAAGATATCCAATTCAGCCACGTTATTGTATACCAGTCCCTACTTCCGTTTGCAGTACTCTGTGGCCGATCCCAATAAGCCAATAAAGCTTCACTCTAGAGCAGTTAAAGTCACCACGTAGAAGGAAAACAATAAAATAATAAAAATATAAAACAATACAATTCTCACGACGTTTCGACTGCAACACAAGCAATCATCATCAGGTGTGAAAAACCACAGCAAGAAACTTTCCTGCTGTGAAAACCACAGCAAGAAAACCACAGCAAGACACGTTGTTGCTGTGGTTTTTACACCTGATGATGATTGCTTGTGTTGCAGTCGAAACGTCGTGGGAATTGTATTGTTTTATATGTTTATTCTTTTATTGTTTCCCTTCTACGTGACTTTACCGAAAGAACCAAGAATATGAATCCCTGCAGTAACGAAAGCTTTAAATCAAAATCTAGAGCAGTTGTTTCTCACACTTATTTGGCCTGTAGACCACTCAGGCGATGCAAACATTTCCGCGGGACCCCATCCCCCGTGACAAAACGCATTCACTTCTCTCACTAAATACCACTCGTAAAAAATCTATTGATATTACCGGAACATTTAAAAAAAATGGTTACGCAGCTACAAGGCTTTTTTCGGGGAGGGAGGGGGGAAGGGTTTTTTTTTTAGATCTTAGCGTTAGGGTAGTTTAATCAGGGGTAGTTTACCAAAGTTAATTTTATTTATTTATTTATCATGTAAGTCACCGCGGACCACCCGAAGGGCCGTCGCGGGCCGCTCAGCGGCGGTCCCGGGACCGCACGCTGAGACCCCCGCTGGGCATTTGTCTCGAGGGCCTTTGCAGGAGGGTCCTTGCTAAGCTTCACACTTTGGGGGGGGGGGGGGGGGGGAGACGTCTCGTAATTCTTGTTTGTATCTTTTTGTTTGTTTGGCTCTCACAGATACATTTCCAAGAAGGATCGAGGTGGTCGTTGGTGTGTTCGTTGCGTGCGCCATTCTCGCATTGTTCATCATTTCATTTCTTGTCATCAAACGCTGTCAAAGGTAAACATTCAATTGTGTTCGGATATCTCTGAAATTAGCGCGGCCTGGAAGCGCAATATTAAGTAATACGTCTTACAATTACAATTCCTTATAGAGGAAACACATACTAATTAACTGATTATTAATCTGTTTTATAATTACAATACCCCTCCCCCCTCCTCCGCCTCTGATCTCTGTACCTGATTGGGTTCAGTGATGACGTCGTCCTGCTGCTGCTCCATTTAAGGGCGGAAGCAGATGGATTGCTTCACGATTCTGGCAAATCGCCCGACCATGCTAGATGTGATTACCAGCGAAACGTCGTACTCAAATTGTAAATGGAGTCGATTTACTCTCCAACACACCGGTGGGCTGGAGTAGTAACTAATTGGCGTTTTGTTTACGTGACAAACTCCTTACTAATTGACTGTTTCGGGTGGTGGAGGGTTACGACACATTTATACTGACGCGATATTGCCCAAAAACCTTTATAATGAATCTCTGAAATTATTTAGGTGATTTTTTTTCTATATACATAAGATAAAAATGTTAAGTGCTTTTATCAATCCACTGCTGGACGAAGGCCTCACCCCCCAAATTGTCGCCACCTCTCATGATCCTGCGATGTAATAAAAATACAAAGATCCCCCCTATAGCCTTCACAGACTGTTGAAGAATATGCTGTTAGCGAGCACCTATGAAGGCCGAAACGGTACACGAGGGGGTGGTGTGACCAGCCCACGCCCGTCCGCCTTTGTCTCCCCAGCGGCGATGTTTACACATCCCAACAGGAACTGATTTGAGGCTGAGGCGAGCTAGGAGAAGCCCAGGACTGGTTCAGATTGTCGTCACTGGTGTTGGCCGTGGGTAGGAATCGAACTCGGGTCGCTGGGTTCGTAGCGCAGCGTAGCGCTATCAAAATCCACCAATCACCTGCACACGAACCAATTTAATCGCTCCATCTCCCCAGTTTGATTTCCTCTCGCACTGTTGTAGGTCACTCACGGTCATTGTTTGACCATACTTCACCATGCTGGTCACTGGGGGTTGGTGAAAGTGGCGCGGGTGGTGGTCGGTGTGGTCCAGCTTTCACTTGCCAGCAATGATTGGCCAAGGCAAAGAATCAAAACTCAGGGCCCACCGGGATTTGAGGCTCTGTGAGAGCCACTAACCTCAAGCAGTGGCTGCTAGTAACCGACAATATGTCAAGTATTTTCTTCATATTCTGGATGAGAACTGTACAAATTCAACGTGATACTCTTTGGGTCTTTCGGTAAAGTCACATAGATAAAAAATAATCATTAAATAATTAGAAATCACGACGTTTCGATCGCATGATTAACTCCTGCAGTCACGAAAGCTTTAAGCCAAGATGCTACGTGAGAACAAGAGCAATTCAACGTGATGTTTTTCAACGTTGCATGCACTATTTCAGCCGACAAATGTCACTTGTGCAAGAGTACATTCACCGAGGAGATGGAGCGATTTAATCAGTCAGTGTATAGGCGCTAGGTGGATTATATTGCATAGCCAACCGTGGTCATCGGAGGTGCGTGAGAAGTGGTGGTGGTGGTGGTGGCAGCTTGGGGAGGCCTTCATCCAGCAGTGAATTGAGCATGGCTGATGTACACTGCAGGTGTGCGCAATGAAAGCAATTACATGCCTAATCACCGCACTGTCCGCCGGTGTTTTCAAACAGAAGTAAGAATAAAGCTGGAGAAGCGGATAAATCACTAAATCCACTTCACAAAGGCTCGGTAAGTGCGCCTGTCATTGCATCCAACTCTGTGATGACATATACGCGCAGGGTTGTATTTTCCCCACTTTTAAATTTGAAAATGTTGAAAGCACACATGCGGAAGCATGGAAGTACAGTTCCGCAAAGGATCTTGCTTATTGCCTTCCTCCGCCTGCAACTATATACCTAACGCAACCCCAATGACAATATTTATCATGCGTGACGATCGCCCATCCAAACATTATCCAGGCTCGGAACTGCTTGGCTTCTGATAGCTCATGAGATTGGGCAGGCTACGGGTGATTATTTCATAAACGTTTTCATCTCACGCTTGCCACATTTTTGTTGTTTTCAACGAAGTAGCAGACGGCCATGATTACGACAACGATGCTGAAATTCGGAAATATAACTGAGGATGATGATGATGATTTTTACACTGGTATTCTGTGTTTGTCTTTATTTTCCTTTAGGAATGCTGTTAATCTTAGCTGCACTATCACAATGAGAAGACAACGATATGCTGCCAAACCCATGGAAAAGGACTGACTTTCGTGAGCTTTCGTCACATATGTCGCGCTATGCTGTTACTTTTGACGATTCTGTTGTGTGTACACAACCCTTTTTTTACGAGGTATCATTTCAAAGAGCACTTTAATATGTTAGGACTATACGTGTGTATGTATGTTTACAGAATCAATATAAACCAAACTATAATTGCACCACCATATAGGTGAGGTTACGCGATGCTCCCGTGGTGTAACGGTCAGCGCACTGGGCTTGCAATCCAGAGATGACCGATTCTGTTCCATCTCCCAGCGTGACAACTGAAACAACGAGGCAATCCCTCTTAAATCCCCCCCCCCCTCCTCTGTCCACCAAGCAATATAAATGGGTATAGTCAGTGGGGTAAAATGTGTCTACTGTAATCCCATACGTTTCAGGATGTCCGTGCGCACGTGGAAAAGTAAGCCAAGACACATTCGATAGAGGGGGTTCTCTCGACTTAGAGTTTCCGCTTGTGGAGTCTCGTCTGCCAGCATTGGCTCGAGCGAGTAATTGCAGGGCTGCGCCTTTATACGCGTGTTCGACTTGTAAGGGTTGGAGTTTGGGTTGGATTGAACACACAGGAGTAGATTAAGAAATCATTATTTCTTTTTTTTTAAACGCCGTTCCACGAATCATAATGTGCACAATACGTTTATACTTACTGTATGCCGATCATATACAATGCAACGCTATACTGTACTAGTATACGGATAAAACATATTAACGCCTGATATTACAGTGATCCGTTCGCTGACCTACGGTCGATGTGTTAGAATAGTGGCTTGCTTAGGCTGTGCAGTGTTAAACAATTTCAGTGCAACGTCGCATATCCGACCGTCGTGAATCCACCCCGACCACCCACATCCAGGGCGGCGACGCACTGTGCATCGTGTCCCTCTGAATTCACAGGATTTCTCTCACTTCATGCGATTTCCTGGACATGTTGCTCCATGCCCTTTCAAGTCACCCATGCGGGGCTTTTGCGTGGACTGCGCGCGCTAAACGCGGTTCGGGGCTGGTCGCTCGCCTCGTGCGATGCATTGCGGGCTGAGGTCAACTGTGCGGTCCGTGCGCGCCCCCATTGGGTTCTTTGTTTGATTTTGGAACGCATCGGCCGCGTAAGAAGGGAAAGGGAAATCCTGTTGCACGTTCGCAATCTCGCGTGCATTCACTTTCTGAAGTGCGGCAGAGTTTGTGTTTTTGCTGACGTTTCAAGCAGTCGTTAAGTCTCTCCTGCCGGGCAACATAATGTGTGTGTGTGCATTCATTCCCTATCGACGTTCACATATGCTGTCCAAACCACGAGCTCAAACCCACTGCATGTCCACTGCATGAAATGTGGCCGTTTTGCTCGTTAGACCACCGACTAGACCGGTTTAGGCCTCATCGGTGCAACACAGTCATCAATAGGCCACCACTACCATTTGCCTCTGTGTGTTGCCAACGCATGGAAAGGACTTTCAACTAGTCACGATTGTGACCCGGTTAGCAGCTGCCGACATCTGTAAATGATGGGGAAAGCCCGTCACAACAGAAGCATGAACGCAGGCTGAAACACGTGTTTAACAACACACAAAGGTGCGAATCTTTGTGTGTACAAAAGCTCTCCTCCTTATCTCCTTCACGAAATTTAACTTTTTTTCACAAAGCCACAGGGAGTCGGATATGCGATGTTATAACGGCAATTATAGAACATTTATTTCGTCAGTTTCAGTATTCTTGTGAAGTTCTTTCTTTCAATGCAATCTGTGGTGTGTTTTTTAAAATCTTTTTTTATTGCAATGTACATTATAGACGTGATGCGTGTTGAATGAATAAAATAACAGATCTCTTTCGTCATGCATGTGCCTGATGATAGTGTAACGCGATAAACGGGGTACTTGCCTGCACTAGCAGACACCCACCAATAGGGGGTGATGAGTGGGCCACCAAGGTTCCCCAGACCCCCGAGAGGGGGGCTGGGGGAAGATTCCAGGACCCTCTGGAACGCTCTGGAAGGGAGGCGTGGCCAGGGGCGTGGGGACCCTGGCAGGTGTACGAAGACTGAAGACCGAGCTTCAGAGTAGGACCCTGGGACCCCCAGACCCGCTGTCCTTCTAAGGGCCGGGACTGATGTGGGACAGCGGTCGGACTCTGGGTACCCCCAGACCCGTTGTCCTTGTAAGGGCCGAGACTTAGTGGGCCAGTGGCCGGGACCCGAGGACCTTGGCTGGGTTGGGTCAGGATAGCCTCCCCTAGGCCCCGTAGCCGGAGGGCTGAGTGCAGAGTGGTCCCCAGTGTGAGGAGGCACGATAGCCCGGAGGCCATACCTCCCCAGGTAGCGGGTGTAAGGGGCCGTTACCCCTTTGTGTTAGAGACCCTGTACTGAGTTATTTGTTGAACAAAAGTGTTGCCTCAAGTACCGGCTCTCCCTCGTCTTTGGGCTCACTACAATAGTGATGCAACTAGGCATCAGCAAACTAAGCAACGTTTAAGGGCCCAAACAGCTGAAGGGGCTGCTGGATATTTATGAAATCAAGCAAGAAAAAACATGCATATGCATGGGTTTAAAAACGTTTTTCAACATGCATTTTTCTTCAGAAGGGTTCACAGTTTAAAGGATTTTATATTGCATAATACCTGCAATGATCATACAAAAAATTGAACATTAACGAAGAAAATGGAGAGTGTGGTACAGAATTTGAAAGTGTATGAACTGGCTTGTGTTAGAAGTTGGCATCATATTCTGGGATGTAACTTCATCGTTTTATTTCTCTGTTGTAATAACTTTTTGTTGCTGTGTGCGTGTCTTTTGTTTGGCTGACATTAATTTATTCATTTATATTTTCTGAGGGATTTCATTTGCTTGGTAGTTGATATATATATGAGATCTGGCCCTTATATAATTAATGTACAGCGTGTTAGGCGTGCAATTAGCATGAACGGCGTCGTATAAAATGAGATTATTTTTTAAGGCAGCATGCAGAGGGGAATGTCTGTAATGATGTTGCGAGACAGAGGAATGCCTCGATTTGGGAACACGCACAGGTCAATGGCATCGATCAAAACTTAAGATAAGTTAGCGGGCTCGGGCAGGCCACAAGTCACTACTATGAGGGATGATGGTCGGTGATCAACAACAACGATGGAGTGGCGGCCAAAGAACGGAACGGCACCTTAAAAGGACGAGAAGATGGAGCGATAAAAGCCATTCGATTGTGAGAGGTGGTGGTTGCTTTCAGAAGATACTAGCAGTGGATTAACCCTGGTGATGATTATGGTGATGATGATGATGAAAGGAAATAGAGTTTAACACTTTTTTGAGTTAATTTTCAATATGTTGGTTTTTTTTCACGTGTCAGTGACAGTTTTCCCATAAAATTACTTGGGGCCCATCCTGCTAAAGGATGAAATACCCGGCGGTGTCCTTGTATTCAGGATGCGAGCCTCGCTCCACATCCTCTTCCTGTGCTTCGGGTCAAAGTGTCTCTCACACAATGGAAAGCTCGGGATTGTTCTGCGCATCCTCCCATCGTACTTATTTCTGGAGTAATATCTCAGGCCAGCCAGCCAGTGAATGAGCAGTAAAAGTTGCAAACTTAAAGATTCCTTCACCTTAAAAGTTTGGAATCTGTGCACTCCCACTGTTGCCAGATTGAATCCCGGGCACAGCTAACATTAGTGATGGGTGATGGACCACTCTTTTAATTATTTCCTCGTGCAGCAATCGAGTAAAGTGTGGTTTTGTGAAGGTCCATGTGTGCTGTGCAGTACATCACTGCACGTGTGCACCAACATGCGATACTGAGTCGGGCCTGTAGGTGGCTGGCAGGATTATTGAGTAACCTGACCAGTCACGTGGTTAATGGCGACTCAGTTGAAAATTGCTGTGTGTGACACACATGCTGTTGCAATTTACAGATTACCACAATAAATGTTTGCCCTCAATTTGGAGCACCTGCCCACGTCCTTTATTTTGAGTGTGCAACAGTGACATCTGCTTCGTATGTATGTATGTTGAACTTCTTTCGCACCGTGCGGAGCCAACCTCCCTCACCAACGCCACACTGGTCAACAGGGATTGGGCCTCCTCGCTCTGCCAACTCGGCTTTTTGCCTGCATCATGAGTGGAGCATGAGGCCCCGGTAACTGTACGGGTCAGGACTTCAGCAAAGCAACTGGAAAAAGATGCCAGGCAGATGTTCTGAAGAAGGACCTTTGCCCAAAACCTATTAATCATCTTGTTCATTTTAAGGCAGCGTTATTGACGAATGTTTTGCGGGTTTTTTTTGTTATTTGTGCATGTACACTGTCAAAGCAGCATCAATAATGTTTTTCTTTAATGAGAAAATAAGCTTCCGGCTTATGAATACAGGTACATGGGGAGGCTATTAAGAATGTCTTGGCAGGTGAAGTTTGGAATAGAGTGTTAAGACAGCATTGCAGATGTAACTTGTATTCATGACGGGTAGTCACGACACGCCAGTGAGTCGACATCAGCAACACCGTTACAAAAGCCGTTCTCATGCCTTTACCGTCGCTCAAGGGCCTGCAATGCTACGGTAGTGTCAACGATTTAGAGACAGAGTTTCTAGGAGGCACTTTATTAACAACTTCCACGGTCTCGTCCGCACACTCTCCACAGTAGCTCAGCCTAGCCTGTACACAACACTAGCCGTCTCACACCGACGGCGCCGACTGAGATAGCCAACTACTATCCTTCGTAGCGCAATATCTAGCGGAGACGTTTAGCGACGACGGCGACGAGACGACAGCAGTTTTCAGCTTAATTTATTAGGTATAGCCCTGTGAGCCATGAGGCTCTTGGCTCGGGTGCAATCGCAACGACGAGACGAGTCCATTCCAAGAATCGGCAGCCCTGAGCCCCCCGCTCTCGGCTCCTTTTATGCTCCCAGCGCGGCCCTGGCTCCGCCCTGACCGCCACCTCCCTTCTCGAACCCGCTAGCAGGTTCCAGGGGCCTCCAGACGGGGTCCTCCGTGACCCTTGCCCCAGTTCCTCCGCCCTGCCCACACACACCGTGCACGCCCTCACCGGCGTGTGTGCTGTCTGTCCACCACAGTTGCCGCTGCTGTCCACCAGCCAGCGCTATTACACTACACTACAATTAATTATAGCAATAATGTCAACTTGTAACGTGCATTCGCTCACTCTGGTAGATACAGCACGACTCAGGTGAGCGATTAATCGCTCACCTGAGGCAGCCGCGCAATTAGCCGGCGCCAATAATTGCCCAAGCTCTGTGGTCCTCTCTAAATTGAGGTGTTAGCCAAATAATGAGCGTTTATATGTGGGAGGAAACCGGAGCACTCGAAGCAAACCCACGCATGTGAGGGGGGTAACATTCTATCCCATACAGACGGAACAGATGGGAGTCCAAAATTTTGCTATAACGCCTTCTCAAAATCCAGGGTAAAGGACCTCGACGCCCACGGGAAGTTTCGCAACATCTGCACGATCCACCACCCACTAGCGCCTCACACAGTGCAGGATTAAAGGCGTGTGTAGCCACCACCGCCCGGCTAAATTAATTTAATCCACGGGGTCGGCAACCTTCGGCTCCGGAGCCACACGCGGCTTTTCTTAAGGACTGCTCCGCGAGACGTTGTTCATCAAGGACCACCGTTTCGTATTCCACGTGCGTTGCGGCTCTTGAAATATTTATCTTTTTATCGAGTTCGAATTTTTTTTCTGTACCTGTTATTTTGGTTGCCGACCCCTGAGCTAATCCAAGCACTCGAAGCCTCGAAGCTAATGTCATCTCCCCACTCTGCTCTCACTTACCACTACAATACATTATCAGTGGGTTCCCCAGCTATTTTTATTATGTTGTGTTATTGCCCTTCCGCCAATTTCCAGCAGCTATTTTGTTCGTGCTGCATATCACTTTTACGCGGCTCCACGATCCTTTCGGCAACTTCACGATGCAAATGCTCCGCAGAGGTCACATTTCAAAGAGAAGCCGGCAGGCTCTTAGGAATGTGCAGCACTTGAAACAACAACAACAGGAAAACATACATGAAAATCAGAGTTAAATTTTAATGATGATAATCTTCTGACACTACCGACGTGGTAAGCCACGGATGAGTGAGAGGAATTGAGAACCACGGGTAATCCACCTCTCCAGTTTTCAAATTATTGGAAGGTGGATTTTTATTTTTTATTATTATTACACGCTTTTATTTAACTCACTCCGTCTGTTGTATCCTCCCAAAAAAATGTGTTTTATTCTGACTAAAATTGTACCCACTTCCCAATGTGCTATCGACTGCAAACTTGAAATACCTATGTCATACTGGTGACAAGGCTATATTCTATCGTAAAAAAATCCAAATATATATTTTTAAACATTTTACACGCTTTTATTTAACTTACTCTCTGTGTTGTCATATCCTAAAATCGTGTAACTCAATTCCAACCGTATTCCCAATGTGGTATCGACTGCAGACTTGGCATAGGTATGTCATACCGATGACAGTACTATATTCTACCATTAACAATCAAAAATATATATTTCAAAACAATCTTTTTTACGGCTCTTAATTGCCCAAGGCTCAACTCACGTTGCCCGCAAATCACCACGGACCCCCTCACGTTACGGCAAGCCTCGGGGAGCCACGCCGAGGGGCGGGGGGGGGGTGGAAGGAGGGGAGGGGCGATGTGGAAAGGGGGCAGGGGTAGGGGCAGCTCGCACAGTAAATTTCATTAAAACGTGTCTTTTTTTTAAAGTATTTTTAAATATTTTATTATTCCAATTTAAGAAGGTCCAACGCGAGCAACAAAGTGCGGGCACTGTGAACCACCCCAAGTGATCCTGCAATCAAGAGAGGCGACAAAAGGCCCAGGCCATGAGTTTTTTTAACTCTCTTTTTATAGATGGTTGAGGCAAATTAAGTAAAAAAAATTTTTTACAAAGATGTACGTGTGAATATTATGGTATTGTGTACAGGACCCTGAAAGAGTGTACTGTTCTAATTACTTCTGTCTAATCAAATACATTCACTCGTCAGAACCCACCGTATGTGTTTCTATTTAGTTTGCTAATTGTGTGATGTGTCCTGCATTTTTGTTTTCCGTAAAGTCGAGAGAGAATACAGGAACACATTTCAAAAAAAGCAGTTCGTGGTTACGAAAATTGAAAACACCGCGTGGTTTGGAGGAAAAAACAGCCATAGTACGGAACGTCAAAACACTTCCTTATCTGCTCAGTACCCCTGCACTGGCTCAACTTGGGAATTCTCCTCCAATTGTGTGGTGCTCATATCCTACTTACGACCCTCAGCCACTGGTGAAAATTCCACGGTCCTATGGCGGGGGCGAGTCTTATACGTAACACAAAAACCATTTGACGTCCACGAAGTGGTACTTATTTTATCAGCCCCAGAGGAATTATGGGTAAAGTCAAAGTTTTATGACCCTGTTGAATTCAAAACTATTATTTAAAAAAAGTAATACTTATGTTTGTTGCTGGTAGTTTGGCTTTTTAGCCTGTACTCAACACCCGTTATTATTTTTAAAGATAACCTAACACGCTACTACTGTTAGAATCATATTGTCACTAGCACTGCATTCATTACCACGTCCCAGTGTATTATTGGGTTGTTTTTTTAAAATCTCGATTTAAATTAACCACGTCCATTTTCGCCGTTATGACAGTGCGGCATTTTTTTAATTACTTTGTGTTTCTGGTAACACAAACACGAAACAGCTGGGCCGCGAGAAGGCTCCCATCTACTATATTTGCAGTAGATTGTGGACCACACAGTAAACCTTCAACGGAAGAGGAATAGCAAATCCACCAACTCTCTCCTGAAGGCCACTCGTGTGACCATCGAATCTCAACATTGGCATTTAGCTCTACGGCATGGGCGCACAGTATGTTGAACTTCTTTCGCACCGTACGTAGCCGACCGTGCTAATCGTAGCTCCTGAACTTGGTGCCAGAATTGTTGATTTTTTTTATTTGACCTCTTTTTTTATGTCATTCTGGCACGCGTTTTGAGGTTACATGAAATCGAAAGCATTTCTAAAAAGGAAAGGGGATGTATGGACTGGCGTTTGTGCTTGAGCTCTGTGCCTTTTTAAATAAATAGGTTTTGCGCTGCCAGCTAAGTTACATTGTTGAGTATAAGTTGAAGGAAACAAATGCATTTCCTCTCAGCTTCTTGTAAAACATCAATCTGGGGACAGCCTCTGAGAGGAGAAAAAAACGAAATGAGGGGATTTCCTGAGAAGCCTGCAGTGTGATAGTTGCCTCGCCACACTGCTTGAAATCGTAATCAGGAAATTCCAACCTGGGGTCATTGCAGCCACCGGCACTCCAGACTGCTTCGAGACGAGCAGAAGGTCCCTGCTCTTCGTTCTGCTCAAATTTTACATTCAATTTGAGAAATTGCTGCTGTGGCTTGTTTTCTTGTATATGTTAGATGAGAACAGATTTCACCGTCATCATCAAGCATGGATTTTTACGTTACCCACTATCTTCTTCTTATCGTCATGATTTTGGGTAAGGAAATATTTATTCACTGTCACATTGCTTGATGGAAAAATGTCAAAACAGTTTCAAGCTCTTGATTCTATCGAGTATGTGCACGCGACTTAAAAGTATAACCTAGGCTCGTTAAATGGTTTGTTCAGCTGACTTGATGGAACTTATTGAGAGCGAGATTACGAATCAGCGTCGCACTATCAAGTCGTACAAGACGAGCTTTTAAAATGAGCTTAACGTGTGAATAATCATAAAATAGGTTTCGCTAACAAATAATATTGTGACTATAACAGCTGCATTAGACAGACTATAGTGGTTACTTCTTCACAGCCCTTCGCAAATCCACGTCCCAGGACATGTAAGTAAGGGGGGTTGTTTTGCCATACGTCACCATGCTGGCCAATGTGGGTAGGGGCGCCGCAGTGGCGAGATGTGAACTACCTCACCTGGTGTGCAGGAGGTCGTGGGTTTGATCCCGACCCTGACGCCTGTATTTTTGGAGTTTGCATGTTCGCATGGATTTTTCGCCAGACCCTCTGGTTTTTCCCTGCACATTTAGAATCAAAGTTCGTGCAGAGTATTTTTATGCTGCTATACATTTCACACACGGACAGCCACTTCGTAGAGCTATCATTTGTGATGGCCAGGTCGCTTCTGAAAAATAGCTATATAGCTCGGTGGGCCTTACCTGGTAAATTTAAAGTTTAGTTTAATTTGTTAGTTAGGAGAAGCAAGGGAGGAAACGGGGCAGAACCATCTCAGATATGACTCGGCTTTTGATGCCAGCCATGTGCGAGATTCGAATTTAGATCACCGTATTCGTATTGTAGTGCATGCGCACAGGTTATAAGCTGACATTCGGGGATCCCCTAGGCTAAAAAAAATGTGCTTTTTGAGACATTTCATTATTTTACGGACGTAGTATTAATGCAAGTAGTATTATACTGGTAGGAACGAAGTTGTAAACTGAGTGTACCAGCCTGCAATAGATTAATGTGTCCGTTCGTCCGTCCGTCCCCTTTCAATACTTTAACGAAGTGAAATCTCGTGCTGTTGGGGTGTAAAAATAAAATTGCGCAAAATTCCAATGTTCCTACCAGCCCACCCTGCAGGGACCTGTTTATTATGGAATGATAACTTTAGGCTGGCGGTCATATGAACTTGGCTCTTGCATTATTGTGCTTCAACTTATACTGTGTATTGTATTACATTGAACATTTACAAATTATAATACATGCAGTGTTTTCCAAAACGAGGCGTGACCATATGAAATTAAGAAAAACGAAATTGAATATGTTGTTGTTGTTATCAGTTTGGTGGTCAAGCTATTCAATTGCAATAATTAGCAATCGAGCGTGAGTGCTCCCACAATAAACGGAGCTACATCGCGCAAGTAGGAATACGCGGATGTGTAGCATCATCATCATCATCACCGCACAAGGCGGGATGCTGCTGGATCATTCTAGACACTACCCACGCGCCTCAGCCTTTATTCAGCCTGCGTATATATCCCACGTGTTATCGCGGACTGCGCTTTACCATATATTATATGTCATTTATTCAGTTTAACACGTAGGCTTTCGCGACCAATATTATTCATAATAAAGGTTTTTGGGTTAGATCGCGTTTATTTATAAATGTGTCGTAACCCTCCACCACCCGACACGGCCAATCAGCAAAAAAAGTGTCACGTTGACAAAAGACAAATAATTCACTACTTTAGCCCACACCGGTGGGCTAAAGTAGGGCTAAAGTAGTGAATTATTTGTCTCTTGTCAACGTGACACTTTTTTTGCTGATTGGCTGTGTCGGGTGGTGGAGGGTTACGACACATTTATAAATAAACGCGATCTAACCCAAAAACCTTAATTTTGAATATCATTTATTATAACGCGATTTTCCCATAACGCGGTGTTCTTAAGGTAACGCAGCTCCCGCGTTATTGGGGAACAGACCGCACAGGCGTTGATAAGTGTGCGTGTGTGCTGTCGCGACATGTATTCACAGTCAGAGACGCTGCCACCTCGACCCTGAATGTCACTGTGCCACCTCTGGTGGAAGCTAAGCTGGGCGGTGACATCAAAATCCCATGCGATTGGAGACTCGCAGATGGTGAACACCTGGACCAGTCTAAAATCACCTTGGTGTGGTTTTGCGTGAGTACTCGCTGTACACCGAGAAGCTGCTTTCCTCTGTTTGAGCCACGCCTGGTGGCAAAATTCAATTGTATGAACGCTTTTGCAGATGGTAAATACAATTGAGGAGAAATGCCACTCCAACCAAAACATCATTCTTTCAGGAGTTCAGTGATATTCAACCATCAGCAGCTCCTTGTGAATTTGAAGACTGATCCGCGCCTTGGCGATCAGTTGCATACAACTTTGCTGCAACGGTTGCATGCAACTCGGTTTGCTTAAGGCAATGATCCACGAGGACAATTTTACGGTAATTTTTGCTGGCAACCGTCAACATATGAACAACGATCGACTGTGGTAACTCGGCGGGCAACAGAATGGAGTAACAGAGTTCACTCTCGTCAATCAGCGTGTCTGCTTATCAACAATGGTTATATACACTGCAAATTAATCTATGGCTGACATTCATCTTTTGAAATGCCTAAGAGGCTCATCACACGTCTCACCAAGCACTCACACGATCTGACCAGACAATCTCACAAAACAGCCACACGATGTCACCACACCATCTCGCGGCAGCGTGACATCCACATCTCACTCAATGCCAGGCAGTCCCGTTACCTCTGTGATCCGATTTTAATTTGAAGTTCCAGGTTTTGCACGAGGGGTCGCTGCGATCAGATTTGTTCAGATTTTGGCGAACAGATTTTTTTTTTTTTTTACAATGAGAATCGGTACCGATTTCCGAGAATAATTGCCCTAAAGTTGCTCCATTGGATCATGGCCTACACTAAGCAACCGCAACCAGTTGCTTACGGTGGAGGCAAACTTTACTTTCAAGGCTGACATTATTTAGTGATACCGTGTTGGCAGTGCTGCGCAAGCACAATTCACGTTGAACTCAGCACATTCGTCAATAACACTCTGGGTTTGAAAGATGAACGTTTCGGGCAGTGGCCCTTCTTCATATCACATCAGCTTTACCGTTTAACAAGCGATCTGTTCATCTATTTGCGGCGACAATTGTAATCAGTTCATCACGTGCGCACATTTGCGAACTACGGCTGGTCGTCACGATCCTGAACACGTCGTTTAATTTCCTTGTTGCTCAGCTGCTCGCTCAGATGTGGGGCAAAGCAGTTGCAGGCGATTTGAGTTGCGCGTTTATTTTGGGAGCTATTTGGTTGTGCAACCGTTCGGTCAAATACATGTCAAGCATAAAGCCCACCGCCCCAAACCCTCAGTGGCCACTCTATCAGCATCCATGCTGTCCGTTAGGTTTGTAAGCAATATACTGGTTTGCTTTGAGCAAGTTGAATTCATTATATCAATATGAATATTGCGGCTGCTGGAAACAAGGTACATTTGTTTTACTTCGGCTCATGATGCCTATTTACAAACTGTTCTAAAGAATGGCACAGTTGCTGATGGAGCAGCCAATGGAGGACTTGAGAAGGGAGATTTAAACAGGCTTCACTGATTACAATCGTCTGAAATAGGAGTCAGTTTGATTGTGCTGAATCTTAAAATGTCTCTGGGTAGTTGTATTTAAACGGGAGGGCCATTTTATGGTGTTGGTGGCAGTGGTAGGCGCTGTTAACAAAGTGATTTCCTGCTCAAATGAGCATTGAGGTCATACTCACGGTCTGTTAACAGCCCTGAGCCAGTGGTGGAAAGTCCACATTCCTCTGCCATAGGTTCTTTTATCGGCCCCAGATTCAACCCTTAAACAGGATTACAAACTCGCTATCTTTCCGAATTCAAGCCGCTCACTCTACCGCTGAGCCACCCGGCCAGCTGGTAGGAACTAGTTTCAAACACCCGCGGAGGAACGCCGCATCCTTGATAACGCTATGCCAGAGGTGCATCATCTTGAGCCGCGGTGACATTTAGATAACACTCTGTACATTCGACGAACTTAGACATATGCATGTCATTAAACCATGTCTGTTTTGCAAACAAATAACACCTGGGTGAATGGAGATCTTCCGTGGCCTCTTGCCGCTTTGTAGATTGCATTGTTTGAATAGGTAGATTGCGGGGTATGTGAATCATTCATCAAGGGTCTTTGGTCTAAATTTGTCAGATTTTTAAAATGTACCTGCACGTTACTGATTTCGGATTGCACATTGCAACGTTGTCCCCCTGCTGGTGAAACTTCTGCAGACTCTGTGAAGCATAAGCGCCTTTTTTCGTGGTTTTCCTTGCGCTGTAAGAATGACGTGAATACCGAATGAACTACGTCATCATTATTAATTACTATATTTCAGAGTTGACGAATGTCGCAGCTACAAATGAAGCTTAATAATATTTTGTCTGTCCTCAACAGGTGAAAGACCAAAAACCTATAACCAGATTATATTACAGGCAAGGCCACATCAAATTTTTTGAAAATCGCCATATTTTATCTTTTGATGTTGACAAAGATTTCACCCTCATCATCAAGAGTGCGAGGTTTGACGATGAAATGAAGTTCATCTGCCAGGTCAGTTCTGGCAATTTTGGAATATCGGAAGCCACTGCAGAGGTCAAAGTGTTTGGTAAGTGAATTTAATGTAAACTATTTTAATTTTACCAGGTAAGGCCCACTGAGCTATGAAGCTCTTTTTCAGAAGCGACCTGGCCACCAACGAAAGCTCAACTAAGTGGCTTATCGCGTGGAAATCTAGCAGCCGAATACTCTAAACGCACGTTGATTCTAAATGTGGAGGGAAAAACCGAAGGACCCGGAGAAAAATGCACGGGACCACGGAGAGAGAGACACGCAAACTCCAAATATACAGCAGGCGTCAGGGTCGTAATTGAACCCACGAACTCCCGTACACCAGGCGAGGAAGTTAACATCTCGCCACTGTTATTCGTTCTAAGTTAAACAGCGGCTCTTTTTTGATATTTTTGGTTATCGTGACCCTCATTGGTCACTGCCCCCTCCCCCACACCCGCTCTTCTTCACCCCCCACCGCCCCCAGGTTACTAAGACCATAATGCACAGCGAAATCACGACTGCCGTCAATGCAGTGTCAGCCAGGCAGTTTGTTTCACGTGTGTGAGTGTTCTTTTGCAACCGCAATGCGGTAATTAAGCTCCTTGCGAACATTTGACATTTCTCCTGCAAGGTACCCATGCCGCAGCCTGTAACTCCCCCCCGCCCCCCCCCCCCCGGCAAAAGTCTGTCACGTGCCCCTGGATGGGGAGCAACACACGCGCCTGAGAACCACCAATGTAGAACATAACCATCATCCAAATCCTCATCATTTCAAGCCCACTGATATCCAGTGTATGCCGTATAGATGTAGATTTTTTTTTATTTGAAGTGCATGTTAAAAATAAATGTAACCCCCTATCCGGTTTTATTCTACACTGGCTAAGGATTGATTCACTCGTTTTCAGATAAAAATAATTATATCCAGAGACTCAGAGAGAGTGGACTAATCCCGCTGAAATTGTGCGCTCTCGCGAGGTCCTCGTGATTTGACGGGACATGCTTGTGTATTTTTTTATGCGGAGGGCCAAATATATGAAGGAGATATGTCAGGAATAGGTTTTTTTCCTTTTATCTGGCAACAAAACAGGTGTTAAGTTGTTAAAAGACCAAACTGAAACCTTTTACAAGGAATCCTGTCTGCATTAACCACAGTACTTGTGGTCAAAATGCAAACAAACAAAAACATCCTAAGATAATTATATTACCATTGTCTTTGAAACTGATTGGTCCACACCAGAGACAGCTTTCTTTTGAGCCTCGTCTCAAACGGTGTTAGACCAGAGGACGCCAAAAAGTTTCAGCTTGGTGTTTTAACAACTTAACACCTAAAATTTTGATTTAAAGCTTTCGTGACTGCAGTGATTCATATTCTTGGTTCTTTCGGTAAAGTCACCACGTTGAAGGGAAACAATAAAATAACAAAACATACATAAAACAATAAAATTCTCACGACGTTTCGACTGCAACACAAGCACTCATCATCAGGTGTGAAAACCAACGGCCACTTCTTTAAATTTTCTTGCCGTTGGTTTTCACACCTGATGATGACTGCTTGTGTTGCAGTCGAAACGTCGTGAGAATTTTATTGTTGTATGTATGATTTGTTATTTTATTGTTTCCCTTCAACGTGACTTTACCGAAAGAACCAAGAATATAACTTAACACCTGTTTTGTTGCCAGATAAAAGGGGGGAAAAAACCTATTATCACGTTTTGATGAAGGAGGCATGTTGTGTGCTCATTCATTTTGTTACTTATATTCTCTAAAGTGACGCTCATGACTGATTTTGTGTTATCAAGTAGATCAACAAGACGCTAGTTGCAAGAGTGCGTCCTTACAGGAACAGACACGCTCCCTGGTTTTCGTCTATTTTTGACTGGCAATGGCTCTTATGTAACACTTGGTGGCATGAATGCCTGATACATTTTGAGCCTTATTTGACCCTGGCCCAAACAACATTGTTTCCTCGAGTCGAGATGGGTCTCAGTCTGCCACTTACCTCACCCTAGGGTTTGCTAACTCTCTGGGTTTGATCCGAACGGTCTGGCACCTGTCTTCGAAAGCGTCGCTGGATTTGATTAGTACCACCGAGATCTGGTTATCGGTATGGTCTTGAGCCCGGTACAGAGCACGGAGGAAGGGGGGGGAGAGAGCGAGGGGGTACAGATCACGGGGGAGAGAGAGCGAGGAGGTACAGATCACGAGGGAGGGGGAGAGAGAGCGAGGGGGTACAGGTGTTCCACGGACGACAAGCCAAAGGCCAGGGCAAGAGAAAGGGAAGGTGGTTGGGCTCACTGCTCTACTAACGTTGGGGTAACGGTTCGGGTAACATGGTCTTTATAAGGGGGGGGGGATTGTGTTGAACGTCATTACACTCTGTTCTGTTGTGACAAGTGTTGTTTTCGTGACGCGAATTCAATATAACGAGATGAATGTATTGGGGAACACTTTATTTATCATATAAAGCGGATGCGAATTGGATATAACGCAGATGCAAAGTGGATAACAGATTCCTGCGGAGGGAGCTGGTAGGAACGTTGGGTTGCTCGGTCAATGGCCAGGGTCAACGGCGGCACCACGTGGTGCATTCCGCAAATATGCCCGACTGTGAGGGCGAGCACAAGCCGGCGTGAGTAGGTTAAACGTTGCGTTTTATAAGGGAACCACGGGGTGACCAGCCCCTCCCCACCCAGCCCCACCCCCCACCCATCCCCTCCTCCCCTCCCCACCCAGCCCCTCCCCACCCTCCCCTCTCCACCCAGCCCCTCCCCACCCAGCCCCTCCCCACCCCTCCCCTCCCTCCCCACCCAGCCCCTCCCCACCCTCCCCTCCCCACCCAGCCCCACCCCTCCCATTTTTGGATGCACGACGGACGGACGGACACAATAATTCCCCTGTGGGCTGGTGGTGTAATAACCAGGAGGTTCCTACCAGTATCAACGAGATCGAGTGAACAGAACGACGTCGCGTGAGTAGGAATAGGCGGTCGTGCGGATGCCTCGGCGTGGCGTCGCACGAGGCATCGGGATGCTTCTGGATGCTTCTAGCTGCTACCCACGCGCGCCCTCAGTCTCTGCTCAGCCTGCGTACGCATCTCACGTGTTGTCACGGACTGCGCCTTTACCCTGTATGATATATGATTTAATCTCGCGCGGTATTTCCCCAACGCGTTGTTCGTCAAGGACTCAACGACCGCGTTTTCGGAGAACGGACTCTGCCGTACACTTTCCCGTGGAACAGGTGGGCAACATCTACCTCGCCACCGTGACTCGACATTGTTGTCTCCTGAATGCTCTTTTCAAATCCGTGCCTTCGCGTGCAGTCGAACCGGAATTCGAACACGAAGTGTCGGACCAAGTCGTTGACCTGACGCGGTTCGAGGCCAACGGCAGCGTGGAGGTACCGCACGCGATGGCACGAGGATCCATCGCTTCCCGCGGCTTGCGACGGCACATTTTGGCCAAAAACGAGACTCCTCCTTCATTCAGACATCGTCAACGTAAACCGTCTGCAGTGGATCCTAAAAATATATATAGTGCGCCGTGGTATTATAAATACCTACTCACACGTGAGCCAGACAAGGTGACACCACTTTCGCCGAAGATAATCATAATAACGCTGGAGGATGTTTTCCCCAAACTGTATTTGGAAAACAATGGCCCAATATAATTACTGGGGATTAATTTGTCTTCTTTTGAGAACAATGACAACCTTGCAGGACAAACAATGCCAAAAAATGTATGGCGTGTTTCCCTTCATCGCTCCTTGCAAATTGTAACAAGCCTTTTGTGTTTTCTAGGATAAGGATTTTGCATTTATAAGGGGACTTAATTGCTCAGCAGCTCAAAGTGCCTCACGTCGCATCTCAACCACCACATTGCGCTGTGGCAGTCTTGCAAAGGGCCCCCGCCCAGTGGCAGCTGTTCCTCTGCAGCAGCATCGGGCTGCAATGTGAAGGAGTCTGCTACGTAGTTTCCCCCAATTAAGCAAACGTGCAAGTGACGTGGCATTTTTTTTGGCAAATATGAACTGCAAGGCCAGAACACGTGGCGTGATCTATTTTGAATAACGTCGCTAAATATATATTTAGGTCCACTGCTAAGTAGACGACGGGCATTCATGTTTCATGCACCCCGATTAACCAGGGCGGCCGAGAGGTTTGAACCGCAAGCCTCTGCCATAAGCAGCAAACGCGATACCCCTCAGCCGTGCCACTGCCCCAGCTGAGCATCATAATAAGTGAAGTCAGATTTCCGTATAGCAGCTGTAGAACTTGGTAACATTGATGGCTTTATATTGCAATATGCAAAATAGCCTACCTTGCTCCTTGACACGTTTATTGTAGTAGGTACAGTATAGATTGGTGCAGATGTACAGTGTGTTTACATCATACTAATACTAATGCAAAGTTGTAAAATTATATTTAAATACGTACTTGATATTATGTGGACACAAAGATAGATGGGCACTTTAGTCTGTGATAGATGGGCACATCAAGGTCTCAAACTGTGACAGCCTCACGTCGGTTTTCTGCTGTCAGCCCCCTCGGTGTGGAACTCTCAAATCCATTTGCACATCCACAGCATCAAATGCACTCTGACTTTTAAGTAACATCTAAAGGCCTCTCTCTATCTGTTTGGTCAGGCTTTCGAACAGCCCTGAGTTTGGCTAGACGCCTCTGAGTTGTTGACTCGTCTGCAAAATGATGATGACAAAGGTCATCGTTGTTATTATTTGGATAACTTTAACAGCGCCTTCATTTACAGATTGGGACATGCGTTTTAAAGAATGGCCACCCCAAGCCATCATCGGTGACCTGGTACAAGAGTGAAATCCCCATTCTACAAGGTGAGGCAATTATATTTCTGTTTTGCTTGTACTACAACCAAATAACCTAACACCTAATCTCATAATCATTGAAGTGAGAACGAGTTCGCACGTAGAGGATGGTGCGGGTAGTGACGAAAAGGACACCGGCACTGTTTGGACACTTTACGTAGGATGGACAAGAACGGGAAAATTAAAAGTGTGCAGAACATAGATGGACTCGTCCTTCTAAACAAACTGCCAAATCGCTGGTCGTGGTGCTAACGTTTTTTTTATAAATAAATAAAAACACCGTTTGAAAATAAATTAATGCAGACCGCCACTTCTTTCAAATGTTTCTTGCCGTTGCTTTTCACACCTGATGATGACCGTTTGTGTTATGGTCGAAACGTCGTGAGAATGTTTATTGTTTTATATATATCTTATTATTTTATTGTTTCCCTTCAACGTGACTTTACCGAAAGAGCTAAGAATATGAATATAAAAGTGTGCTGTTCGGAAAAATGGAAGGAACCGGACAGAGAGGAAGATCCTAACGGAGAAGGGCTTGACGACGACATAAGAAGAGATTGGTGCCAGAAAGATGTGGCCACTTCTTGAGCAGATTGGCACAAGACAGAGGAAAGTGGAAACCAGTGACGAAATGTGCAGTGGACACCTGCGGGCTATCTGCCCATGGATCGTGGTGATGATCTCATTGATCATTAAATTGTACAAGAAGTGGGTACAATAAGACTATTGCTATGTTCAGGGTTCGTACAGCCACTGTGTAATGGTCAGCACAATGGACATGCAATCTAACGGTCGCTGGGTCGATTCAATCTCGCCGGCCTGGCAGCTGAAACAATGGAGCAAGTTTCTTAGATCCTACCTCTGCGACCTCTGTCCATTCAGCAGTGCACAGTGAATGAGCACACCACACTTATGTGAATGGGATTTCGCGTGTGGTAGGGTAAATTGTGGGCACTCCAACCTCTTCCAAGATATTCTTGGTTCTTTCGGTAAAGTCACCACGTAGAAGGGAAACAATACAATAATACAATTTTCTTGCCGTGGTATTCACGCCTGATGATGATTGCTTGTGTTGCAGTCGAAACGTCGTGAGAATTTTATTGTTTTTAATTTTTATTATTTTATTGTTTCTCTTCTACGTGGTGACTTTACCGAAAGAACCAAGAATATGAATCCCTGCAGTCACGAAAGCTTTAAATCAAAACTCTTCCAAGATGTTTGGCCCAGCGTGGAAGAGTAGGCCAAAGGACCACAGAGATCAGGGTTGGCAACCCAAACGACAAGAAGAGCCATTCATTTTCTAATTCGGTAAAACAAAAACACAATATTTCAAGCTCCGCAATGCATGTGATCACGAGACGGTGGGTCCTTAATAAACAACGTCTCACGAAGCAGTCCTGCCCATGGTGAACTGGGCTCCCACGGCAAACGCGACTTCCGTGGTCAGGGGTCGGCAGCCAAAATAACAAGTCGAGACATTATATATGTATTGTTTTTTTTTTAATTTCAAGAGCCGCATTGCAGTCCTTAAAGAGCCACGTGCGACTCCGGAGTCCCAGGTTGCCGACCCCTGGACTCTAGATGGAGCTCATGCGACGTCTCGAGAGCTCCCTTTAGCAGCGGCCCTTCTGCAATCAGCGGTGCTAGCAAGCAATTGCAGGGGATGCACCTTCGCCTTCTTGCTGGCAAAACAGATGGCGTGTTGGTGATTAATTCCCGCACTCAATTGCAAGTCGCCGGTATGCCACGAGTCGTGGTTGTCACACTGTTTAAGTTGTGCTTAATTAAGCGTGACTTTAATGCGCCGCATTTTTGTTTTCTCGTTTGTTGTTTAGATAATGTCACTGAAACCGTAACCGAGGATTCTGGCAAGTGGACCGTGCGATCTACCTTGAGATATAAACCAAGAATACACGATCATGGATCGCAGTTCTTCTGCAAGGCGTCGTACCACATTCCTGGGGAGTCCATCTCCATGGTGTCTTCCAAAGCGACTCTGACTCTGATGTGTAGGTGGCTCTGATGTGCATTCATATTCCGCGTAGATTTTCGTGCGGGTACGCTACATGAGGGTACTCGTGTAAATCGGCGTGCGCTCATTTACATGACGGTACGCCGATTACACGATTGGCTACGTAACAGAGCAAAAGAAGTAAAAAATACATAGATACATTCTTGGGGTGTAGTTTAGTGTGTGTGTATGGGCTTCTGGATTTAAAAAAAACCTAAATGGTTTCTGTTGATACTGAGTTCAGTGGCTGCACTAGGCAGAAGCGAACTAAAGATACGCTGGGCCCCAAGTAGCTCAAGGAGCCCTGGATATATGCAAAATATGGATACATCAAATATCAGCTGAAATTGTAATAAATATGAAATTCATATTAACGTCAAAATACAATGAATCTCTCTTATCTATGTCTTATCTGCATCGCAGGTCTCTCATCTCACCACATCTTTCTGTTGTTGTTTACGTTCCTCTTATCTCGCTACATCTCTTGTGTCTATCTCTTCTGTCATCTCACAAGGAATTTGATAAGTTAAAAGGGGGGCGGCAAGAGGGGGGTGGAATTGTTTCTGCATAGGGCCCCCTAATGGGCAAGCATCCCGACTGGCCGGATTTAAAGTTGGGGTTACTCTGACGAGTCTTGTAATATTATTGGCAAGTTCTCCACTTGCAAAGTAATGTAGGAGAATAGACGTGCCCAAGTTAAACAAGTTAATGGTTCTCCATACTGTATTCAATGCATTATGAGACGTTCTGGAAAGTAAGACGCACCCCAAAGTATTATCTGGTGTCAATAAAGTTGCGCAAATCTGATCAAAGATCCCACGTGCAGCCTTAACATTTGACATACTTTTGGGGCATGTGCTGCTTGCGAGCGCTTGCTAAGGCTGGCACGGCACACGAGGGGGTGGGTGGCCAGCACCACGCCCGGCCACCTCCGTCTCCCAATGGCGATGTTTAATTTCCCAATCAACATTTTCCGATACATTAACGTCGATAAGCCAACTTAGAGTGGATATTATTGGAGTTTGGCACTACCAAAGTACACATCCATAACGATCCTATATTTCTGTGCCCTATAATCCTATCAGCAGCTTTATAACGACTGTGAGGACAAAGCAAGGCGAGATGGATGTGGCTGAGTGTGCAAAATAATTCCGGGAACATCATTCCGGACTGTTCCGGTCAAGGCCGTAGCCATGGGGCCATCATTGGGGGGGACCAAATCTTCCAGGAGGTCTAGGCACCCCCCCCCCCCCCCCCCAGAAAAAAAATCTAAATTTGAAAACTCATTTCCTGCCTCAAATATAAAAAAAATCACTAACGCCTGGGATCTGTTTTTTTTTTCTTTTTTACCTTTTCTTGTTTCATTGTATGTAATGGCAGAAATTAGGGATTTATAAAGTACAACCATAACCACAATCATAGAAACAGAAATCTATGCATTGTTATATGAAGACAAGTCCAGATATTGTGGCCAAGGTTTACCAAATTGTTGTTTTTATTTACATAGCAGAATTGTTTTTAATATATATTGTTTATAGCAATATTTTGGGGGGGACATTTTCACCATATTTGATTATTGGGGGGGATGTGTGTCCCCCGATAATTATTATTATTATGGCCTTGGTTCCGGTTGCAATTCAATTGGGAGACCAAGTGCAGACAGGCTTTGGGTGTTCGGTAGTTAACTGTTCACCAGCTGAGTATTCTAGCAAAGGGACGCAAATCGAGAGGTGTGGTGGCAACCTTGAATTCAAATGCTTTTTCTCGTTTTGTTTTATCAGTTCCTCCAGCGAGTGTGTTCATAACAGTGGAGCCTCAACACGGGAATGTTCAGGAGGATGGAAACGCCACGCTCACATGCAATGCCAACGCAAACCCTCCGCCCAGCTACACATTTTACAAGGTGAGCTCACAAGTGGTCCAAGCCCCGAGCCGACAATGCTGAGGTCATGGGTTCGAATCAAGTGATGAAACCCCGTTCTCAAGTGTAGACGTTGTCTCAGCCTGAGCGCCATTGACTGCACACACCAAAAAAAACATCACATTCATTTCGGTTCTGCGATTTGGCTAAATTCGGATTGTCATGCAACGTACCCCACTCCATACGCAGAGAGAATGGAAAGTGCTGCCCTCTGCTGTGCATGGACGAGACATCACTTGAAGGCATCTCAGAGGTTTTACACTAAACTACTTTTTATTTTACCAGGTAAGGCCCACTGAACTATGTAGCTCTTTTTCAGAAGGGACCTGGCCACAAATGATAGCTCAACAACGTGGCTTTATCACGTGGAAATTTATATCAGCCAAATACTCTAAACGTATGTTTCTAAATGTGAAGGAAAATACCGGAGGGCCTGGAGCAAAAATCCACGCGACCATATCTGCCTCCGTGGGGCCTTCATCCACTCACTGGTGGATTGACCATTGCTGACGATAATGATAATTCCAAAAGATGTGCACTCCACAAATGTGATGCGGAAAGTTACCAATGGGGAACTCAGTGATGCTGAAGCTGCTGCTGCTGTTGTTGATACAGATGCCGGATACAAACAAGCCAATTACAAAGGGCGTGAATGGAAATCAGCTCCACCTGGCTCGCATCACGAGGTCACAGAGTGGCAAATACAGATGCCAGGTGACATGGCAAGATAGGACCATGACCAACCTGAAACCAGGCATTGCATCCATCACTGTGTCCTGTGAGTATTTATATTAACGGCCTTAGCTTTTTAAACTAGATCTGACCGGTTGGTATATGTTGCAGGCTGGTTGGCACTGTGGTTACACGAAATACGATCTGGCTGGTTGGCGCTGTTGTAATGACTGAAAAATTACCCCATGCCAATGCGCAGCCTAACGGCTCTTCAAAGTTAAACCAAGGTCTCTGATTGGCGGAAAGATACCTCCACAGGGATTGGTCTGGAGGCAGACTTTGGAGTGATTGGAGAAAAGGGTTGGAATGAGAATAGGCGGGAAACACGAGTGGAACCCAGAGGTCAGAGGTGACGGTTGGGATCCGTTAGAGGAGAAGGACAGGGATTGGCTCAGGTTAATGCAGTGAGGGGACAGTGGATAAAGGGGACTGGTGCGCTATAAAAGGGCAGAAGCACAAGGGGAGGGGACGTTCGAGGAATAGCACAGCTTCAAGTTCAAGCACGAAGCCCGGACCTAGATTGTTCTGTGTCAATAAAGTGGCTCCAAGTACTTCTGTATCGACACCGCGCCGACTGCTGTCCAGCGGCGGCAACTGCGGTGGACAGTTACCGCACACGCCGTTGAGCACATACACGGTGGGTGTGCCGGCAGGGCGGAGGAACTGGGGCAAGGGTCACGGAAGACCCCATCGGGAAGCCCCCGGAACCCGCTAGCGGGTTCGAGAAGGGAGGCGCGGCCAGGGCGGAGGCAGGCCGCGCCGAGTAGAAATAAAAGCAGCGGAGAGCGAGAGCTCCGGGCTGCCGGTTGTGGGAGTGGACTCGTCTCGTTGTTGCTGTCGTCTTCGCTGCCTTCGTCGCTGCCAGATTTGCCCGATCATTGCGCGGCCGGACAGTAGTTGGCTGTCTCGGTCGCCGCCGTCAGTGCATAGCGGTCAGGGTTGTGTCTAGGCCGGGCAGTACGGCAACGTGGTCGAGAGAGGAGGCGATCCTGTGAGTGTGAACGGCCGAGGAGAGTTACAAATAAAGATGGGAGGTGCCTCCCACAACTGCCTCGTGTCCGACTTGTGCTAGACTACACTTCGTCGTCCGAGTCATTACACTGTAATTGGAGTGGTCAACTCTATATTGGAAATGTGCAGTTCAAATCCCGGTTGGGTGTTGACTCAGCTAATCACGAAGTGAACAGAAGTGAGTTCCACTTTGTGTGTATATTCAATTATGCAACAATTATTGACCTGTGGAGAAAGAAAACACATGTGCATGTACAGGCCGTTGTACATTCACTGCTGGATGAATGCCTCCCCACGCAATGCAGATCATGGGGGTTTAATTGACCACATTTCACCACGCTGGTCAGTGTGGGTTTCTGAAGGCGGGGAACAGAGACGTGAGAGCATATAAGTACAGTACAGTAGTGGATTTGGTTGCACTGCCTCTGCTGCCTATCGCGTGACTTATCATAACCTATTTTGTGCATGGTGGTTACCCATCCAAGTACTATCCGGACTCAACTCTCCTTAGCTTCCGAGATTGTATTAGATTGGGTACATTCTGGGTGAAATGGACACCGGTCACCCAAAATACGAATGTGAAATTTGAAACCACAGGCTCTGGGATATTTTTTTTGGGTGGGATCTTTTTTTCGTAGCTAAAGAGGAAAACCGCCACTGTTGGGGTCTGCTAAAACTTGCTGTGTTTTCGAAGTCCTCATGTTTGCACTGCTGATGTTCTTTTTCAGACCAGCCAGTGGTCACTTTGAAAAATGAATCCACCGTTATGAACGGTTGGATGCGTTTCTCTTGCACGGCCGTGGGACATCCCAGGCCTACCATCGAGTGGAATCCCTCCAAAGCAACGGTAATGTGTGAAGTCGTTTTTTTTTAATTCTCTTCAGTGGGAGTCTACTTTGATCATGTGCACGTGTAAATCCGGGTTGCCACCTGGCTGAGGCTGACCCGGAATATCCATGAATCGGCATCTGTGTGTTACGGCAGCAGGAATCGATTGGTTCTGATACCGGTGTTGTGGTGAACTTTATTCCAGTGTGCTGCACAGTTTCAATAGACCTGGGTGGACTGAGAAATGTGTCTGGGCTTGACCTGTGAAAAAGATGCACCTTTCGACTCAATTCCATATGTACTCGTTATCCCATTACTTTTTCCTTTTTAAATCAAGGCTGCTGATCACACAGGCCCAAAGGCCCAAATCACCAAGCTTTCAGCAGATCTCAAGTTTTAATGGACAAAGAGTTAATGGATTTCTTCAATCGAGTAAGGTTACAAGTTTTTGGGAAAATATATTTTGTGTGGGGAATTTCAAAGTTTAGCAGCGAAGGCCAAAAAAATAAACAGAGAGGAGTGTGTTGACCTGCCTAGTGGTGGTCGGACACGGCGTGGGTGGGACGAGTCCTCACCAAAGGTGGCGAAATGTTAACTACCTCACCTGGTATACAGGAGGTCGCGGGTTCGATCCCGATCCTGACGCATGTATATTAGGAGTTTGCATGTTCTCTCCCCGTTGTCGCTGGGATTTTTCTCCAGGTCCTCCATTTTTTTCCCCTCCACACTTAATAATTTATATTTATTTGTCGAATCAACGTCACACGTATAGAGTAATTGGCTGTTAGAGATGTCCACGTGACAAGCCGCTTCGTTGAGCTGTCATTTGTGGCCAGGTCACTTTTGAACAAAAGCTCAGTGGGGCTTACCTTGTAAAATTTAAACATAGTTTAGTTTGAGTTTTTAGCTTAACGAGTAAAGTTAATAGGAACAGTAATCACATAAGTAGCAATTAAAGAGTCATGAGAAGCCAAAGTCAGCCCGTATACAACGTACCGGTGGTCAGACGTCAACACAAATGCGCCGTAACAATTATGCCGCATATGCAAAGCACTGCATTTAAATAATGAACGAATTGGGGACTGCTCTGACAGTGGTGAAAACCGATTCACTGCTGGATGACGGCCTCCCCACGTTGGTGCAATCCCTCGCGCCCCAGCTCGCTTCCGCGCGTGAGCTGATCTCGATGATCCACGTCCGCGGCGGCTCTCCCCTGGGGCACGTCCCTCTCATTTGGCTGCCATTCTGCCACCGGTCTTGTCCACCAGGCATCACCCCTCGTGCACACTTTAGCATTTCACTGTTCTGTTTTATATGTCGTGCACATTGCGTCTTCTGTGTTTGGTCTTCCTTACTGAGTAATTATCTTAAATTCCCCTTGTCCTGGTGTCTGGAGATACTGCTTTGGAGGTGCGGTATAAATAAAGCAGTACACGATGATGATGATGATTGCGATGATGATAAAGAGGACTCGTTAAATTGATTGAGTGAGACTGGAGGGTCATCAGCCAACCTGTGAGCTAAGATACAATGCTCTCCGCATATACAGACAACGGCTAAAGTGCTCAATGAAACGACGGTCATGGATACAATAGTGATTTCGGAATCAGCAGAGAGCGCAGGAGTCACTGCTTGCATAGCGAGGAACTCCATTGGGACAGCAAAAGGCCTTATCTTCCAAAAACGTAAGTCCACCATTATAATTACCTTGCCAGCATTTCCATTGTTAACACATGTGATCATGTTCTTTGAACCTATCTACGTGACTTTACCGAAAGACCCAAAGAATATTAATTCCTGCAGTCACGAAAGCGTTAAGTCAAGATTAAACATGTGATCATGGTGACAATTTACAATGTGTAACACGCACAGTATTCGTTCACTCTCAGAAGGAGAAAGATTACGATTCAGACTGGCACTGAAAACTCACAGCCAGCACTGATAACAACAATTACCCAAGCTCTGTGATCCTATACTGGGATGTTTGGCCCAACCCCATTTATGAGTACAGCATTTAACATTATCATAGCTGAGGACACAGACATCTCTGGCCCTCTGGGCTTTGTCTGTTAGAATGAATTAAATTTAATTTCCGCGTATTCTCTGGGGTTTTTTTCTCTTCCTCCGAATGCCTTGTTATTTTCAGCATCAGTGGATCGTTTGTCTTGGCTGAAAGATATGTGGAAAGAAGCATCGGCTATTGCTGGGGGAGCACTCATTTTTTTGGTGGCTTCAGTCATAATCGCCGTCGTCTGCTGCAAAAAATGCTCTCGGAAAAGAAGCTCAGAAGTTGCTTCAACAATGTAAGTTAATCAATAAGGTAAAAGTCATTAGTTGGACTATACAATCCTCACGCAGCGTTTTCTAGTGAAATGGACAGTGAATTACCGATGCACGGTTCGAATTGTGACCTTACTTTATTCACAGGTTCTCCCCTATGCCATCGATACTGTCCCTCTCTGTGCCTCCCTCGCCCTGCGCCCAGTCTCACTCTCTCGTTCCTTCTCCCTTCCTGCTCCCCTTCACTGGAACCAACTCCCACTGCAGCACACAGAGCAAGGCATCGTCACCAGAGCCTGCTGCCGTGCCTCCCTTACAATCCATCTCGTCTCCCGATAGCCATCCTGCTGCTACCCCATGCACCCACCTTGCAGCTACGACCAGTTCTACCACGACCCCTGTCACTACCCCTGTCGCTACCTTTATAACTATGACTACCCAAACCCCTGTCACTACCACAACCCCTACCACTACCCCTATCACTACCACAACCCCTACCGCAACCCCTACCACAACCCCTGTCACTGCCCCTGTCGCTACCTTTATAACTATAACTACCCCAGCCCCTATCACTACCACGACCCCTATCACTACCCCAACCCCTACCCCAACCCCTACCACTACCCCAACCACTATCACTACTACAACCCCTATCACTACCCCAACCCCTATCACTACCCCAACCCCTATCACTACCCCAACCCCTATCACTACACCAACCCATATCACTACCCCAACCCCTACCCCAACCACTACCCCAACCCCTACCACTACCCCAACCCCTGTCACTACTACAACCCCTACCACTACCCCAACCCATATCACTACCCCTATCACTACCCCAACCCCGGTCACTTTCACAACCCCTACCCCAACCACTACCACTACCACCACTACCCCAACCCCTACCACTACCCCAACCCCTGTTACTACCACAACCCCTACCACTACCCCAACCCCTATCACTACCCCAACCCTTATCACTACCCCAACACCTATCACTACCCCAACCCCTATCACTACCCCAACCCCTATCACTACCCCAACCCCTATCACTACCCCAACCCCTATCACTACCCCAACCCCTATCACTACCCCAACCCCTATCACTACCCCAACCCCTATCACTACCCCAACCCCTATCACTATCCCAACCCCTATCACTACCCCAACCCCTATCACTACCCCAACCCCTATCACTACCCCAACCCCTATCACTACCCCAACCCATATCACTACCCCAACCCATATCACTACCGCAACCCTTGTCACTACCCCAACCCCTACCACTACCCCAACCCCTACCACTACCCCAACCCCTATCACTACCCCAACCCCTACCACTACCTCAACCCCTACCACTACCCCAACCCCCATCACTACCCCAACCCCTATCACTACCCCAACCCCTACCACTACCCTTGGAACAAGGCGCTGTATAAATCCGTATAAGATACGATGAGATGTTTTTGGTAACGAAAACACGCGCGCGCACACACACAGGCGTGGCTCTTTTTTCACGCGTTTGTATTTTCCGTAGGCGCGAAGTGAAACCCGAAAGCAGCAACGGGAAGGAGGCTGCGGGTAACGGCGTTGCGGTGAACATCCCTCAAGACCACACGCACTAAAGAGCGGCAAGCGGCATCATTGGGCCGTCGGTGACTCGGTCGTCGTTACAATTCAGGGGCGTACGTTTCTGTGGAATAATTAATCGTGATTAATGCGCATTGCGACGCCTAAACTAGGCCGCGTGGGTGATCTAGTACTTATACACAAACAACAATCGATGGCCAACACGCTTGATTCCACGCGTGCTTCATGGCCGTAAGGGTCGATTTCAATCGGCGATTCGATGCGTCGTTATACACCCCATGCAAAGCATCGTCGTGGTGAGGAAACAAAAACACGTTTTGCCCCCAAAATTAGAAAAACTCAAATTTGGGAATACCACCACAGCAGCAGCAGAAGTCATCATCCTCCTGCCGTGAAAACCTCGCACAGGGGGTCGGCAACCGAAATAACGAGAAGAGACATTTCATTTCTAATTCGGTAAATTAAAATAAACCGCCTCAATATTTCAAGAGCCACAATGCACTGCGTGGTGAACACGAGACGGTGGTGGAGGGACGGGGTCCCTCCTTCATAAACGACGGCCACGAGGCAAAGCCCTTGAGGAGGCATCGCGTGCGGCGGCAGAGTCGAAGGTCAACGACTCCCTGACCTGGCAGGAGACCTCCTGGGGGGAAAGAAAAGAACCAGTTGAGACTCAGCGAGGCATTTCTGGGTAAATAAGCGTGCTAATGACGACACTTAACTGCCATCACGGCGCGCCTGACAAAGATACAAACAAAATCCCCACTGCACCGAAGGAGGGCCACCTTCTGCTCGTATTGCTGTGACATTTGCGAGACGTAATTCGCTCGTGGTGGCCACATTCGGCAATCGTCAACGAGGTGTGGTGACACTGGAAGGCGACTTTTGCTGGTGTCTGTGGCGAACACGCCGGACATCCATGGTAGAGGGGTTTTTTTTGGGGGTTAGATCGCGTAAATATATAAATGTGTCGTCAAACCCGCCACCACCCGACAGCCAACTGGTAAGGGTTGTCACGTAAACAGAAAGTGGCCAATTCGTCACTAGTACAGCACGCCGGTGTGTTGGTCGCCGGTTCGTACGGCCAGTGTATGTATGTCAGTGTTCTTCACGACATTTCAGAGGAGGTGGGGCAGTGCCGGTTTATCCGAGTAGCAAAAGTAGCTACTACACATGTAGTAGCTACAGCACGTGTAGTAGCTACTACACGTGTAGTACTACATATGTAGTAGCTACACATGTAGTAGTAGCTACTACATATGTAGTAGCTACTACTACATGTGTAGCTACTACACATGTAGTAGTAGCTACGGGCCCCGCACTTTCAAGGGCCCCGCGCTAAATGCTTTCAAGCTATCAATTTCGGTTCAGTGATTCTGCACTTGCTCTATTACTATAGTACTATACCGCCCTTCAACTTTTACGAACGCCTGTGTGTTTACGGTTAGCGATTTGTCGTATTATTTGGCTGTATAGCAAATGAAAAAATACAATTACTTTACTGTGCAAGTAAAAAAATGTGTGTGTTTTAATATTTACGTCTTTTTTTTGTTATTTAGGGCCCCTTTATAACAAACGCTCCAGGCCCCGCACTAGCTTAATCCGGCACTGGTGGTGGGTGTTCACTTTCGCCGATTAGACGTCGTCAGTGCGAGGGCCGCCACACCACTTGAAACCATTGGGGTTTGTGACAGAACGACGATGATGATGGTGGTGGTGCTGGTGGCGGTGTGTTGTCGTGGGGAGCGGTGGTGCAGCGGTTAGCGCGCTGCCCTACGAACCCGGCAACCTGGGTTCGATTCCCGCTCATGGCCAACACCGGTGACGATTATCTGAATCGGTCCTGGGCCTCCCCTAGGTCGACTCAGCCTCAAATTGAGTACCTGGTGTGGGTGTGTCAACATCGCCACTGGGGAGACAAAGGCGGCCGGGCGTGGTGGTGGCCACCCACCCCCCCCCCCCGTGTACCGTTATGGCCATCATAGGTGCTCGCTAACAGCACTTGCCCCTACAGTCTGTGTTGTCACGTGTTATGTTCTGTCAGGGGCCGCACTTAAGGCCACTAAGGTCAGCACGGTGGCCTTGCAGTGGAGAACACTGGTGTATGTTGAACTTTTTTCGCGCCCTACCTAAGCCAACCGTGCTAATCGGGGGATGTGCGGTCGATCTCCGGGCGCGGCAGGGAACGTTTATTGAATCCCTGCTCCCTCCCTCCCCCGCCGCTCTGTTTAGCCGGAAGTGCAACCACAGTCGATGGGCAGTCGATGGGCATATCGAGTGTGGTGGGGTAAAGTGTGGGTACCCTTACATCTTCCAAGACGTCCGGTCACCCTGCAGTGAATGCAGGGGTGCCCCTGTACCTATGCGTTTGTTGTGCTGTACATACTGTGTTCCTTATTCTATTTTTGTTGTCTTAAATTAATGTTTGCGATACTTGAGTACAATGAAATACTCAACATTAGCGGTCGGCATTTGCGTGTCTGTCTGTGCATGTGACCAGATTGGTATAATTTTATTGAACAGGGCATAAACACCATACCGGATTTGACTGCTCATGTCTTAAAATTACCATCACCGGTCTTGGGGCACCAGCACCATTAACGTGAGCAGATCCACAGTATGTTGCTCGTACTGCTGTTCACTTAGAATTGCTTTGTTATTTTCTAACCTATTCCGTGCGCCGTGTAACTGCGACTGCGCCGTTGGCCGTGAGTTCACGTGGTTGTGCTGTACAGATCTCTCCGATGTGCGTTTTCGGGTCGTGCCGCGCATTTGTTTTGCTCGGCACGATGTCTGACGTTTCGCTGCACGTGCTGAGAGCTTCTTCAGGACGAAGCTGGGAGAGAGGCTCCCAGCACGTGGAGCGAAACGTCGGACTTGTTATCTATAATAGAGGATTTTTTTTTTTGGGGGGGGGGGGGTGAGATTGCGTGAATGTAAAAGTGTCGTTAAACCCGCCACCGCCCAATGCAGCCAGTAGTTAGTAAGCTTTGTCACGAAAACAAAACATGCCAATTAGTCACTTGGTACAGCTATTGTGCTGTGACTGTTCCACCTGAAGACGGAAGCTTGTGTTGCCTCCGAAACGTCGTGATTTAAGTTAGTTGTTTTATTTTATTTTGCCTACGTGACTTTACCGAAAAAAACAAAGAGTATAATTTTGATTTAAAGCTTTCGTGACTGCAGGGATTCATATTCTTGGTTCTTCCTTGCTGTCACGAAAGCTTCAAATCTAGAATGTCACTACTTCAGCACAACGGTTTGTTGGAGAGTAAATCCACAACATTTACAATTCGAGTGCGACGTTCATTATTTTCGGGTTTCACGACGCATTTCTATTTACGCCATTATAACCCCCGGAAAAAGAAAAAAAAACCTTTATTATGGATAATATTTAATATTGGTTCGTGAAAGCCTACGCGGTAAGTTGGACATGTTGCCGGACAACGCGCGGTACGACGCGAAATCCACATATATGAGAGAGCGGCTTTTGTACCGTTTTAATGTTTTTCGCAGGGTATTTACGGTGGGTGTTCCAGGTACCCTGGTGTCATCACCCTCGCAACCTAAAAGGAGTCTTGAAACCCAATGGAGCTTGCTTGAGTAAATGTTTTAATTAAGCACTGTACTCTTAGAGATAGTTCACGTCGGATGTCTTCCTCCTTTAGCGATATAATTTTCGCTCGTAAGTGTGTAAACTTGCGACGAAGTAAACACCGTCACATTATATTCTTGGTTCTTTCGGTAAAGTCACGTAGAAGGGAAACAATAAAATAATTGTTGTTTCCCTTCTACGTGGTGACTTTACCGAAAGAACTAAGAATATGAATCCCTGCAGTCACGAAAGCTTTAAATCAAAATTTAACCGTCACAATCTTATTGTGTATGCATAATGAGCACGTGCCGTTATTTTCAACGAAGTGAATAAATATGCATCTGTTACCACATTCTCTGTCATGTCTGATTTTGTTGAAGCCTCCGTGCATCCCCTGCCCCAGCCGAAGCAACAATAATTTTGTTTGCTCAGCGATGGGTAAGCTGAGTAGGCCTCAGGGCCCATCCCTGGTCCATGTCTGTCCACACAAACCAACCACCGACATTCATTTGAAATTGGACTTTCCATTCGCACGCAAATTACCCCAGGTAGAAATATTGATTGATGGTCAAGGATAACAACGAAGAGACAGTTAAGGGATGGAATGTGTTCGAGAGGACTTCGACTGAGGATATCGGAGTGAAGAAATCCATTCGTGTACTGATAATTATTACATCGCAGGATAGTGGAGAGGTGGCGCTGGTTTAGGCAGGTCTTCATCCAGCAGTGGATTGGCCATGGATGATGATGTGAAAGGCATCATCGGGTGCATCACACTGGACTCCTAAAATGGAAAATTACCGTAATATCCGGATTATAAAACATTTCTCTGGCATTACTGTATGGTTCTTTCGGTAAAGTCACTTAGAAAGAAAATAAATTAAATAATAAAGTACGACGTTTCGATTGCAACACAAGCAACCGTCATCAGGTAGAACTAAATTTGAGAGAGAGAAAAAACACAGACACGGAGACACACAGACAGACACACAAGCAGAGAGAGACACACAACATAGACACATAGAGACCCAATGCCTCTGTGTCGAGGCCTTAAATAGAGAGAGAGGTGGGGCAGAGAGAGAGGTGCGTTTGTGTTTTGTCTCTCTCTCAAATTTAGTTCTACCTGATGACGGTTGCTTGTGTTGCAATCGAAACGTCGTACTCTATTATTTTATTTATTTTATTTCTACGTGACTTTACCGAAAGAACCAAAGAGTAATTCTTACAGTCACGAAAGCTTCAAATCAAGATTATTCCTGTGGCATGATCTTTGTTTCTATGTTTCATCGGTATATATTTTTTTATTAAACTTTCAACAATATATATTCTTGGTTCTTTCGGTAAAGTCACGTAGAAGGGAAACAATAAAAGAATACAAATAAAACAATAAAATTATCACGACGTTTCAACTGCAACACAAGCAATCATCATCAGGTGTGAAAACCACAGAAATAAAATTTGAAAAAAGTGGCGTTTTTTTTCTTAACGTTAGCACCACGGACAGAAACTTGCAAGTTATTCAGACGAATGAGTCCATCTATGCTCGGAAAAGAGGAGAGGGGAGACGAAAGAGAATGGATGCGGTCTGAAAGCCACCGTAAGCGTGAACACAATCAATTAAGACCAGAAATGGTTTATCAAATCCTTCCAATGATTACTAAGCCAGAATCCATCTTCTCGGTTGAAATTGTCTCTGTGTTTGTATATGTGGATAGCCTCATGAACGAATCTCTCATGGAAGCCAAATGGCTTGCAGAGAACATCTGTCTTGGAGAAGTCAATGTCATGTGAGCCCACTGAATTGTAACAGTGGTCTGCCACGGCCGAGGTGTTGGTCCTACCGTGTTTTAGGTCTGCTTTGTGTTCACGAATGCGGTCCGAGACATTCAATCACCTTACCCTACATTGCGGGGGTCACACCAAGATCTCCAAAATCTTGAATAAACACAAGATGCAGGTCCGATTCAACACAGTACATAACATCCGTGATCTGGTCCCGTCTGTAAATATGTGATTCCAGACATACAGTACCCTGGCGTCTACAAACTAAGTTGCCTCTGTGGTAGCAGTTACATTGAAGAAACCAAAGGACATGTCTCGGACTGCATCCATGTACAAAAAGCAGACCTAAAACACGGTAGGACCAACACCTCAGCCGTGGCAGACCACTGTTACAATTCAGTGGGCTCACATGACATTGACTTCTCCAAGACAGAGGTTCTCTGCAAGCCATCTGGCTACCATGAGAGATTCGTTCATGAGGCTATCCACATACAAACACAAGACAATTTCAACCGAGAAAATTAATTCTGGCTTAGCAATCATTGGAAGGATTTGATAAACCATTCCGGGTCTTAATTGATTGTGTTCACGCTAACGGTGACTTTCACACTGCATTCCATTCTCTTTCTATCTCCCCCCTCCTCCGTTCCGAGCATAGATGGACTCGTCCGTCTGAACAACCGCCAGTTGCTGTCCGTGGTGCTAACGTTAAGAAAAAACCGCCACTTTTTTCAAATTTTCTTGCTGTGGTTTTCACACCTGATGATGATTGCTTGTGTTCCATTCAAAACGTCGTGATAGTTGAATTGTTTTATTTCCATTATTTTATTATTTCCCTTCTACGTGACTTTATCGAAAGAACCAAGAATATGAATCCCTGCAGTCACGAAAGTTTTAAATCAAAATATTGCCAACATATTCCATAATCGTTATGCAATGAGCATATATGTTTAATTATTGACAAAATGAGAATAATCAACAAGTCACCTACGTGTTAAACCTATGGATATTAACCCAAGTACATTGAATGATATATATGTATTAATATCATCATTTCGATCCATGGGCAGATAGTCGGCAGGTGTCCACTGCACATGTCGTCACTGGTTTCCACTTTCCTCTGTCTTGTGCCAATATGCTCAAATAGTGGCCTCATCTTTCTGGCACCAATCTCTTCTTATGTCGTCATCAAGCCATTCTCTGTTAGCTTCTTCCTCTCTGTCCGGTTCCTTCCGTTTTTTTCCGAACAACACACTTTTAATTTACCTGTTCTTCTCCATCCTACATGACGTGTCCGAATAGTGCCAGTTTCTTAATATAAAGGGGCCCTTATTAAAACAAAAAAAAACCTTCACATATCTGGACCACCGTCACCGCCCACCGGTGGAAATGTCGAGATCCTTCCTGCGAGCGCGTGTGTCATTGTGTATCTTGCACTGTTGCCCAGAGGGCCCGGCACACCACAGGTGCACCTGCCCCGTGCACACCCCCCCCCCAACTCACACGGGCGGAACGTGACAATGAATATTCATGTCGCGCGTGGCCACTCAATGCCAGCCATGTGATGTTGCGAGCTTCACGTGTCGCCTGACCGAAGGGGCGGGAGGCGGGGGGGGGCTATTCAATATTCACCGTGAGCCTTGCGGTGTTTCCTCAGGCATGGCTGCAGTGCGCGCAGTTGCAACGAGGATCCTATCGCTGCTCGTTCTGCCACTATGGGTGCGAGGTGTGTATGCCACTTGCGGTTATGCATGTTCCGTTGTGCTATGAAGAAGGAACCATTGCCCGAAACGTCGCCTGTATATTTATACGTTTCTCTTTTAAAGGCACGGCGTTATCGTTACGCCGTTTGGTAAATACGCACAAAGTGGCTGTAAGTGATCGATGTTTGGGCGCCACAATTAAACAACACTATCTTAGTGGTGTTGTTATGTCGTGTTGTTCATGTGCTTCAGCAGCTGTGTATTGTTGTTGACGTGACGTGGTGTGATACTTATACTAACACCTTTATATATAAGCCAAGAAGATACATGTAGACATAAAGTACAATTTTAGAAAGAAAATTCTGACAGAATGTCCAAATATAAAAAAAACGCTTTACGGTATTGTGATGTATTTTTCCATAAGGATGTTGCCTAGCTAAAAGTAAAACGCGTTTTTGTGTTAGTAGTGTTTGTAATATTCATATTATCTCTTGTTTGACGGTATTAACTGGCGCACAACTTAACAATACAAAAGCGCATGTTCGTAATATTCATATTATCTCTTGTTTGACGGTATTAACTGGCGCACAACTTAATAATACAAGAGCGCATTTTGGGTCGCGTGCTCTGAACAAGTGCCTTGTCTGCAAAGGCGCCTATTTTGTTTTCATTTTGAGACCGCGCAGTGCTATTGACGAATGTGTCGCTAATTGTCCCTGTGCATTACTGCCAACGCCACAGGGGCAGGGTGTAAGGACACACATCAACAGCGCGTTATTTGCGTTGTTCAAACATCAAATGCAGCACTGTATTTGGTACGCAAGTTCACCGTTGTCTTGCGTCACAGTTGCCACGGTTGATGCAAGTCGGCGTCTTCACCTCAAGGTGCAATGAGCAGTCGACGGGAAGTAGGAACAGGGAGGTGAGCGGGCTTGAACAGGACACGAGGGGTGATGAACGATGGGTCAAGAGTAATAACGGAGCGGCAGCCAAGGAATGGAACGCATCCGAGAGGACGCTCACCGCAGAGATGGAGCAATGAGATCGGCTCGTGTACAAGTGCCAGTCAGGCGGTCACATCGCCGGGTCTTGAGGTGGTGGCGACTGTTTGAGGAGGCCTTCATCCAGCAGTGGATTGACCATGGCTGAGAATGACGAGACACGCGGTGTGTGCGTGCATCGCTGCAGGCCGCTCTTGGCTGCAGTCCCTCGTTCGATAGGACACGACAAGATTCATCTTCTTTGGTTCTTTCGGTAAAGTCACGTAGAATGAGAATAAAATAATAAAATAAAACAATAAAATTCTCACGACGTTTCGGCCACAACACAAGTGGCCTTCTTCAGGCCACTTGTGTTGTGTGCCTTCTTCAGGCCACTTGTGTTGTGGCCGAAACGTCGTGAGAATTTATTGTTTTATTTTATTATTTTATTCTCATTCTACGTGACTTTACCGAAAGAACCAAAGAAGACGAATCCTTGCAGTCACGAAAGCTTTAAATCGACACGACGGGAATTCTGTGTTGGGGCAATTGGCAGCAATTTGTGCGGCGCTCTTGTCGCATTGTGGGGAGCGGCAGTGTGCCGGCTAGCGCACTGCGCTACGACCCACATTTACGCTCACGGCCAACACCAGTGACGATTATCTGAACCGGCCCTGGGCCTCCCTTGGGTTCGATTCAGTCTCAAATTAGAACCTGGTGCGGTGTGTAGCCATCGCCACTCGAAGGCGGACTGGCTTGGTGCTGGTCACCCATCCCATCGTGTGCCGTGCCGGCCCTCGTAGGTGCTACTCGCTCACAGCACTTGCCCCAAACACTCTGTCAAGGCTACACGGGGGATCGTTGTCTTTGTCTATTGAGCTTCTGCCATTGAGCTTTTGCCAAAGTAATGAAGTGGGAGGCGTAGGGGTGGGTCTTTGACTAATACGTAGCACGGTGCTGCTGCACGTATTCCGGCAGGAGCGGCAGGGAGCCTGCAGCTGGACGTGCCAGCCACCGTGCACGTGGAGCTGGGGCAGACACTGGAGGTGCCGTGCAAGCGGGCCGACGGCATGGAAGCCGCATTCGAATCCGTGCTCGAGTGGTTCTACGTAAGCCCAGCCCAAAGACCACCAGACAAGTCCCTGCGCCGTTTGCCACAACCAAAAAATATATAATGCCTTCTCGGTACCCAGCCACGGTGGCAAATTACCGAAAGTGATTTTTACTGTAGAGCTTATTATCGCTTGGCGGTGGTGGCTACACACGCCTGTCATCCATGTGTACCCATGAGCGCTAATTTGTTGTGCCCCGTGCCTCCAGGTATCTCACCTCTTTGCGTATCTCTCTTTGACGCCGATCATCATCTCTTCATCTCGTGGTGAAAGTGTACTGTTTATCTCGGCAGGTCACTCCAAGATGCCTTTGCTGACTGACAGTTGAAGAAGCGTCATACAGGATTTTGCTAGGTAGATTATTATACCGCAGGATTGTGAGAGGTGCGGTGACTTTGGGAGGCTTTCATCCAGCAGTGGATGGACCATGGCCGATGATGGTGATGGTTCCCTGTTATGCAAATGTACTTGCTATCGAACGGTCAGAATTAGTTTTTGGATTTTTGAAATTTGAATCTTCAGAATTAATTCGACTTTCTTACCACAATAATTGGCATTTCAGTATTGCTATTAATGTAGTATTTAATTAGATTCCCCCTCTTAAACGTGGATATATTTAATCCTTTTATTTGATCTGCCTGGCTTTGCGCAGTGTTATAGCAGTTAGGGGTTGACTCAGCCCAGCCCTTGTTTCTCCTCTGGTAAATTAAATGTCGCACTTTGTAGGAAGTCAGCAGCGTCTGTTCTTGCTCACGCCAAACCCATAAACAGGAGAAACCACTTTTGGATTTTAATTTCATAACATTTGATGGGCATGGAGGGGTAAATTACCAGTTAGCACATTGCACTACGCACCTTGCAGCCTAAGTTAGATTTATGGCCACGTTTAGCATCAGTGGTGGGAAATAAATCAACCAGTCCCGACCCATTCTGCTTGACCAACCCACACTGGCCAGCCTGGTGAAGTATGGTCAAACAACCCCCATAACCGACACGGCATAGGGAGCCTTTTACGAATAATGATTTGAATAAGCATTACATTTATGTATTCGTGGTGGTGTCCATATCTCCCTCACCTCATTATCTCTTGCATATCTGCAAATCTCCATCCTCTGTGGCCTCCCTTTGCTTTGCTATGTTTACGAGTGAATGAAAGAAAATTACGGACATTAAAAATACGTTTGCCATCTCAACCAGGGTGACCCTGTAACCATCACAATTGTAGAATTAGTTCATTTTAAGAATAATGCCTGTCACAGAATCACAACATTTTACAATTGAGTGAGTGTTGGCAGTGCAATTGAGATCCTTTATGGGAAGGCTTTTATGCATAGAGGTCGATCTTATAATCAGCCGGTTCGCTTTCTTTGGTTCTTTCGGTAAAGTCACGTAGAATGAGAATAAAATAAGAAATTTATAAAATAAAATAACACAATAAAATTCTCACGACGTTTCGGCCACAACACAAGCGGCCTTCATCAGGTGAAGGGACAGTCTCGTCCCTTCATTCTACGTGACTTTACCGAAAGAACCAAAGAAGATGAATCCTTAGAGTCACGAAAGCTTTAAATCGAAATTTAACCGGTTCGCTTTTAATAAAATGATCAGATGTGGCAAATGCAACTCTGGCACTCCGATGATTAGATTTACCTATTTTCCAGTCCTCACCGTTGCTGTTTCCCCAGCCATCTTCTTATACGAGTGCACCACTGATTTGCGTTTTGTTCAAAAAGACGACCTCTATTGATTGCCCACGAATATGTCATGGCCCAGAGGAAACACATTCGCCGATTGTTGCTGAGGCTCGCGGGTCAGTGCCCAGCAGCTCACCCTGGTTATTCTTGTGGTATCAGCTGTAAAGAGAGGTGCCGCCCGCTTCACAGTGGACGTTAAAGATCCCCTGGTGTCAAGCGAAACCGGTCGGCCGTTTATTCGCCAGCTTCATTGTCAAAATGTGGCAAATATTTTTGTACGTTTAAAAAATATATACCCGCAGATTTTTTTTTAATCTGGATTACACCGAGCAACCCATCGTCCCCTACTGGAATCCTCCTAATGCCCACTGGCCTTGTGTCACACAGGGTGTCTGACCTTCGTGTGTGTGTGTGCATATGAGAAGCGAGTCACTGAGCGCGTGCGAAGTGCTCCGGATCAACAACAACAATAACAACAAAAACGAACCAGTCCGGGCAGGCGATGTCGTTTGTTTATTTTGCGCGAATCCATCCCTCCCTCGCTACCACCAACGTCCACCTTTCTCCCGGCAGGTGGACAGTGCCCACGGCCGAGTCCCCATCCTGTACCGCAGGAACAATTTCCGGCCCCCCGTGGATGCGCCCGACTACGCGGAGCGCGCGAGCCTCAAGCCCGGAACGTCGACGCTCGTGGTGGAGGGCGCGGGCCTCCAGGACGAGCGCACCTTCGTCTGCCAAATCACGGACAGCGCCGGGGAGAGGGGCACAGGCGCCGCCAGTGTCCGAGTCTTCTGTAAGGCGTCATCCTTAAACCGTTTACTTAACGGGGCCACCATAAAAGGGGTGGGGGGGTTAGCTCGCGTTAATATAAATGTGTCGTTAAACCCGCCACCATCCGACACAGACAATCAGCGAGGTTTGTCACGTAAACGGAACGTGCCAATTCGTTGCCAGTACAGCACACCGGTGTGTTGGAGAGAAAACCCACAGCATTTACAATTCGAGTAGGACGCTTCGTCGGTAATGACAACTGGCATCATTAGGCGACAGACAGAATTCAGGCATTCGTTAATGCATGCATTCTCAGGTTAACATAATGAATGTTGAACTTCCTTCGCACCGTACGTAGCCAACCATGCTAATCTGTGTGCGGGGGAAGGACAACAAACAACATTTAAACACACAAAAGCATTCCACTGTATGTTGATAATTATCTGTGACTAACCCAACCGATTATAGGTACAGATTCATATAAACCATTCTAATTTATATGACTGGATTCACCCCCCTCCAGTATTCGCACCTGATAGGCTCACAGCGATGACATCACCATTGCTCTCTTTAAGACCTAAACAAGAGGACTTCTTTACAATTCTGGCAAATCGCCTGATGAAGCTGGTTGTAATCACCAGCGAAACGTCGTACTCGAATAGTATTTTTTGTGGATTTACTCTCCAACACACCAGTGTGCTGAAGTAGTTATTTATTGGCACGTTTTGTTTACGTGACAAGCATTACTGTTTACGCATAGTCACTTTAAGATGTTTTCTTGTTCATGTTCTTGTTTGTTGGGTTGCACCCGATTCAAGAGCCGAATGGCTCACAGGGCTATACCAAATAAATGAAACTGAAACTTATTGGCTGTGTGGGATGGTGGTGGGTTTAACTACACCTTTAAATTTACTCCGTCTAACCCTTAAAACCTTTCTTATGAATTATTATGAATCACCTCTTCGTTTGAAACGGGCTTTTTTCCCACTTTCGATCGAGCAGCGTCACGGAGTCGTGGTGGTCTTATTTAAGTCTCGTCATCACTCAGGCACGCTAAAAGGGCCTTTGGGACCCTTTTGTAATTGGGCAATACTGGCTTTACGATTAAGTATGTTGCTTGATATTTGGAGATATTCAGCCAAGGTCATCCCAACCTTTTATTTGCCTTTGGGGAAGTGAGTGTGCCGCTTAACTCTTTGAGGTCCATCAAAACCTAAACTCGTTTTCATTCGACATTTTAAATGACACTTTCGACAGATTTCATTGCCGTACTTTTGACACTGCCGCAATAACAACGAGACCTGGCGCACGCTTTGCAATCCACCCGTTTGCCTCTTCTCAGTGGAATGAGGAATGTTTCCTGTGACCAACGGTGCCAGGTTTTCCCGAGGACTGTGCCACGTCGGTTAGGAGAGGGGGCACATAAGGGTTGTTTTCATCCATTACAAACACAAGATAACCGTGTGTGGTCATGGTCTATTTCAGCACTTGGAGACCTGGAAATAACTGCCAATCCCGAACCGATTGCATTAAACAACAAGACAGCATTGGTAAAAGACTCCTGCCCGCATCATTATTCCTGCATCGTTCCTTATCAATAGCTGCGTACGCGTGCGTGCGCGCGTGTTTTGCCTGCGCTGCTATGCCCTCAAAACCTTTGCGCATGCAATCTGATTCGTCTGCAAAACTTACATTTATTAACTAGCTAGGGGTGCCATGGTGGCAATATGTTAACTACCACGCCTGGTATGAAGGAGGTCGTGGGTTTGCACGAACATGTTTGCCTGTATATTTGGAGTTTGCATGCTCTTTCTCTCTCCCTGCGGTTGCGTGAATTTTTCTCCGGTTCCTCCGGGTGTTTCCCTCCAACATTTAGAATCAACGGACGTTCACCAATATTTAAAATCAACGGACGTTCAGAGTATTTGGCTGCTGTACATTTCCACGTGATAAGCCGTGTCGTTGAACTGTCATTACATGTGGCCAGGTCGCTTCTGAAGAACGAGCTGTACAGCTCAGTGGGCCTGACCTGGTAAAATAAAAAATAAAATGTCGTTTAAATAGTAATAGTTTAAATAGTAATAGTTTAAATAGTGGTAGATTCATTGATGTCAACCGTAGCAATGTTGAATTTCTAGATTTGAAGTTTTCGTGACTGCAAGGATCCATACGCTTTGGTTTTTTCGCTAAAGTCACGTGGGTAGAAAAAATAAATAAAGAATCTGTTTTTAAATATATAAAATATAAATCAATAAATCACGACGTTTCGATTGCAACACAAGCAATCATCATCAGGTGTGACAACCACAGCAAGGACATGTTTACTGAAGTGGGAGAGAGACCAGGGTTAGGGCAAAGAGAATGTTGAATTTCCAGCACTTCCTCAGGAATGTATTTGTAGATACGAGCACGGCCTTCCATTGATGAGCAGGAAACCAGTTTGATGTAAAATTGTAAGTGTTTATTTATTTAATTTCCGATTTATTTACCTCGTGACAAAAAAAAAAACACGTTTGCGCATGAGAATAATCAAGTTATTTTCGAGATCTGATTTATTATCATGAATTTCATCTGAATTCTCACCATCGATCTCATCTTCATCATCGTTCTCGTGTTTTAGAATGGGCAATAATGGGATAATTTCACTTGTGGAGTTGAGGGTCAGATGACTTTCACGTCCTCCAGGCCGCGCTGTGGAAGTGCTTCACGTCCAACGCGTTTATGGTGCCGCCATTGCTCAAGAGTCGGCATTCTAATAAAAGTGACGTAGTGATGCAATTCTAGCATATTTTTTTTGTTTAAAGAGACATTCACTTTCATTATTCACACTGCCCCCGCCCCGACCCCCTACCAAAGAATGGAATTGGGGGGGGGGGGTGGAAGGGGATAGAGCTTCGTCAACACAAATGTGGGAGGCTGTTTGCTTTGCAGTGTTTTCCCAGATATAACATTTCACGTGCCGACTGCGAGTTCGTATTACGTTATCACCCGGTGTGCCCGTTTCGTTCAACAGCTCGCTACGTGTCGGACCAAGAACAGCTACCCTCAACTGCAAATCGGCTGGTACAAAAACGGAATCGAACTCAAGAGCCTCACAGGTACCGAGGATCGGTGCGTAACAACGCCACCCTGGCTGGGTGGATCGGAACACGGGAGGAAGTTCCGGTGACATCCTCGCTTTGCATCCTGTGTTTCGGCGTTAATGTCCTCGGCACTTGGCCAGTGCGGTGGCGGCTGCGCGCACGTGGCCTGTGACCTGGCGACTCTGGAGACGAGTGTTCAGTAGATTGCACGAATGTTGTGACATTTACTTTGTCGTGGGCGATCGTGGATGTGCCCGCCGTACCCTGGCTCGCTACGAGAATCCTTCGCAGCACAAAAAAATGTGGACTCCAACTATTTCCGCCATCCGCATGAGATCGGGTGTTTCCTCCTCGCACGCGTGGGGTATTCTCTTGGTACTCTTGTTTAACTCCCACGTTGTAAGCACCCATTAATCGGCAGATAACACCTTAATATATAGAGGACCGCAGAGCTTGGGCAATTGTTTGGCGTCAGCTTACCGCCTCTGTTGGTTACACATCGTGCCTATGAGAGTCGTTCTCTGGCTTCTTCTTCGAGAGAGAGCCAACACCGTACGCATTACAAGTTTAAATTATTATTGTTTTATTTCAGTGAGAATCTTAGCCCAGTCAACGGTAACCCGTGGAAGTTGTAGTCAAAACCTTGAACCGTGGACTTCACCATGTACATTGCCTTCTTATGTAATGTGTCAATGTTGAAACGTTACTTGAACATCACTCAGTTGGGATTACACATAGCAGCAGCAACATTGCCTCCCGATAGTAGAAACGTGGCAGGACTCTCCTGACAAAAAAAACATGTAGAGATTCAGTAAGGCTTTCCTGGGTAAACGAGAAAAAAACTGGAGAATATTATTTTTGTTATCACACGCCAGCGGGGTGCTCGTGTTAAAGTTCAGGATATCAGCGGTGTCAAGGGGTGGGAAACTCGCCGAAACGTCGCTGTGGGAGGAGCCAAGGACAAGTGCAGCGGCGGGTGGCATCTACGGCGTTCCCTAGTTACTCGCGAGGAATACGTTGCGGATATGCTCGTGGATGGTACATTTTCGCGGATAATGATATTGGCCTACGAAAATCTTTATTCTTCGTGAATTACCTAAATGCGCTTTATCTCATCAATTTATCTATCATCACTATATCCCATCACTTTATCTCATCACATTCTCTCATCACTTTATTTCTCACTCTCTCTCTCGATGCAGTCGTGTAGCGTTCCAGATGCGATTCCAAAATCGCGGAAAGCAAGTTCGTGAATAAAGAGGGAATACTGTCTTTCTATAAATATAATTCGCAAGTGTCCGTCCGTCACGCTCTGGATCTCCCAAAGTGTATGTGGAAGGAAAACACACGTACAATTGTGTGGAAATTCGCCGAATATTCATGAATGTATATCTAACGTTGATTTATCAATTTAAAAGAACATAAAACTAAATTAATGTCAGTTTAACACGTAGGCTTTTGCGACCACTCTCATCCACAATAAAGGCTTGTTTTGGCTTAGATCGCGTAAATTTAAATGCTTCGTTAAACCCATGAGTTAAAAATGCATGTGTCAGTCCATTGTGTGTCAGGCTCAGTTGGTATGGTCCAGACCTGGGGGGAGGATGGAACACGAAAGGTAAACGGGCAGGTGTGTGTTTGGGCGGGTTTCGCTTTTTCCCCGACATGCTTTAACCCCCCCCCCCCCCCGTCTCATTGTGTGTCAGGCTCAGTTGGTATGGTCCATGTCTGGGGGGAGGATAGAATACGAAAGGTGAACGGGCAGGTGTGTGCGGGCGGGTTTCGCTTTGTCCCCGGCATGCCTTACCCACCGCCCCTGTCTTCGCAGCGATGAGCATGAGTCTGCAAGCCAATGGGCTGTACACGCTGTCCTCCAAGCTGGTGTACGTGGTCACGAGGCCGGACCACGGCGCCACGTACCACTGCGCCGTGTCGTACAGGGCCGACGCAGAGGCAAAGTCCATCCAGTCGGACGGCGTGAAGATCAATCTGCACTGTGAGTATCGCCGGTAACCAAATTAGAAGGAAAAAAAGGAGTAAAAATATATTTTTTTATCCTGTGTATAGGAATTTAGGATAGGGTGCATATGTTCAACTTCTTTCGCACCGTACGTAGCCAACCGTGCTAATCGGAGGTTCTGGGGAAGGACTATAAATAGTTACGGGCAGGCAGATAATTATGGAAATGTGTACCTTGTATTCTAGTTGTAGTGCCTTACGCCGATAATGGTTTTGATCTTCCACGAAACTAATGGCCCACCCTAAACCGCATCCGCACAAACCATGGCAGATGCAGAAACCTGATGCACAAATGGAAAATGGAAACTTTCCAGTAGTAGTGTGCGACTGTGGCCATCCAGAACAGACCGTACAACGTGTAATGACGTAATTCCCCGATCCACAAACACGAAAGGAGACATCGCTGCGACGATGATGCACCACTCTGCGGCTCCTGACGCCGTTGTCTGGGCTTCACCACCTGAATGTGACATCGTAGTCATTGCCTTGCGTCTACATCAGCCGTACAGAAGAAGAAGAAGAAGTTGAATAAATTTTGACTTAAAACTTTCGTGACTGCAGGAATTCAAATTCTTGATTCTTTCGGTAAAGTCACGTGGATTAAAAAAAAATGTTACATTAAAAAATAATAAATGAAATTTTTAAATAACAGCAAAAAAAATCCACGACGTTTCGATCGCAACACAAGCGGTCCTCATCAGGCGGAGAAACGTCGTGGGTTTTTTTTTGCTTTCATTGAAAATTAGTATTTATTATTTTTTGTATTTTATTTTTTATTTTCTATCTACGTGACTTTACCGAAAGAACCAATAATAAGAAGTTGCCGACAGTGCCCGGGCTGCCAAACTGAGTGCTTCGTCTCGTCCACGCTCCCTTCCGCCACCTCCCAGAGCAGGCCACACACCGCTTCTCGACGCGTTTCTTCCCTCGCACTGCTCCCAAGCTCCGGTCGTAACCTTGCTAAGTTCAAGTAACGCGTCAACTCTTAAACCCTTACAATCTTTCCACAGTGCCCTTCGCTGCTGGCCGCTTGACATTTTTCAGCCTTTTGGGCCTTGTGCTCAAGAAAATATTGTTTCAAACAAACAAAAAAATGTTGATATTTTTTTTGTTTTACAAAAATCCTTACTCCAAGCCAGAGAATATCGCGTGAGAAATGAAGTCAAAATGTGTCCTGTGGCTCCATGGGACTCCGTGTGGACGCGTGTTCCCCGTGGGGGCAGACCCACCGGACAGCGTCGTGCTGTCTGTGGCGTTACCGACGGTGGCAATCAAGGAGAGGGATGACGTCGTGCTCAAATGCACTACCGATGCAAACCCACCGCCCAACTACAGCTTCTACAGGGTGAGCTGCTGCTGCTGCACTTTCTACGAAAGCTGCATGGACTGCTCTTTCCGCACCAGCTGCACTGACTGCACATGCTGCCGCATGTGCTGCTAGTGCTGCACTTGCTGCACGTGTTGCCGCACTTGCTGCTAGTGCTACAGTGACTGCACGTGTTGCTGCACTTGCTGCTAGTGCTACAGTGACTGCACATGCTGCGTGGTTGCACTGACTGCACTGCTGCTGCACTTGCTGCTACTGCTGAACTAGCTGCTGCACTTGCTGCGGTAGCTACACTTAATGCACAAGCTGCTGCACGTGCTGCTAGTGCTGCACTGAATGCACATGCTGCTGCACATGCTGCTGCACATGTTGCACTTGCTGCTGCATATACTGCTTGTGCTGCACACACTGCAAACGCTGCTGTACTTGCTGCACACACGGCACATGCTAGTGTTGCACATATTGCACATGCCGTTAGTGACGCACGTACTGCACAACTGCTGCACGTGCTGCTGTTGCTGCATTGACTGCACGTACTGCACCTGCTGACGAACGTGCTGCTTGTGCTGTATATGATGCTGCACTTACTACCGTTGCTGCACAATTTTGCTGAACGTGCTGCTCGTGATACATTTACTGCACAAGCGGCTGCTGCACTTGCTGGTACTGTGGTTGACACGTGTTCGCTGCTGTGTTATCATATTCTCAGTATTAAAGAGATGCAATATTTTTTTTTTGCTATGAATTTCTGCTAAAAGTTGGTGGTGTGTCTTCTAATTCGACATGTGGCCACGAACCAGCCGCCTGGATATGCAAGTTGCAATCTATAACTTTCTCACCCGTCCCTACTGGGACAACTGTGATAAAGAGCTGCATAGCTCGTCGGATTCCTCCGGTATAAATAAAGATTCTGATTGCCGACCCGAATGTTCCCTCTTCGTAGCAACTCTCCGCCACGAAGAAGCACCGTGGCCAAAAAGCACCGCCGCCTTTTGAAACATGTTGTCTTTGTTTTTCCCCCCACGAGGCAGTGTTATTGACGATTGCGGCGACCTTTTCGTTATTTGTGCTCGTGCCCACCGCTCGGGCTCGGGCAGACGTTTTTAACGCGCAGGCCGGTCGTCTGTGTGAATTACCGCATGGGATCGAGGTTCGTTTATTTAAAATTCTCAAGGGTTGGCTCGTCCCGGCGAGTGACGAAACACCCCAGGGGTGGCGCTTCACGACGCCGCGTTTGATTGCCTCTGGCCGCGGCCGGCGCCTGCCGGAATTCCTGGCCTTCTTTTCGGTTTTTTTCTGAAGCAACGTTCCATGCGGACGGGCACTTCGTTTCTTTCCTGCCACCTATTTCACGCCGTGGCGGTAAAGCATTGGAAAGAATTTCGATTTAAAGCTTTCGTAACCGCAAGGATTCATTTTCTTTGGTTCTTTCGGTAAAGTCGCGTAGAATGAGAATAAAATAATAAAATAAAATAAGACAATAAAATTCTCGCTTATTTTATTTTATTATTTTATTCTCATTCTACGTGACTTTACCGAAAGAACCATTGGAAAGAAGAAAAAGAAACCCGGCTTAGTTGGTGGCACCGGTGCGAATCTTCTCACCACTAAGACGGCCCTCCCCAAAATGGACAGTTCATCATAGAGGAGTTTTCGGGGCAAGATCGCGTCAATATAAATGTGTCGTTAAACCCGCCACCACCCGACGCAGCCAATATATATGGGTAATATTGGTCGCGAAAGCCGACGTGTTAAACTAAATGGATAGTTCAGTTCCCATGGCTGCCAGCTGGGAAATGAGCATTGGACTTTCGAAGAAATCGTGACACCATTAAACAACGCCGATTGATTAAATGGTGGATTACTTTGATGTATATATATTTTTTTTAATCCAGAAGAGAAGGTGGCAAGAAAAATGTGTTGTTGTCAATATAATTAGGTAAAAACGGTTGTGCTGGGTGGGACACGTGCTGGATGGGAGGGGGGGTGATTGCCTAAACCAGGGGGAAAATAACAAGAAAGAGCCATTTTCTTCAAATTCGGTAAAAAAAAACTATCAATATTTCAAGAGCCGCAGAAATGAATGTGAATACGAGACGGTGGTCCTAAATGAATGTCATCACGAAGCAGTCCTCAAAGAGCCGCATGCGGATCCGGAGCCCACAGGTTGCCGACTGGCCTAGACAGACATATTGGAGTCATCTCCTGACGCACAGATTCCAAAAGGATGCTGCGGACACTAAGACACAGCCCAAACATGTGCAATAAGTTACACACACACACCTACAGTACATGGATTATAAAGACACCCCCCCGCTTGTTGCTTAAAAAAACGCAGATGAAGGAGTCATACTCACGTAGGTGAAAAAATAAAATAAAAATAGATAAAAAGTTAATTTTACTTTTATTCATTTTTATTTTATTTTTTAAATAAAAAGTAAAATTACTTTCATTTATTTTCGGTTTTTTTCACCTACGTGACTTTACCGAAATAACCAAAGAGTATGGATCCTTGCAGTCACGAAAACTTCAAATCTAGAAAGGTGAAGGAGTGTCTTACCTGAACCGATCCTGGGCCTCCCCTAGGTCGACTCAGCCTCACATGAGTACCTGGTGCAATTTATGAACGTCACCACTACGGAGACAAAGGTGGCCGGGCGTGGTGCTGGCCGTCCACCCCTCGTGTGTGCTGTGGCAGCCTTCATAGGTGCTCGCTCATATCACTTGTTGGTACTTGGCTGGTCAAATGTTTTAAGTCAACAGTGGCTGACCGTCACGGCTGCCAGTGGAGATGTGTGGTGCCCTCACTCCTCACTTAGTCCCTGTACCATATATACCCACCCCCCTTGCCCTCTTCCCCTCCCCCCCCCTCCATGCCCTCTCTCCCCCCCTGTGCCCTCTATCCCCCCGATGCCCCCTGTCCACTATGCCCCTCTGTCTCCCCTGTGCCCTCTCCTCCCCCTGTGCCCTCTCCTCCCCCCCGTGCCCTCTGTTCTGCCCATGCCCTCTGTCTCCCCTGTGCCCTCTACTCCCCCTGTGCCCTCTCCTCTCCCCCCGTGCCCTCTGTTTCCCCGGTGCCTCCAATGCCCAGGTATTCGCGGATGACAGGGTGGAGGTGCCGGGTGCGGTGCGGGGCGGGCTCCTGGTGCTGCGCGGAGTCTCGGCTGACATGAACGGACTCTACGTCTGCAGGGCGAACGCCACCGGGAAGTGCACGGGGCACAGTGCCACGTCCTCGCACATCAACGTCGTCATCAACTGTGAGCTCGCCTAATCCTCCCCCTGTGCTCCGCATACTGCAAAGACTCTTTAACAGCATCATCAGCCATGATCAATCCACTGGTGGATGAAGGCCTCCCCAAGCAATTGCCATCTACCTTTTACCTTCACGCGAACCTGACCGCATCGCTTCGTATCCTCAGTAAGATGTCCCCTCGGACACGTTCAATTCCTGGGCAACTCACAATTGAAAGCTCACAAATTCCAATCTCAGCTGAGGGTCACATGAGCCCCATTTTCATTGCTCCATGTTTGTTAAAAAAAGAAAATGTGTACGGATTGTAGAAAGTTCAACGGTGATGGTCTTTTATTGAAACTCACGAAACAGGTGGTGGAATTTCCATCACTGGCTCATGGTCACCAAATGTAAACAATGATATCTGGCCAAATGCTTCCCTTAGCAGGAAGATGCCATAATTTTCCAGGTTACTGACGTAGTCGTCGTATTGTGTCTGACCCCTGCTTCAGATATTGATCCGCTGAGTCTGGTTCCCTTCGGACCGCTGACCGTGAGGGCTGGGGTCAGGGTGCACGTCACCTGCCAGAGTTCGGGCTCCGGACCCCTCTCGTACCGCTGGATCAAGGTCGAACTTGTGCCTGGTGTCAATACAGTTATACAAACCTGGTCTCACACACACTCCGCTTGTCTACTGGATCACAAGACGCAGCGCCCCAAAGGCTTTCCTTTAAATTACAGTCAACAAAGGTGCATCGTATACTCTGGAGAATACGGTATGGTTTTTATGCAAAGATAAAGTTCCTCAGACATAAGTCCCTTTCTCACATGATTATAGACAGAGCTATGCTACCCTTGGTTTAAACCTGCACCATTTTTTTAATTAATGTTGGAATTTCTCCCAATTTTATCCCAATTGTGCTTTTGGCGTCACATCACGGGAATGAAGTAACCTATGAGATCTGTCACAGAGCAGTGCAACCCTTCGTGTTTGAGAACGTCCCACGGAAGCGAATATCACAGAGCTACCTCTGGGATCCCTTCATCTGACTTCTGGTCCACGCTCTGTAGAGGGCAGCGCTTTCCCACCCGCACTGCCACCGAGAGTAATGTTCGTCGCATGAGCTGCAATTTAGCCAAATTCAGTTCAGAATGTAACATTTTAATTACGTTTTTTTTTTTTCACACAGTCGTTGGTTAGCGGTCTGAGACCACAAGTTAATTGCACTACTAACCGAGGACCCCAGCAGTGCCAGCTCGGTACTGTTGCCTCCAAGCCACCCAAGTACCTCACCCGCGCCTCTCGCTACAAAGCCGTTCATGGTTGTTGACGTTTGTCTTCTCGTGTGTTGTCGTCATTGTCGTCGTTCAGGATGGCACGACGGTGTCAGACTCGACAAAGGTCGTCATAGAGAGTGCACAGTTCAGCGATGCTGGCGTCTACACCTGCAATGCCTGGCTGCTGGCTCACCCGCACATCACCGCCAGCGAGAGTGTCAGCCTGCTCGTGCAAGGTATAACTGGCAGTAACAATAGCAAGGTGGCCAACGGTAGTGACAACAGCAAGGTGACCAACGGCAGTAACAATAGCAAGGTATCAACAGCAGTGACAATAGCAAGGTGACCAACGGCAGTGACAATAGCAAGGTGGCCAACGGTAGTGACAACAGCAAGGTGACCAACGGCAGTAACAATAACAAGGTGACCAACGGCAGTGACAATAGCAAGGTGACCAACGGCAGTAAGAATAGCAAGGTATCAACGGTAGTGACAATAGCAAGGTGACCAACGGCAGTAACAATAACAAGGTGACCAACGGCAGTGACAATAGCAAGGTGACCAACGGCAGTGACAATAGCAAGGTGACCAACGGCAGTAACAATAACAAGGTGACCAACGGCAGTAACAATAGCAAGGTGACCAACGGTAATGACAATAGCAAGGTACCAACGGCAGTGACGATAGCAATGTACCAACGGCAGTGACAATAGCAAGGTGACCAACGGCAGTGACAATAGCAAGGTGACCAACGGTAGTGACAATAGCAAGGTGACCAACGGCAGTGACAATAGCAAGGTATCAACGGCAGTGACAATAGCAAGGTGACTAACAGCAGTAACAATAGCAAGGTATCAACAGCAGTAACAATAGCAAGGTATCAACGGCAGTGACAATAGCAAGGTGACCAACGGCAGTAACAATAGCAAGGTATCAACAGCAGTGACAATAGCAAGGTATCAACGCAGTGACAATAGCAAGGTGACTAACAGCAGTGACAATAGCAAGGTGGCCAACGGCAGTGACAATAGCAAGGTGACCAACGGCAGTGACAATAGCAAGGTATCAACGGCAGTGACAATAGCAAGGTATCAACGGCAGTGACAATAGCAAGGTGACCAACGGCAGTGACAATAGCAAGGTGACCAACGGCAGTGACAATAGCAAGGTATCAACGGCAGTGACAATAGCAAGGTATCAACGGCAGTGACAATAGCAAGGTGACCAACGGCAGTGACAATTGCAAGGTGGCCAACGGCAGTGACAATAGCAAGGTGACCAACGGCAGTGACAATAGCAAGGTGACCAACGGCAGTGACAATAGCAAGGTGACCAACGGCAGTGACAATAGCAAGGTATCAACGGCAGTGACAATAGCAAGGTGGCCAACGGCAGTGACAATAGCAAGGTGGCCAACGGCAGTGACAATAGCAAGGTGACCAACGGCAGTGACAATAGCAAGGTACCACACAATCTCATTATCATGTGCTATAAAGAAGGGCCGAGGCCCAAAATGTCGCCTATTATATACCTTTAATTTTAAGGCAGTATTTTTGACGAATGTTTCAAGAACGTTTTATTTTTGCTTGTGTAGCACTGCCAACGTAGTATCACCAAATAATTTGCTACCTCACATTATGGGTGTCTTTTTTGCGACATGTAAATAGAAATGCGTTTCATCCTATCAGCCTATTGGCTTTCCAGACGATTATTATGTACTACATGTATGTTGAACTTCTTTCACACCGTACATAGCCAACCACGCTAATCGAAGGTGCGGGGGAAGGACAATAAGTAAGCAAACTCTGGACCGGTGTTGCCCTTCTGGGTTCTCATCAGTCGAGTCACAAATTTGACGGTGCTTTTTGTTTCCGGCCATTTGACATGTTGAACCTTTGGGCCTGTGCTCAGCATACAAATATACATGTTGTGAAATTGAATCATGGTATCACATCGTGGCAGATGGTAATGGCTGGGTGAGGCCTTGATCCAGCAGTGGCACAACCATGGCTGATGGTCGTGTCGTGAAAAAATGTAATCACTGCAATCCTATAAACATTTTTTTTTTACCAGGTAAGGACCACTGAGCGATATTGCTCTTTTTCAGAATCGACATAGGCCACAAATTATAGCTCAACATGGTGGCTTATCACGTAGACATTTATCGTCGCCGAATACTCCAAACACATGTTTCTAAATATGGAGGGAAAAACCGGAGGACTCGGAGATAAATCCACGCGAGCACGTGGAGAATATGCAAACTCCAAATATCCAGGGTCGGGATCGAATCCAGGACCTCCTGCATACCAGGCGAGGTAGTTAAGATCTCGCCATTGTGGCATCCTAGTAGCGATACGGGCATCTTTATTTTATGTGTGTGTGTGTGCACGACCACAGGAAAGCCTCACATCTTGAGTGATGAGGACGTGTACCTCCAGAATGAGGGAAGTGCCCTCTCCCTGCTGTGCGAAGCAGTCGGCTTCCCCAAGCCCAACATCAAGTGGAGCCACGCTGGAAGGCCTGTACGCCCCCTCGTCCTTCTGTTTACATCTTTAAAATGTATATGCTCTGGGTCTTTCGGTAAAGTCACGTAGATGGTTCAAAGAAAATAACAAAAAAAGATACGACGTTTCGATCACAACACAAGCGATCGCCATGCTCCTGATGACGATTACTTGTGTTGTGATCGAAACGTCGTAGTTTTTTGTTATTTTCTTTGAACCATCTACGTGACTTTACCGAAAGACCCAAAGAATATTAATTCCTGTAGTCACGAAAGCTTTAAGTCAATCTTTGAAATGTTTTATTCCAAGCAGCAACATATGTTAAACGAGCAAACTCTGGACCGGTTTTGACCTTCTGGGTCTCACCGGCAGAAGTTGGCCTTGTTGACCAAATGCTGGTGTTGAGTTCATGCGAGAGGTGCGTGATAGCTCCGTGTTTTTTTTTCGTTGTTGACAGAGCAACACCGAGAGCATAAAAGACAACAAGCTCACAAGCGAACTGAAGCTCAGGGTAACAGATGACCTGCGGTACGTCACGTGCAACGCATCAAACCAGTATGGGGCAGCGGTGAAAGTTTTTCATTTGCAACGTCCATCAGGTGAGCAGTGAGCAAGTGCAGCCCACCTGTAAGAATGCTTGCATTGTTGTTGTTACCGTTTCACATGCGCATCATAACCGTATGATGTCATGCTTTCCACAGCCGCAGAGGATGCGTATATAATCATTCTAGCTGTCGCTGCAGCACTACTGATAATTGGATCCGTTGCGTTCGTCATGTGGCGTAAAAGGAGGCATCGTTATAGAAGGTAAAGTGAATGAGTGGTCGTGATCGGTGCACTGCATTACGACACGTGGGCCGTCTTTAATCGTTCAATTGCTTGAAAAGAAATCCCAAATATGAGACACAATTCAAAACATTTTATTCTCAGCATATATCCTGGTGCATGAAGGTCATATTTTATTGCATAGAATATGGACCGCTGTGTAACTGTCAAACTCTTGGTCATCGTGTTGCACACTGGCCCGTGCTTGCGAATAGAATGATATAAACATTTACTTCTTTGAGCAAGTGCACGGAATGTCCTGTGCACCAGAAAAATCGCAAAATGTAACTGTAAGCTGCCTTTCCATCCCACTGTTGACTTTGCTGAACTCCATGTGGACCCAATGGGGCTCTTCCTGATACAAACGATGCTCTGTCATTTGATCCAGTTGTATTTATTCGTGATGATTCTAAAAGATTTTAGACTCATATAGTGCTCCATTGTAGACCACAGAATAAAGTAAATCCATTTGGCGAGAATGCATCACATTTTGAGAAACAAAGATGACATATTTAGCAAATTGACACTGAATATAACTTGGGAATACATTTGGATTTTATTTCACAATTTTTACTTTTGATGGACACAATTGTAACGGGGTGGGTTTAATCAATGGCCTTTTATTCTAGATTTGAAGTTTTCGTGACTGCAAGGATCCATACTCTTTGGTTCTTTATAGTAAAGTCACGTAGGTGAAAATAAAATCAAATTAAAATAAACAAAACTGAAAATAATTGAATTAAAACACGACGTTTCGGAAGCAACACAAGCTTCCGTCATCAGGTGCGACAACCACGGCAAAAAAAATGTTTTACTGTAGTGGGCTTGGTTGTCCTTCTTGATGACGGAAGCTTGTGTTGCTTCCGAAACGTCGTGATTTAATTTAATTTAATTATTTTGAGTTTTATTTTATTATTTGTATTTTTTATATATGATTTTGATATTATTTTCACCTACGTGACTTTACCGAAAGAACCAAAGAGTATGGATCCTTTTAATTATGTTTCTGAAAACATTCTACCGGTGTATACGTATCTCTTTTTTGTTTAAATAGAGATAGCTACATCATCTATATGCCAGGCAAAGTATTTGGTGATGCTGCTGCTGCATTGGCAATGGTGCTCAAGCACAATTCCTCAATAACGCTGCGGCCTTAAAAGTAAAAAATATATATAATGGGTGACGTTCCGGGTAATGACCCTTCTTCACAGCATGTACATCTCACACTTGGGGATGAGTTTTTATTTATTTAAAGAATTGTGTTTTTTTTATTTGCAGGGACTATTGTGTTTTCTTTTATCTTTCTTGGCCGTTCTCATCACTTGCATGGTTGCTACATATTTACGGGCCTGCATGCCAGCAGAAGCGACGTTGCCCGATGCAATGTAACAATATATTTGGCGGGAGAATCAAGAAGTGATGTCATATTCGCAACGTCATTCCCTGGGTTTTCTGATAAATCCGAATGAAACAAAAAACATGACATTCGTATAACACAAAATTTCATATTTAGGCCTGATTTTCCTACGTATTTAGATATAATTCCAAAAATTGGGAGAGCATCCAGACTAAATACCAAATGTTTAGCGGGGAGAAAGCCCTCCGGCATACAAGGCCCCCATATTTGTTACAAAGGGCACCTGAATATTAACAATCGTGGGTACAGTGTAATCCAATACACTATTCACCAAGAAAACACGGCGAAACAATTACCCACCGCACACACACACACAGAGCAGGCACAATGAGCCCGAAAAAAGCGCTCGTAAATTATACACACGTCGCTAAGTAGGCAAGTGTCCGTGTAAGTTATTGTATTTTTTTTGTGAAGATAGTTGCTCGGTCTAGTACCGGGGTCGGCAACCAAAATAACAAGGAGGTGACATTTAAAAAAAAAATTGCGTTAAAAAATAAAATAATTCAATGCAATGTGAGTAACGTCACGACGCGATCACCTAAAAGAGCCGTGGAGAGGGCAGCGTTTTGGCAGTTGTCCGCTTGTTAAGTTATTCCGTGGAATAAATGCGTAACTACATTTATAATATATATGTGTAGTTGCGCATAGACGGCATTGCGTACATATACAGCCCCTTTGTCAATCCACTGACGGTTGGTGACATTGCCCTGTGGGCCGGCAGAGGTTGTTTGACCATGCCTCACCGCGTCGGTAACGCACGGGCAGTACGTGTGGTGTACTCGCACACACAAAAAAAACAACCAACACTAATATACCCCCATAGCCTCTAGCAAACCGCTGGGGGTGAAGGCAATGAGGAGGGGTGGGGGTGATGCCCCCCCCCACCACCACCACCCCGTTTGCCATCACCAATGAAAATACATCGAGCGTCTGTTTATTATTGTAGGGCCCTGTGTAAAAAATAAAAAAAACGCTTGGGAGTTCCGGGACCATCCCAGTCATAATCCACCTCTGCTGCTGGGACGACGGCTCTATACCGAGCACCTATCAAGGCCTACACGGCAGCACGCGGGTTTCAGTGGTGGAACCGGAGTCCTTAACATGCTGTCGGGGGGGGGGGGGGGGAATCTCCAATTGTCACCTTGGGTCAAATTGTCCATAATAGAGGTGTTTTGGGTTAGATCGCATAGATATATAAATGTGTCGTTAAAACCCGCCACCACCCGACACAGGCAATCAGTAAGGGTTGTCACGTAAACAGAACGTGCTAATTCCTTGCTAGTTCAGCACACCGGTGTGTTGGAGAGTAAGCCCCACAACATTTACCATACGAGTACAGTGACGTTTCGCCGGTAATTACAACCAGCCTCATCAGGCGACAGCCAGAGTTGTGGATAAATCCTCTTGTCTTAAATAGTGGGGTAAAACTGTGAGCCAATCAGGTGCGAAGAGAAGAGGGGGGGGGTTAAATGTATTCATATAGATTACAATGGATCTCTGTTATTGGTTGGGTTATTCAGTTAACCAACATAATGTGCATGCATAACGCGCACGCACATTATGCATGCACGCTATGGTAGCGGGTTTAATGTCACATTCATATTTACCCGATCTAAACCCAAAAACCTCTATTATGGATAGTTACGGTCGCGATAGCCCTACGACTACGACGTGTTAAACTGGCTCAAGTTCTATTTACAGAGACAAATCACGATGCCGTTTCTACTCCAGTGGAGGTCGGTTAAACTCACGCACCGCACGGGTGCGTGACACCGGCTAGCGAAGTGCACGGGGAATGACAGGGCCTCCTGGTGCTCAAAGTATCACCGGCCACGCTTCTTGAACTTTTCGCGATTTTATTTTTGCCCAACGCTGGGGAGATTACACCATGTAACACGATTTTTGTCCCTGGGTAGTAAGTGTCATTTCCTAATTGCTTATGCCTTAAACGTATATCAAATGGCTATTATTATTCCCCACAAACTTTGCTTTTGTGACCAGGACTTTACGTGAAGGAATGACACAAATGCACACCACGTTTTCTCATTGAAAATAGGTAAATTTTGAAAATATCACTGTCCTGGTCACAAAAGCAAAGTTTGTGGGAAATAATAGACATTGTCTGTACTTTTGAGGCATATGCAATTAGAAAATAACACTGACTACCCAGGAACAAAAACTAATATTTTGTTTTGATTTAAAGCTTTCGTGACTGCAGTAATTCATATTCTTAGTTTTTTCGGTAAAGTCACGTTGAAGAGAAACAACAAAATAATTAAAAATATATAAAACAATTAAAAATTCTCACGACGTTTCGACCATAACTCAAACGTTTGAGTTTCGACCATAACTCAAACGTTTGAGTTTGAGTTATGGTGGAAACGTCGTGAGAATTTTTTTATTGTTTTATATATATTTTATTATTTTGTTGTTTCTCTTCAACGTGACTTTACCGAAAAAACTAAGCATATGATATTTTGTTGTCACACAGTGTTATTGTACGCTGCGATGCAATACCACAAGGGGACGACACGAGCAAGCGCAGGGCAGAGTGCTGGAGCCAGAAAGCAATTGTTGAACTTTCAAGCAAAATAACAACATTTATTAAAGTACTTTACTTGACCAGGTAAGGGCCCACTGAGCTGTACAGCTCTTTATTGTTTTCAGAAGAGACCTGGCCGCACGTGACAACTCTAAACCGGTGGGTTTTCACCTGGGGGTGCGAGATGCCCTTTTGTGGGGGTGGCGAGACACGGCCAGATTTATATTATTAGCTCGTTCGGTAAAGTCACGTTGAAGGGAAACAATTAAATAATAAAATATATAACAATAAAAAATTCTCACGACGTTTCGACCATAAAACAAACGGTCGTCATCAGGTGTGTCGGTTTGCATACATTTATTTATTTTTAAACGGTGTATTTATTTATTTAAAAAACCGTCAGCGGCACGCGCAGCGATTTGGCAGTTTATTTAGAAGGACTAGTCCATCAATGTTCTGAAAGAGGAGGGGGGAGACTAAAAATTAATGTATGCTGTCTGAAAGCCACTGTAAGCGTGAACAATCAATTAAGACCTGAAATGGTTTATCAAATCTTTCCAATTATCTTTTTCCAAGACAGAGGTTCTTTTTAAGCCATCTGGCTACCATGAGAGATTCGTTCATGAGGCTATCCACATATACAAGCACAGAGACAATTTCAACCGAGAAGATGGATTCTGGCTTAGCAATCATTGGAAAGATTTGATAAACCATTTCAGGTCTTAATTGATTGTTCACGCTTACAGTGGCTTTCAGACAGCATACATTAATTTTTCGTCTCCCCCCTCCTCTTTTCAGAACATAGATGGACTAGTCCTTCTAAATAAACTGCCAAATCGCTGCACGTGGCGCTGACGTTTTTTTATAAATAAATAAATACACCGTTTAAAAATAAATAAATGTAAGCAAACCGACACATCTGATGACGACCGTTTGTGTTATGGTCGAAACGTCGTGATAATTTTTTATTGTTTTATATATTTTATTATTTTATTGTTTCCCTTCAACGTGACTTTACCGAAAGAGCTAATAATATGAATTACTGCAGTCACGAAAGCTTTAAATCAAAATTTTACGGCCAGATTTGTTTAGAAGGTAAATAATCGAAAACACAAATTAAGCACGGGCACGTGAGTACAACTACTTTGTTTCACCAAACCCTCTATGCATTTATTAGCATTTCTAGATTTGAAGCTTTCGTGACTGCAAGGATCCATACTCTTTGGTTCTATTCGGTAAAGTCACGTCGTGATTTTTGTTGTTTTATTTTTTACCTACGTGATTTTACCGAATAGAACCAAAGAGTATTTATTAGCATATTATTGTCTAGGATTGACAACCAAAGGGATGCAAGGCCGCAGTAAAGGTTAAGAACTACTTTTAAACGCACGTTGAATCAAAATGTGGAAGGAAAAGCCTGAGGACCCGGAGATAAATCCACACGACCACGGGGAGAACATGCAAACTCCAAATAAACATGCTTTAATCCACCAGCCCTATTGACATTTCAGATCAAGACTAATCGTCATCATCACGATCCATGTCCACTGCACATTTCGTCATATTTTTTTTTAATTCCGCTTCCCACTGTATTGTGCCAATCTGCTCAAGTAGTTCCACATCTTCCTGGCACCGATCTCTTGTTATGCCGTCCTCAAGCCATTCTCTGAACAAAACACTTTAAAATTTTCTGTTGTCTACACGCGTGTCCAAATAGTTCCAGTTTCCTTCTCATTACTGCCTGCATCACCCGGTCTTCTTCTATGTGCAACCTTTTTTCTTGATGCTATGCTAGTCACTCTTTTGGTCCAGCTTCGATGCAATATCCTTCTGTAGCAATACATGTCTAGTGCCAATACCATATCATATCTCTGCGGTGTTTGTTTAAGCAAAGCAAACCCCTGCGTCAATGGGGTTTGTGTACAGTGTTATTTTGCTGTTGAATGACGTTGCATCATTCAGAGGGAGTGATCTTCCCAATAACGCCAAGTTAATCCAACTGGCATTTGTTTAACAAATCTGAATCTGCTGATGAGACCCAGAAGGGAAAAAAAAACTGGTCCACGCTTTGTTGTCTTCATCAACAAATGCTGATTCATGATTGTTGGTCTGGAAAGCCAATCGTCCCAAGGACGAAGCAATATTCGTATTTATATTCAGAAAGAAAGAATGGAGCTCTGCTTACATTCAGCTTGGAGTGAGTGACACGTGCCTTGGGTAATTTCAAACAGAGCAGAGATGATGTGTGTGTACTTGTGCTGGTCAAACATTTATTTCATGCCAAACATGTCCAATACACACTATATGCATTCACGAAATGCATCGAATGTATTGTTTTCCAAATACTCATCAACACAAATGGAGAATTAAGTGGATTTTTTTTAACACGAGCTGTTTTCAATGGTTTTCACCTTTGCATACCACACAAAGTGCTTTAAAAATGCGTATTTGGGTAAATAACTGTTAAATATATTTTTTTAACATCTACCAAAATACAAGTAACAATGCTACTACTGCGTAGGTTATTTTGTACGGTTGCTTAGCGCTTTTATCTTGTTCTCGGCTTGCACCACGTGCTGTTCAGCGCGATGTCTGACGTTTCCCTCGATGTGCTGGGAGCTTCCCCAGGAACTCATTCGCTCACTCTTTGTGTACTGGAGTGAAACGTCGGACATCGTGGACAACACGCAGTACAATCCAAAAACACGTCTCAGAGTAATATGAAGTACAGTAATCCGCACCGACCAGTGTCCAGTCTGGTGAAGTATGGTCAAATTATTACCTGCGTGGTGTGGAGAGCCCCTTATCAAACAGTGAAATGGCAAAACAGAATCTACAACGATGGTCTTTATCCAGCAATGCCTCACTAAGTCTCAAGACTCTGTCGAGACACTTGCCCGTCGGGATGTGTCATCAATTCCCTCTTGAAGGTTCGACATACAGAAGGAAGCCAGCGTTACCCGGAGAAAACCCAACCTTGCACACGAGGTGGCTGTCGGTCAATGTTCCACACAGGTGGCTTCAACTACCCATTGCCGTGCCGACATTTCCAGGCCCCATCTCACAGCCCACGCCTGAAACTCCCAGATATTCCCAGACACGCTCTCGCTCAAGCTCAGACCTGCCTTTTAGCTCCTCTGTGCCACCTTGAGTATAGTGGCATCGCTAACTTTGCACATATCAAAGGCATGGCCTCCGGTCACGTGCCCTGGTATTGTACTCGCCCTGCCTTGAGGAATCAGAAAAGCTGTTTTCTCCAGAAGGTTCGCGATTCCCACGGCCGCCAGCCGATGTCCGAGTAACACACGGACGGTGCCGTACGTGGGAATTGACACGTGAATGTGTTACATGTACTTTTTTTGCACAGGCACAATGGGATGAATGGCACCAATCTCCACACGATAATGCTGGGACTCGCAGAGATGGGTAAGTTATCATCATCATCGTGATCAGCCATTGTCTAGCCACTGCTGGATGAAGGCCTTCCACACACCGTGACAGATGCTGCCACGATTACATTTTCGCACTCATTTACACACAAAGCGCTTGCCACACATGAACCAAAAGAACCTCGCTGGTCTCGTCAAGGAGCATGAACCATCGTCACGTGAACTGGGGTCATCCTCGCAGCAGCAGCGGCTTTTGGCTGCTGCCCGTCGAACAAAGACGGTGGTCACCGCATCGCGCGTTTTCAGATGCGCTTCTGCGGGCGTCTGGAACGCTCTCCCTTCCCAAATAAGGAAGCCACTGGAGCTATGGCACTTTTACGTCTATATTGAAAACTTAATTTCTTCAGAACTGTGTTTAGTTTGCCGTCCTTCTCCCGCACCTCTGAGTCGCGCAGTTGACTACGTACGGCGGGAAATGAGTTCAACATACATGCATGCATACATACATACATCATCCTGCACGTGGACTGATATAATCGATCCATCTCCACAGCTGTCAACCTTTTGGATGCGTTCTCTCCTTCAGCTCACCCCAGTTACTTTTCTCAATTGTCCATCTGATGTCTCAGGATGTGTCTTTAATTTCCTGATCTGTGCATTCATTCACTGTTCTGTCTCTCCACGTCACTCCATGCATGTACATCTCTCCGTGCATTGTGCCTTTTTCATCTTTTGCATTACTCGGAATGCTGCGCTGTTGCCAGCTGATATCCTTCGCACCTCCGATCGGCGTGGTTGGCTTCGGACTCGTGCGAAATAAGTTCAACAAACACACACACACGTGTGCATCCTAGTTCGACGCAGTGACGTTGACCCCCAGAGAGCTGTCGATTCCCATCAAGGAAATTGGGGAGCGGTGGCGCGTTGCTTTAGCACGCTGCGCTGCGAACCCCGGCGGCCTGAGTTCGATTCCCGACCACGGCTGACAGCAGCGGGTGACTGATCTCTGGACCGCTCCTAGGTCGCCTCCTTCTAGCACTACCGTGGCGAAGGACGGTCGAACACTCACACAAAGCCGGCATGGCGTGGGGACACCTCTGTCCAGCAGTGGATTGACGGAGGACTGTAAATTACGAAAGATACATGTGTGTATGCAGCATGCTGCGGATACATTGCATCTGAAAGCTGTTAAATAAAATGTTTACTGTGGGGTTTTGAAAACAGATGGGTAACATAGCCGACTTGATCTGTCTGATGTAATGTTGCTCATGGCGTGAAATCCGTCCACTCTTGTCACGCGGCTTACAGACGGAATGGAGCAAGCAATGCATGCACACATCCGCTCCGTTTTTGCTATTAGTGGCCGTGCGGCACACGATGTCCCAGGGACAGTGGGGGGTGGGGGGCTCCAAAGACGAGCCGTGAATGGTGCACAGCGCGTGCAGATTAACGTCGAGTCGGTTTGCGAGGGTGCTTGAGCCGTTAACCGCACAGGAATTGTGTGTCGGTGTGAACCGCTGCTTCGGTGAGCTAATGCCAGCTCCCCCACCCCCGTTTATTAAATTTGTAGTATTCCCCGCAGTTTAATTTAATATCTATTGCACAATTCAATTGGATTGAATATTGATGGCACAATTCAACTGGATTGAATATTGATTGCACAATTCAACTGGACTGAATATTGATTGCTCAATTCGACTGGATTGAATAGTGATGGTACAATTCAACTGGATTGAATATTGATTGCTCAATTCAACTGGATTGAATATTGATGGCACAATTCAACTGGATTGAATATTGATTGCACAATTCAATTGGATTGAACATTGATGGTACAATTCAACTGGATTGAATATTGATTGTACAATTCAACTGGATTGAATATTGATGGTACAATTCAACTGGATTGAATATTGATTGTTCAATTCAATTGGATTGAACATTGATGGTACAATTCAACTGGATTGAATATTGATTGTACAATTCAACTGGATTGAATATTGATTGCTCAATTCGACTGGATTGAATAGTGATGGCACAATTCAACTGGATTGAATATTGATTGCTCAATTTGACTGGATTAAACATTGATGGTACAATTAAACTGGATTGAATATTGATTGCACAATTCGACTGGATTGAATATTGATGGTACAATTCAACTGGTTTGAATATTGATGGCACAATTCGACTGGATTTAACATTGATGGTACAATTTAACTGGATTGAATATTGATTGCACAATTCAACTGGATTGAATAGTGATGGTACAATTCAACTGGATTGAATATCGATGGTAAAATTCGACTGGATTGCAGTAGTGCGTGGCTAAAGCTCGACAGAAGGAATGCTCCGCGCGCAGAGTCGCCGATCCGATTGCGAGCGGCAACGGCTTGAGCTGACCCTGTTGGATCGGGACGTTTTGAAATGCAGTAAAGTTCCGTCATTCTCTCCTGACTGACTCGGCTTTCGTTTGTCTCCCTCTCTCTCTCAGATGACGATGGGCATGAGGGTGACGAGTGTGACTTTCCCTACCCTGCTATTATAGTGTCCTCCCTATAGCGGATAAGAGGCGTTTACTGTAAGTATTACACATCACCTGCAATTTAAAAATCACATTCTACTGTTATTGCGGTGAACAAGAGCTACGGTATATACATTCATCCTTTTATTTGTGTTTTTTTTGAGACCAGAGTTTTCGCAAGGGTGTCCGAGCGAACGACTTCACTTGAGTCTAAAAACAACACCAGAAGACGCTCGTTGCGCAGATGCCCGTTGATTGCCCCCCCCACCCCCCACCGCCTCCCCGAGTCAGGCCACGAGCCCAGAAGTGACAGCACAGCAGCGTGATGTGAATCCCCACCCCACCCCAGCACGGTACGCACAGAGCAGAAATGCCCAATGCTTAGCACTTGATGAGGGGGTGTAGAGCTCCCCCCATCCACACAGCGCTGTCTCAAAGTGTCGGCGAGCCCCTTCGCTTTACCACGCATAGCCGAGTTTGTGGTCCTCGACTGAGCAGCGCAGGCCACGCCGCTCGCCACCGACCTCGACTTGACCTTTTGTGTTGGCAAACCTCCCGGCGTACGTTCAGAATGTCAACAAAAAAAGGTGATTTCCTGCTCGAACGAGCATTGAAGCGGTGCGCACCTCCTGATTCTACGGCCCTGAGCCAGCGGTGGAAATTCCACATTCCTAATTTGTGGTGATGGGGGAGGGGGCGAGGGGGGAGATGGGCGAGTCTATCCATAGGAAAACCAATGTTGACTTCCCCCACAAAGTAGTTCCTAATTTGTGGACCATGCAGGGATGATGGGTTGAGTGAACCCCCTAGCAGAATTTCAACGCGTCCCAGTTGAACCGCTCGCTACTGACACTGATGTTTTGGCAGGGGACCGCCAGTGTATATTAATCTCATTATTAACCTGCTGCAAATGTCCCAACAGTTGAGGACGTTCCCAGGCAACTCAACGCTGCACTCGGCGGCGCTCGTCAGCGCCGGGCATGGCAGTGGTGTTCGCGAAGGCCCTACCGCTGTAATCGGTCTTTCTTTAATCAAGTGTTCACTGGGGTTGTTTAGTATTCTGAAGGTACAGGCAAAGGCTCGTGCAGCCCAGACTGGGAGGGGTGGGGGGAGGACAAAAAGAGTTTTGGGAAGAGCGATGTTTCAAAGTGGAGTTCCCTTCATGCATTGGCTACAGCGAGCAGCAACCGATGAGATGTTCACGGAAACAAAGAGCACTGTCAGGTTCGTATGTGAACTCTTCATTGGGCATTCAAGGGACATTGCGAGTGAATCTATCAGAAGCCACCTGCTTAAATAATGGGTTAACCCAGCATGTGCATAGCAACAGCGTGAATAACAACCAACTCAACCTTGCTTCATCTCAGACGTGGCTTAAGTAAGGTATCTTGCCCATCTAAGATGAACTTTTTACAATAATTCTGAAATTCATAACAAAGATGGGTATATTCTCAGGAATTGTATATATGTTTATCCTCAATCTAAGCCTTTTATTTAGTGGTTTCCTCCAACATGTAAACGCTCATGAATTGTACGTATGTTAAAACTTCTTTCGCACCGTACGTAACCAACCGTGCAAATCGGAGGTGCGGGGGAAGGACAACAAACTAAACACAAACAGCAGTTAAAAAATTTTTAATTAGCCAATGGTACTATTTTATATATGTATGTAGGACCGCAGAACTTGGGCAGTTGTTGGCGCCGGCTTATCACGTGGCTGCCTTCCTGCTTGTCTGTGCTTCCTCCTCGCATCTCGAGAGGCAGTTCTCTCTCGATGAGCGCAGACGGTGTGTTTTGTCGATTGAAATTGTTACCAGATGAAGCTCTGGTCAATCAGAATCCGTCCCAATTGGTGTCGGGACAGGTTTGAGTCGAGTAGTGAAATGGATAAAGGTACAGCCCTGCAATTACTCACTCACTCCACCGCCTGCACAAGGGCCTCCACGTCTTAGAGGGAGGTCTCGAGCCCCACGAGAGGGTATTTGTGCTGCTCTTCCATGCTGGTCAGATATTCTGGAAGCAGTTTTATGATAAAAGTATGAAATTAGTGATTAAAAACATTTCTATGTCAGTAATCTATATACAGTATATATAAAAGGGAAATTTGTGAATGTGTGTCTGTTCGAAATGTTTAGCATACTTCCCGACATGCAACAAACTTGAAATTTGGCATGTGGGTAGTTTCCAAACTGTACACAATGCAAAAAGTATAAAAATTAGACTTTTGTATTTGGTGGGGGGGGGGGGGGGGTACACAATAATGGATATATTTTGCACGGCAAGTGAGCGGTGACGTCACATCTGTGATGTCACCCGCATGCGGCAGCGTCACGCAGTGTGCCTGCTGACGTCATCGCCCCCCCCCCCCCCCACCCGCCACGTAGTACAGTATATATTTATTTGTGTTTTTAAAATGTATTAATTTACGACATTCGCTATGACCCTCTGCTGATATGTTGTCACCCTTCCAGAAGAATCCCTTGGTAATGTTTTATTTAACAATACTCCCCCTCTCACGTGTGGGTTTTCTCTGGGTACTCCGGTTACCTCCCACGTGGAGAAAGACCAGGTTAATTTGGATTTGGCAAAACATCTCAATATAGGACCGCAGAGCTTGAGCAACCTTTGCCGCCAGTTATGGCTGCCTTCCCGCTTGTCTGGTTTTCTGCGCCTCTGCATCATTCTCACAGTGAACAAAACCTGCCCATTACAAATTCCAAATTACTATCGATTCATATTTTGAATTATAATTTAGAATCTGAGCTTGACAACCCTCCAACAGCTTTAACACGTCTTGTCTACAATGCATTGATAATAAACCATACTTATTACGAATACGTATGAACTCGTTTCAACAAAATATGAAAATGTTATTATAATTTGCGAAGTACAGTAGATTTGCGATTATATTTCTCCGTGCATTCATCTTTTTTTTTAATTTACATTACTCTCTTTATATGCTTATGAGTTGGTCACATTTTTGGTCATTGAAAATGTCACGTGCTCGGCAAAGACCCTGGGGCCTGCCCAGGATATGGTTGGTGGCTGGGCTGTGTCGCTCGGCTGGCCTGGAAATGCCTGGGAAGTCCCCAGGAAAAGCTGGGAGCTTGTCGCCAGGAGATGGGAGGTGTGGACCGCCACTACTCAACACGCTGGCGCCGCGATCCTCACCTGGACAAGCGGATTGAGAAACGAACGAACGAACATTCTGATCTAGATATGGGGGCCTAAATCGGCAGTGGCAAATGTTTGTGATTTATCCAGCGGCGCACTTCAAGATCCCGTGCGGCATGTTGGCCCATCGGTAGATGCATGAAATATACGCGTGATTGAATTCATATGAAAGTGAGGAAGATCATCAGGCATGAAGGCTTGACTGTGAGTTGTGAAAAAGACAAGCTGTTTAATAATTCCGGTTGAATGCTGTTAGGCCGCAGCCATTCACATCTGTAACAAATGTAAATGGCTGTGACAATCCACGCACAAATTGTATTGGGTTTTTATTTGCAATACAAGTTAAAAGTGGCCGATTGTAATTACAGATGCAAGGCATTGTGGTGAGGTAATTTCATGAATGTTAAGACTTTTTGTTAAAAGAAAAAAATCTGTAACAGTTCTGAGGTAAAGTCCATTTTGTCACACTTTATACTTGTAAATCCAACATCTTTGAAATGAATGTACCGAATTTATGTTTACAGGAGGGTTAAAAAAATTGCGATATGTCACACGTATGTGATTTTATAGAGCGGTGATTTTAGGTGAAAACGATGCTGTTTCATGGATACAAGATCATGATTAACGATGAAAAATAAAGTATGTTGCCGCTCAATTTGAACTTGTCCTCTCTATATAATGCCTATTATATGCATTAAACTTTATTGGCCATGTCTTTCATGGTGATTTCTTGATTCTTATTTTAAAAACTGCGATGGAACATAAGAGACAGCTTCTGTCATCTTAATGCTCCTCTAAGTCCCTCCTTTACTCGGAGCACTAAAACTAATCTGATTTCATGTAACAAAATGCCAAGATGTTGTGACGTTTTGTTTTATCGTCGCTAGGATTTAAATAATATTTTGGTGAAATAATTTAATGAATAGCTCAAATAAAAACAAAGTTAAAGATCAATTGTAGATGGACTCTCTCAGTCTGTGTATTCGTTACTATGTATTGTTAATGTTAAATACCTTCTACAATAAATTAATGATTCACGATTTCTGAGTCCACTGCTGGATTAAGGCCTCCGCCTACGTCGTGTTGGTCGCGGGGATTTTTTGACCAGGACGCTTGTGCCAGGCCTGGCCTGGCACACTTCGTGGCGAATAGCGGTTGTTGTTGTTGTTGCTGACCACCACACTCACCCCCACGCGGGTCAGTGGAGGTTGCTGAAATGGGTGTGGGGCGAAGACATTGGTGCTGGTTCAATGTCACTCGCCACCGATGTCAGGCCGTGGCCAAGGAATGAAACCCGAGTGCATTGATCTCGAGAGGGCATTTCGGCGCCGTGATAACCACTGCGCCAGCGACCTCTCTACCGTTCGACTCGACTGTCACCAAACACCAGCGTGGGCTTCACGCGAAACACCAGGGGCTCGATGTTTCTATTTGGTTGGGGTGGTGGGCAGGGCCAGATTATCCGAGTAACAAAAGTAGCTACAACACGTGTAGTAGCTACAACACGTGTAGTAGCTACTACACATGTACTAGCTACGGGTCCCGCACTTTTAAGGGCCCCGCGCTAAATGCTTTCAAGCTATCAATTCCGGTTCAGTGATTCTGCACTTGCTCTATTACTATAGTACTATACCGCCTTCAACTTTTATGAACGACTGGGTGTTTACGGTTAGCGATTTGTCGTATTAGCTGGCTGTATAACAAATGAAAAAATACAATTACTTTACTGTGAAATACTCTTTGGTTCTATTCGGTAAAGTCACGTAAAAAAATAGAACCAAAGAGTATGGATCCTTGCAGTCACGAAAGCTTTAAATCTAGAATTTACTGTGAAAGTAAAAAAAAATGTACGTGTTTTAATATTTACGTCTTTTTTTAAATTTAGGACCCTTTATAACATCACGCTACAGGCCCCGCACGAGCTTCATCCGGCACTGGCGGTGGGTGCTTTGGTTTCTTATTTAAACAACAGCGAACAACAAAAAGGACATCGACAATGAAACATCGACACCCTCCTACACGCGTGGTCGCATCGGCGTTGCACAAGTGCAGCCACCGAACGCAGCGCCCCCCCGTCTGACAAGGATGTTTGTCGGGGATAATTCTATGCCACGCGGCTTTTGGCTTCAGCGGCCCTATCCATAAGAGGGGCAAATCATCAAGCATCGAGGAGGAGGAGATGGGAGGGGGGAGGTGTGGATGGAGGGGTGGAGGAGGGGGATGGATGGAGGAGAGGAGGGGGCGATGGATGGGGGGGGAGGAGGAGGGGGGTGGATGGGGGGAGGATGGGGGGGAGGAGGAGGGGGGCGATGGGGGGAGGAGGAGGGGGATGGATGGAGGGGAGGAGGGGGGATGGATGGGGGGGGGGAGGAGGAGGGGGGTGGATGGGGGGGTGGATGGGGGGGTGGATGGGGGGTGGATGGGGGGTGGATGGGGGGTGGATGGGGGGGTGGATGGGGGGGGGATGGGGGGGTGGATGGGGGGGAGGAGGGGGGAGGAGGGGGTTGGATGGGGGA